TAATTGAAGTCCGAAATTCTTTTAGTATCAATACTGAATCATTGTCTACCACTTTTTAATAAATTTTTAAGAATTTGATAGTTTTATGAGATCGATGTGGAAGAGAAATTCTACAGTAGTAACATCAACGGTAGTAGCACTATTTTATTGCTTGCGAGATTGTTTGGGGAGGTAATTATCATGGCTGTCTGAATGTGCAGTCTTCAAAATGTTCCTAAAATGCAAAAAAACACAGATACTAATTTTTAAATTGTGAATCAAGTTTACTTGTCAGGCGTCCTTCAAAGTAATTCAGAGTAGGTAAGCTTCTTTAAGACATACTTATTTTTTAAACATTTTCAATCCGTCGTTGTAGTTACTACATTATATAACTAGATTGCTATTAAAATCCTGTTATTGAAACCTTCATTTAAATTCAGAAGGTCACTGGTAATTTCATAAATAATAAATATCATAGGTTAAAGAAGAATATTATACATGATGAATTTCTCTAAAACAATGACGTTCAATTAATTAGTTTTTATTGATAGTTGGCAATATGTAATAATACTAAAGTAGCTCATCAGTAAAACTAGGTACGTTAATTAACAACTAGTTAGGTACTATCAGGTACTATCTTTTGTAAATTATTTGAAAAATAATTATTTATATTTATATTATTAGTAAAAAAGCGAAATATATATTTTGCGTTATCATAAAATTGAAATTTGCTTCATAACATTTCTATTAACAGTTAGAATAGAAAGGCTTAATAAAATTTGCGATTTAAATTTTGAGGAAACTTCAAAATTCAATATTTCAAAAATTACTTGGTATACAGGGTGTCCCACAATTAGTGCGACAAACTGAAAGGGGTTGTAAAGGGCATCAAAACAAGACATTTGAGTATAGGAACCCATGTCCGGAAATGTGACGTTTTGGCAGGAGGTGGTGTGAAACGTAAATTTCAAGTTGCATTATTTATTCAAAACATTTACAAAAACTGCTCAAAGTACCGTCCAGGGCTGTGCATTTGTGTCTTCAACAGAATGGACGGCACAAAATAAAATAAATCTTATTTTTACGTGAAGAATCTGCCGAGGAGATATACCACATGATTTCTGAAACACCCTGTATAGTTCTAAAAATTAAAACGCGTTTCTATGGTAATGTAATTTTGTTTTCATTCTTTGGTAGATTGTTACCGATCTCGGGTTTATTGATTTTGGCACAAAATTTATTTAGTTCAGTGTTATAGAAGGGTTATAATACATAGTTGCAGGAAAATATATGGAAAATGTAATACTTTAACAACAGCAAAAAATATGAGGTTAATCAAAATTCATAATAACCATCTATCAAAGAATGAAATCGAAATGATATTACCATAGAAACGCCTTTTCATTTTTTAGGACTGAAACGGTGTGGAAATTTGGAAAATTATAAACTGGTTCAACCGTTTTAGAACAAGGATTTTTTTTTATAAAGAATACATTTTTCTCAAAATATTAATACCTAATAAAAAAGTTTTTCCTCTTATATTAAGAAAAACCGGGAACATAGTGTAGTATTATTTATTGTTTTGTTCTATGGAAAAAAAGTCTTTGTATTGTCGTTGGGTCAACAATATTTTGTCGTATGTACCCGGTTTTCAACGATATTTAGTGCGAAACCTACAGACTTACCTATTGATTAGAGAGGTAGTAAATAAGTTTAAATATGTAGAGCCGAGGATAAACCTGACGAATGTTACCATTCGTTCGCATTGCAGCCATTTGCAGTATTGCTACCTGTTGAATACTTTTCCTTCGTTAACAAGAACATCCTCTAGTAGTAGTTTTTAATGAGGTGAGGGAAGAAAAGCAGGGGTGCAAAAGAGCGACTTCTGGAAAGTAAATAAAATTTGTGTCCACTAATTTCTTCATTATTAGCAAAACTTCGACACTCCTCCACTCTTCTGGACTCTCTATAATCGGTATATACACAAGAAACTGAGTTCCTCAAAAAAAGTACAAGGTAGAGAGTAAATAAGTTTCAATCGACAAGGATATCCCTAGTAATTATTTTGTATGGGATAAGAAAATAAAAGCAGTAGGGGCGCAAAAGAGCGACTTCTGGATCACCCGGGATAAGGCGCGAGGTGGGGCTGATTAGGGAGGCCCGCGTTCCGCCGGTTGCTGCGCCCAGATTAGGCCTCCCAGCGCTGATCACCGCCATGATAAACGGTTATTGAGTTAAATAAACAGAGCGCGAAGAGCCCGTAACTTATAAATATCTATCCTGTTTTCCTTGCAGGTAAGTAGGTGTATAATCCTTATAGCTACACCGCCATATATCACCGACTAAGTGGTGATATATGGCGGTGTAGCTATAAGGATTATACACCTACTCCTTTCTTCATAACTCCGCTTCGGCCGTTTCTCATAACTCGGTATCGTTCGGTGTTACTGATATCTTAATAAGATTCATGAAAGGACGCCATATTTTATATCCACCCTATCTGGCGTAATGCCCCTGAGCCGCCGGTTTCTTCGCCGCCTCGACCGCTGCCTTGCCGAGCCAGAGCTCGCTGCACGGAACGAAGCTCTTATATATATTTATACAGCGCGTCCCAGAAAAGCCCTGGAGGCCTGTAGATCTGTCCACGCCCCTTCCAGACTCCCACTCCAAACTACAAACTTAGTATACAACCGTTCCACTATATACAGCGTGTTTCCGAATACGTCGACTGAACTGGAAATAATATATCGGTCGGTGTATAAGTCTTCTTGGGTCTTCCTCGCTTTCTCCGGTTTTGAGATATCCATTGTATAAAAATGGTTTTGAAAGTCTGATATCATCCATTCTCTGCACATGTTAGTACGATACAAGTCGTTGGCGTTCGATGTCGGTTGCCAAAGATCCCTCTATTACTATCCTCTGCCGGATTTCTTAATTTCGAACTCTATCTCTTCGGTAAATTTCGAAAGTTCTTCTTATCCATTTCTTAGCTTCCATGTTTATGACGTTTATTATTCATGTTTATGCACCGTAGTGCATATTTTTTTGTAAATACTGCTACGTTAATCCAACGGAGATAAGCTTGCCAGTAGTAATTTACTAACAACAAATTTGCCTAACGGACAAAAAATGCTTAAAAAAAATTTAAATGCTTAAGCATCTTCTTGTTTGAAGAGATGAATCCGCCATCGAAGTATAGATATTTTTGTATACTGCTGTTTACAAGGGCCTCATATACCGGGTGCGCCTCAAAAGTGGCTCACCCCTATAACATTTTTATTTTTTTCAGATAAAGAAACGAGCTTTGGTATGTTAGTATATGACTTAAATTAGGATTGATTGACGTATTCAATTGTTTTCGGTCACTTCCTGTTTTAACGGAAATGACTACAACTTTTGATTGATTTTTAAATAGCACCTTCGGTTTTTTTTTACTTTGTTCGATAGAAAATGACACTCTGAATAAAATTACATATCATATGTCTAGATCCTGAGGAACTAGTCTTTTAATAAACCCGGAACTAGTTCCTTTCGTCCCGGTGTCGGAATAGTTCATTTGAACTAGTTCGTTCACGAACTACACACCTCTAGTATTGGCGACTGCTTAGGGGTCTAACCCCTAGCACATCGTCTCTTATATGTACCTATCGCGGTTGCCACCGGCCGTCTTTTGAATTGCCCTGACATCGAATGAATAACGTCCGCCGATGTGTCTTTATCAAGGCAAAGAGCACTCGATTTTCGACTAATTAAGTCGAAAGGACCTCGGATACTTAACAGTTGTGGCAAGACGAGCACGATACCTATCTGACCACATACACACCACTTTCGTCGGCGCGCCGGGCATAAAATAACCCTTAATGGCAAATTACAAGTCTTTAAGTCCACGCTATCCGCTACTTTATCCGGTTTTCCTGAAATTAATCTGTTTCCACTGCGAGTGGAATGCTATGCGGCGCTCATCTCGCCGGGCCAGCCGAGGGGAATCTAACCTGTTGCACGGCTCATCCTAATTTAAACCCCACCGTGGGAATGGAGGGATGGATCCCCTCACATAACTTCCCTATGGACTCCCCTTTTGTTTTCTTTGCCTGTGTTTTAAAAGCTTTTTCCCTTTTCACGCTCTTTCTCGCGCGCAAACTTTTTCGCTGTACGTCATAACCTATAGTTTTTTAAATGTAGAATGTACGGGAGACGGGTTAATCACCACCTCACCGCGATCTTACAGATCTATTGTGTCTCCCTTTCTTCAGTTATAACTCATCAGCCACTGTCTGAGACAGCTTTACAAAGGTTTTTCTCCATCTTCGATATCAGCCGTACCAAATTTCATAGCACGAATGGTTGTCGTCTCGGCGCACTCATTGATAAGGTGTTCAGGTGTTTCCCCATTTTTCCCACAGAATCTGCTTTCGCCGTTGTTTTTTAAGTCCAATCTACTGATGTTTTCGTTGAGGAGACAACCTCTTGTTAAAAACCCCTTGACAATCCGAAGATTATTCTTACTTTGATTACTCTTTGATTTTTCTGCAGAACGGTTCTGGTCCTGTTAGTGGAGTCTTTGCTCCTTAATGGCAAATCTTGTACTTGTTTAATAGATGTTTGACTAGATGGCCTTTCTACTTAAAAGATCTTTGAATAAATAGTTTGTCACGTAATTTAATGTAAATGAAAATTTATAGAAAGAAATAATATTCGACTCATGTAGTAAAACAATAACTTTTATTTTTTAGATTTTCCTTTCAGTGGCGGACATCCCAGATAGACATTAACAATAAGTTCTAGGATGACCACACTGCAACGTTTCCAATCATTTTTCCAAAGCATTCGTTCGCGGTGAAATCATTCGTCGTGGCGTATATTCGATGCGAATGTACGTCTACACCTCAGAAAGATTTCCTCGCAAATGTGAACGAATGGTAACTTTCGTCAGGTTTATCCTCGCCTTCGGACTTATTATTATCTGTTGTTTATAAATAATCCTCCGATTCCGATTCCTAATTATTTTTTCTTCTTTTTAGGTATAACCGAACTGAAAAAGAAGATGATATTGACTCTTCAATGAACTAATTTGTATACAAAGTAAGAAATAGAGTGAGGAGTAGAGTAACAAGATGGACAACGTAACCAATGCACCCAACAGCAATGATCTTCTAATAGCCAAGTCTGTAGCGATGTTAGTGTTAGGACTCTCTTCATTTTTCTTAGGGGTTCTTCCTGTAAAACTAACTAATCTGATCCCATCGCTAAAATCACCGGACGGTAAAAAGAATCTTCTATTGTCGTTATTGTTATGTTTTGGAGGAGGTGTGTTGCTATTCACGACTTTCATTCACCTTCAGCCTGAAGTGAGAGAATACTTCCATATACTAGAGGAGGAAAACAAGATACCTGACTTGGGCCTGAAAGGCGTTCCGTTATCGGAACTGTGTTTTTGTCTTGGATTCTTTTTCGTGTACTTAATCGAAGAAGTTGTTCATTTGTTTTTGGATCGGAAAGTACATGACGAAGCTTTGCATAGGTAAGGTAATTTAAAACAATATTCTATAATGTTTCTATATGTATGTGTTTTACAACAATAATATGATATTGTTATAGCATATCAAAGAGGCTCCATTTGAAATAGCCGAGAAAAAACATTGTATTTATTTTTGACATACCACGTGTATACCAAAGCATCACAAATTTTCGATTTTCAGAATTTATTCTAAAGATGTCCAGTATAAATTTAACACTATGATGTTTTTGAAATTTTTATGGAAAATACACTAGGCGAAAAACTGACGAGACTGGTCTTGGTCTTGCGTTTAAGACCGACCGGTACAAGACTTACGCAAGATCAAGACCCAGTATTTATGCAAGACTGTTAAGGTTGAAACGAGCATTTCCAATTTTCTGGATCGGGATTCCGTTTTGAAATCCCGGGATAAGAACCTATAATCCAGGGATCCCGGAACTGTCTTTTAGAATGTGAAATCTAATCTAAAGAAATACTTAATAAAAATCAGCTACATTTATATCTCGATTTATATCAAAAAGAAAATGAGAAAAGAGTTTTATTAACATAGACAAAACAAAGTAACATTCATATTTAGTAAGTAAAAAAATAAAATTATTCTTGTTTCAAAAAAAAAGATATAGCAAACACGGAAATATAACTTTAGATATTGACGTTCTGCTTAGAATAAATAAAATATGATCTTAGAAATACTGAAGAAGTATAAAGTCTAATCATTTTAGATCGGGCTTTTAAATTTTTCGAGCCATTCGGGATCCCGGGATTTAATATCGGGAGTTTGGCGATAATCATACACCGGGATCCCGGGATCTCAGGATCACTTTTTTTTTGTTTGGAAACCCTATAGTTGAGACTCTTAAAATTGAGGTTAAGATTATGTTATACAAACTAAATTTCATTTGGGAGGGGGGTTAACCACCGCGACCTTAAATAAATATCTAATGTGTCCCCCTTTCTTGAGTTATAACTCATCATACAGTCTATAGCTCATCATACATAGGAATCCTGTTGAAGGGGGGACAGGGTATTTCCCATCCTCCTCTGACTACAGATGTTCATCCTCCGAGAAGTGGGCATCTATCTCCTGTGAAGGTATACATTCCACTGTATGGGTTTAGTCGTCCACCGTGCCCTTCACAGTCGAGGAGCTTGTCTTCGGCAGAGGTACTCGTGAAGTGGATGCTGGAGGATCTGTCTGTATTTTCTCCACTTCTTTAACTTAGTCTCTCCTTAGACCTGATACCGGTGTTGTCCCGAATCTATAATAGAGGATAAATTTCTCTATCAGTTCGAGGTCAATTCCTATTGTAAGTACCCAGCCATGGCCCTCCCCCCTCGAGTTAATGACCTGCCAACTCGATATCCTTACATTGGAGTTCTGGCAAAGCTGGTGATACGTCCGTATTGCCTCCCAGTTCTCTGCTATGTTGGAACAAACCTAATGTTACAACTGTCAAAAATTTTCGATGCTATACCATGTTTTCTTCTGGACCAATTTTTTCCTTATTGCTATCATCTTTTGCAGATCACTATCCATAAGATGCAACGCGTCCAGAAAAGCAGATAACATGACCATACCCCGAGTTACCTTGACCAAATTCGACGACGGCAACATCAGCTACATTTCCAACTCCAACAAAGAACTGCTCAACTCCCAAACTACCATCAACATTGAGAAGCATGGAGGTCACAGCCATCACGCACTAAACGACTCTTTGAAGAACTCCTTCAGCGGCTTTCTGGCAGTTTTAGCACTCAGTTTTCATGCCGTGTTCGAAGGGTTGGCTGTAGGGTTGGAAAGCAGTGTAGAAAAAGTGTGGTACCTGTTTGGTGCCATAGCAACGCACAAACTTGTCATTGGGTTTTGTGTTGGGGTGGAGTTGGTGTCGTCAAAGACGAAAGTAATGCTGATCGTACTTTATATTGGAACATTTGCTGTTGTGACCCCATTAGGTAAGTTTATAGAGTATCTATTAAAGTTTTAGAGGTGACAAAGTCGAAACCACAAATTCCCCATTAGTGCGAGGAAGCCCAATATTGTCGTTGTTGTCGAAGATTGCATGGTTTTATAAAGGGGCATATCTTAAAAATATTTTGTTGCCTATTGTGTATCCCTAAAAGAGTTATGATAAAGTTTTAACTTTTTTAAATTGCACTGCACATAGTGACATAGTACTGCCACACATTGCCATTCTATTTCATATTCACTGAAACTTTGCTTAAAAACCCTATAAAGAGTGATTAAAAACTAGAGTGAATTTAATTTTATTAATACTTGGCTATACCCTGCTGGCAAGCGAAACCTTGGGTCGGCGTTTACATGTATAGGAGTGAATCGCTATGGCAATCTAGTAAGTCGGAGAGGGAAAATACGAAATATTTATTACATAACCATTTAATCTGACTCTAGATTCCATGCGCTTGGGAAAATACTTGCAAATCGGCACCCAAGACCAGAAATGCCAGCCCTAGTATGTTCCTTATTAACACTAAGGGCAACAGAATAAATCCGCGAAGGAAAATTTACGTTATTTTATACAGGGTAATTTTTACTTGCTTCGCCAACATTACAATATTTAAAATACTATATACAGGGTGGCCCCCCTCATTCGCCTCGTTTGATTAAACGAAAACGAAAAGATGTAGAAACAAAATATTTTATGGGTATATGTGGGGAGAAAATGTGCACAATTTAAAATTATTTTGATATATACAGGATTAGGTTAGGTTGTAACTAAGATCCATACCAAAGTTATATTTTTTCTTAAGGAACACCCGGTATTTTATTTCATTTTTCGATTCTTGAACCCAAAAAGAAAATTTATTATAAGGGTTAAATATGTTTAAAATCTTTGGTTTTTGAGATATTTAAAGATATTTAAATTTTCATGCTACAGTAGAATAGATTATTAACTCATACATTACTTTTCAGAATTAATTCTTGTGCTGAGTTTAAAGGTGGGGAAATAAATTTTACTGAAAAATGTTATTGTTTCCTTAAAATTATACAGAGGTATCAAAAATTGCTGATCTATTTTAAGAATTTATTTTGCATAAAAACTTCGTTATGTCAAATACAACACCCTGTATTTTTTTAAATAAATCGAAGCAGAGTCAAATGCTCTTTCAAACTATATTAGGGTTTCCTATACCTATCTAGCTCAGATTTTGAATAAAGAGCAATTTTTCAATAAAATGACAACCAAGGGGGCTAGTGTCGTCATGGCAAGTTTCTAGTGACAGTTAGTAGCTATTTTCAAAATTGAAATTAGTTTATGAACTTACTAAAATTTATACCAGTTTACTTTCATTTAATTTACCTAAAATAGTTTAATAAATAATATTTATTAAATATGTATTTATTATTCTATCAAGAAAAACGAAGAAGTAATTCTTTGATTTATTTTACGACGACTTGTTGATATATGGGTTTTCTATAAAAGAGCCAATTACGGCACATTCATTTTCTTCACTTCCAACGACAGATTTTTGTCTAATAGGTTTTTTATAAACCACACTACCAGCTCTGCGAAATAGGACAAGTAGTTTTTCAAAGGAACGCTTATCCGGAAGATTCCTATTTTCGAATCTACGAGCATAAGACCTTGAGGCTAAGAAGCAATTTTCCTTACAAAATAAAATCACTAGTAACATCTATTCGTTCCGCCAGCAGATACTGCTTCATTTTTTTTGATAAAATAACGAATACTTACTTATTAAACTATTGTAAGTAAATTTAAGTAAACGTGTTATAAATTATAAATAATAATGTCCATAAACTATAATGTCGACTTTGAAAATAGTTACTAACTGTTACTAGAAAATTGCCATGGCGACACCAGCCATCTTGATTGCAATTTTATTTAAAAATCGCTTTTTATTCAAAATCTGAGCTAGATAGGTATACGAAACCCTAAACCCTAATATAGTTTGAAAGAGCATTTGAATCTGCTTCGGTTTATTTTAACAAATATAGGGTGTTGCATTTGAAATAACGAAGTTTTTGTCTTAAATTGAATTGAAGCAATACCATTTTTCAGTAAAGTTTATTTCTCTACCTTTAATCTCAAATCTCAGCATAAGAATTAATTCTGAAAAACAGGGTGTTAATAATCTATTCTACTGTAGCATGCAAATTTAAATATCTCAAAAACCATAGATTTTAAACATATTTAACCCTTATAATATTTGCCTTTTTGGGTCCCATGAATCCAAAAATGAAATAAAATACCTGGTGTTCCATAAGAAAAAATATAACTTTGGTATGAATCTTAGTTTTGAAACACCCTGTATAGGTACTTCAAAATAATTTTAAATTGTGCACATTGCCTCCCCATATCACGACGTCTTTCCGTTTTCGTATAATCAACCGAGGCGAATGAGGTGCGCCACCCTGTATTATTTCTCTTTTAAATACAGAATTAAAAGTATCAAATTTGGTACAAATGTACCACTGCGGCAACACTGTTTTCTAGAATATAATCGGCACGGACATGATCCCCGTTGTCCACTCGGTGTAGCATATATTGAAGGCCCGGACGTGGCTCGGTGTCTACTTTACGGAACGTGCCCGGCTCGGGTACGGCCCGGTGTACCATGAATCAGCCTTAACTCGTGCCCTATGTGAGGTAGGGTCACATAGGGCACAGAAAGTCGTCCGGGGGGGGGGCGGGCATGGCCCCCCCTAATCAGCATAAATAATAAATGACAAAAGACCTCAAACGAAAACCCACAAAATCCACCCCTCGTAATCTTTTACTTTGGCCCCTCCTTATTAAAAAGCCTGGTCACGCCTATGCCGATGTCTGTAAATGGACGAAATCATCAGGATTTTTCTTAATTATGGGTCGATTGGAACCTCGGAACGGGGATAGAGGAACTCGATTGGAGTCCTCAAACGGACAGACAGACAAGTGCACAAAAAAATTTTTGTATTTAAAGTATTTCTAATATTCGCAGATAGTAAATTTAATCAAAAAAATAGTAAATTTTTATCAAAGCCACTTATAAACTATCTTTGTCTGGTAGCAGTGGTAACAAAACGTCATATTAATATCGAAATCAAATTTCTCATATGTCAAAATATACCCAGAAACCAATTTTCATTCAAATATCAACGTTGAAAAAATATAATTTTCACCATTTTCATTCAGGTATCAACGTGAGAAATTATTTGGAAAAATCAAAATAAAAATGAAATTTTTACACCCTGTATCTCCGAAACAAACTATTTTGGGACATATATGTATACGAACTTTTTTACTTATTTTTATCGGTAGAATATGCTGCCGAAGTTTCTCAAATACAATTTGGACCACCCTGTATAAAAAACTAAAAATCCTTTTGTCAAAAGGACAATCACCGTACAAAAAGTCTCAATCTGACGCTAATAATTCGCCACCATCCATTAGTTTTATCTGCAGAATATGCTGCCGAAGTTTAACGAATACCTTTCGGATCACCCTGTATAATGATAGTGAGAGAAGATTCATTCATAATTATACTCTATAGGTTAACATGTTTGGATGATGCTGCGGCGTGTTTTGTTTACATTGTATGTTAATGAACTCAATTCACCGTTATTTGATATGCATCTGACCCAGAATCTTGATGACATAACTGTAATGTTTCAAAATTTAATTAAAACATCTTAAGAAGAAACTGTACTTAACTGTACCCAGTGCTACGCGGCCTCTAGTTTTTATCTAATATCCAACTATGTTAGGGCTTATAAAATAATAGTTAACTAATTAAAATTATATTACAGTTGAGGGCTGGAACCTTTGGTGTTACACAGTAAAATAAAAACACTAAATCACCACAATAGGATAGTTTCGCTAACCATGTTAGCGAAACGCGCGTCCAGTGTAAAAGTAAAAGTGTTTTGGTGTATTGTGGTGATTTAGTGTTTTTATTTTGCTAAAATTATATTATTTGTAGGAATTGGTATTGGCATCATTCTAAGCAACCTCGAGAGCAATCAGGAAGATATTACCTGCGTGATACTTCAGGGCATGGCAGCAGGCACGCTTCTCTACGTGGTATGCTTTGAAGTGCTGTCCAGAGAAAGAGACAACCATCACAGTGGCATCTTTCAACTATTAGCAATATTGGCTGGATTCCTAGTGATGTTTGGTTTACAAACTATAAGTAAGTTTTATAATATTTTTTTGAATGAAAATCTAGCTTCAGTTTATTGAAGTGAATTCAAGTGAAAATTTAAGACCGTGACACGACACGATCATGGCACACGAGCTAGCGAGAAAAAAGTGGTAAGTCAATGAGGAAGTTGGGAATGGGATGATTCTTTGGAGCGTCGTAACTCGGTCCTATGTGAGCTAGGGGGCTGAAACTCAGAATGTAGATTGGTTGAAGATATTCATGATATTTTGACGACGCACAAAGGTCATTTTAATTTTTTTAGGAATTAATAAATCGAAAAAATAAGGTATCAAAAAACCTACGATTGATGTTGTATTTCATTGTCAATAAACCAGAGACATGATTAAACAACAATATTTTTTTTTATCTCAACATAGGTTGCTTAGGCGCAACGTCAAAGTAGATTTTTTAGATTGTTTACTTTATTGGTTTTGTGACGCTTATCTTTGAATTTCTAAAGTTGTAATTTGCATAACTAGGCCGCGACTTTTGAGACTAAGTTGGTGTTTTTAAGTATTTTTGGATAATTTCATAACATATTTACGTCCCGTGTAAAATAGAAAAAAGGATTTCTTTTAAATGTTTCGTAAAAAAATTATTTTTCTTTCGCAAGACTGGATTTTGTAACTTGCCAAATACAAGATTTATTCATATTTATTTTCGAAAGCCTCTGGTGGGACCGAAACTTATCTGCAACAACTAAAAAGAGACTTGGAAGAACATTGGTGGAGTCAGTTCTTTGCTATGGTTCAGAGCTGTGGACTCTGAGTGCAGACGCGAAGCGCAAAATCCAAGTTGTTGAAATGGACTACCTTAGAAGAAGTGCAGGTATATCTAGGATGGAAAAAAAGACAAACATCGAGGTCAGGCGTATCATGAATGCATCGGAGGAGACAATACTGGATCGAATCGAAAATCCAGCTTAAAATGGTTTGGACATGTTCTGCGTATGCCGGAGAACAGGTGGCCAAAAAGAGTTTTTCAATGGGCTCCCAGGGCAGAAGAAAGAGAGGTAGACCTAGAAAATCCTGGAACGGAACGGTTACGGAAGCAATGGAAGCTCGTAACCTAGAAGCTGATGACGCTCTAAATCGAGATGTGTGGCGTAGGGTAACGGGAAGGCAGCAATAGGCTGTAGTTGGAAATGAGTATTAAATACTTAAACCAAATCCCGTTTATATATATATTATATTTTCGAAAGACGTTTTTATTATGAGTAAGCCTTTTATCTAAAGAGTCATTCTAAAATTGGCTGCCAAGAAGTGCCAAGAACTTCAAAAAATATTTTTTTAGAGACATAATGTCAATAAATAAAAAATACTATTTATCTATACCAAATCTGTTTGGTACGATGGCAGTTCCTTGAAAGAGCAAAATACTCATGTCTTGACATATGTTTTCAACACAATCTATGTGGTAAAATGCGAGGACAACCTAAAATATATTTTTTTTTATTTTAACTTTTATATTCTTTTCGGAAAATTTTACCACCCTGTATCTTAAAAGTTATGACGTTTGAGACATACATTCATATGAAGTTTTTTTCTTAAAATGGGTCTAAGAATCATCTCCTAAATACTAGCCTATCGTTTAGGAACATCCACTATATTAGTGACTTATTTCAACAAACAACCTGTATAAAAATACGATTAATTTATTTTAATTATATAATCTACATCACTTTCCAACCATCATTCAAACAATATACGTTTCAACTTTCAAAAACATGTATTTTTTGAATATGTATTTATTACCACCTAATACTGCAATAACGACCTCTGTGGCGACGTTTCGTGCACTATGAAACCCCATCATCAATGGCGAAAGAATCGTCCGATTTAAATTAGATTTGGTACCTATGTCGATAGATTGAACCAAAACCAACTTGACTGTGTACAACACGTGTCACTGTGACAGTTAGTTGTTGATGTCGTCCGATCGCGACCAAATTTGGTGGGTAGGCTATGTGAGCGACGCCGACGGTGCACACGGACACACCGTGCGAAATTGGATACGACGTGTTGTTTACATCTTCAGGGTGGAACTGAGGGTTTGATATTGAAGAAAAATGTGGGTCGATTTCGGCATAATTGCGAACGGGCTACAGGATCACCCCTCGACGTCTCAAACCGCCTCTAAATGGACGAAATCATCAGGATTTTTTTCTTAAATTATGGGTCGATTGGAACCAAACTCGGCACGTGGATAGAGGTACCCGAATCAGACAGATAGACGGATGGACGGAAGTAAAAAGAAGTTTCACCTGGTTTCACTTCAAATATCGCACTTAGTGCACACACAATTTTTTTGAAGCTAAAATGCGTGAATTTGGATTGACCAATAAACCAATCATCTTAATATATTCTGATGGTTCCTTTCAATCTTATAACTAATTAACATAGTAAGAATTAGACAAATACGTCAACTCTTTTTCAAAAGTAGGTCAATTGCTAGTTCAGATATTATTCACTTTAATTTCGAGGTGTTTGAGTTAATATTATTATAAGCAGCCTTATTAGATATATTTTTTGCCCTCCTTTGTTCTGCGTTGGCACACGTTAGAGGAAACGCTTGATTGTCTTTAATTCTGACAAATTGCATCAAAGTTGGTTGAAAACTCGCCTATTTATTACTTATTTAAATAATTTTAACTATGTTGGTAATTTATTTTATACATTATAACAGAACAAGAATATTTAGTATAAGATGTATATTCAGATATTTCGTTGTATAACAGGATGGCAGAAAGTCTTCATGGCACAGTGTTCACCAGGCAGTGGCGTAGCTATCATAGGGCAGTTCGGTGAGAAGCACCGGGGCCCCACAGGACTTTTAAAAAAATATATATTATATTTGTTTAGATTTTTACTCAAGGGCCCCCAAAAATATCTTCACCGAGGCCCCTAGTTGTCAAGTTGTCCACTGTCACCATCAGGCTCTTGGTTTGTCCATATGCTATATGAATAACATGCTATATTAAAATAATATGAACTGTCCAGGTTTTACCATAAGATATAACTAAGCTACTGAAGACTGAAGTACAAGTACGAATCATTCTATGATAGAAAATTGCCAATATTGCCAATATTGCCAAAATTCATCGGATTGTCTGTAGTACAAACGATGCTACACTACTAATGTCCAAACACCTTGTGCTATGCGATGATAGTGCTATATGCGAAGATAAATAGTTTATAACGTTTACATTTACTGTACTAGACTGATGTATAAATTCAAAGAAAATGATGGTAATCAATAGTTTATAAATAAGGAATGAATGATGCGGTAAATGGGGCTATATTTCCTGAATAGTTGAAATAGTTCAAATAATTAATTCTCTTTAAGGAACGCAACCCTACCTAAATATGTATAGATAATGACAAGTATGAACAAGGAAATATCTAAAGAATTTAAAAAATTATATTTATTCCTTCTTCTCTTTACATACGACAGTTATAACCAGTTATAAATAATAGGAAAGCAATCTTCTTTAGAAAGCAGAATGGTTGTTTTCGCATAACATAGGTACCTATGTATTTTTCTTTTAAAAAAGCAAAACCTATTTTTGTTAACATTTTAATACGTTTTTTTTTTCGTAATTAATTAGTTTTATTAGGTAATTTGATATTTAAGTAGCTGGGATTAGTTTTAATTAAATAAATATGGCCCAAAATATGGATTACAGTTGAGGGTTGGAACCTTTGGTGTTACACAGCAAAATAAAAACACTAAATCACCACAATACACCAAAACACTTTTATTCGCGCTTTTATTCGCTTGTAAACGCGCGTCCAGTGTAAAAGTAAAAGTGTTTTGGTGTATTGTGGTGATTTAGTGTTTTTATTTTGCTCCAAAATATGGATTCCACCTCTTCCAATACTAAAGAACCTATAGAGTCTTAAGTTTACAGCAGATGACGACTTAGCCCTTCTAAGAGAATTTGTTGCTTGTTGTCCTAAACCCATTGGCAGACGTTGAACAATAAAGCACTGGAAATAAGCACTTTAGCCCTTTAGTTTTAAAATACCTAGTAAACAAAACAATTTCAAAGTTTTAAATTCAAAGTTAGGTTAAGTTTAAACAGCGGACGCGACGCGATCAGAATTCTTTCCGATCCGATAACTATAAATGAAGAGAGTTAATACCACCTCACGTAAAGGAAATAACACCTGGCCTTGTTAACGTCCATGCACGCTATTCGGTTTAGCGATATCTCTCTATTACGCTGTTTATTGTTATTTTACGCGAGTTTATTTTTGCGCACAGGAAATTTGACTCGTTTGCACATCATCATAAAAAACAATTTTCGTACCACGAATTAGGGACAAGATTTTTATCTGTATACTTATAGGATACCTAATCTGTGATGATACCAACGTATACACCATAGGCGTAGTCAAAACATTTATCAAAAAATATAAATATCTCTTCAAATAGCTAGGTTAAGAAAAATATGTGCCACGGCACTGTTTGGTGACATCGTGACAATTTGCTCTCGGGTGTTATTTGTCCTTGGATTCTTTAGTCATTGGAAGGAGCAGTAAAAAAAATGGTCCCTTGGGTACCATATTATGGCAAATGTCAATAATCGTCATTTGCTAGCCAACTAAACGACTTTTTTTGATAATACGACATATTGAGTAACTAAGTATAAAAGAATTTCTTTTTTGTTCATTCTATGTTTGACACGAATAAATTTTCAATAGATAAACGTGGATTTTTCATCCAAAAATATTTTTGTCAAACGTATACAGATATTATGCCTTCGCTGGCCGGATTAAAGAAAATAATTGTTTTATGCATTAGTCGCAGAACGATTGGTGTCTCCACCGTACAGCAAGGGGAAAACATCAGCCTTGTCACGAATTTACCCATTAGCACAGAATATATAGTATACGCGTAGCTAGATATTCTGTGCTATTAGGTTACGTATCTTCCCAATTTTTTCAATATTACCCACTCCTTCCCGTGTGCCAAGTGCCAAATATGCATTACAGGACACGTATAATATTCAATTCTATAACAAGTAAAATAAATTTTATAATTTAGCACTGATTTATCTAATCTTTTTTTATTTGTTGCAGCTGGACACGAGCATAGTCACGGTCATGGTCACGATCACAGCGATCATAATCATCACATTAGCGATCACCATCTAGCTAAAACTACAGAACATGCTCACGGATCTTTAGGGCACATGCATTCCTGAGACTTTGTTTTAAACATATCTGTTGACTTTAGATAATTTCATTACAGCAACCTAATATATCAGGTGCTAGGCAAAGTGTGATAATGGACAAGATGGGAAATATTCATGTTCTTGTGCCATGTAACTATTTTAGAGTATGTTGTTTAGAAGTTATTAATTTTAAATAATTAGTTTTTAACTTTTTCTGATGTAGGTATTTAAATACAACTAAACAAATGTTTAGTTAGTTCCTAAAAGTATTCATTGACAATGTGACATCATCATTTTTATAATGAATTTTTACTTTTAATAAAAAATAAATTATTTTTATATGACGAGTTATAGTATCAATTATTTTTCTTCCTATTTCAAGATATAGACTGATATAAAATTAGACATTCAGATAAAACCACTGAAAACTTATATTTAGTCAGTTTTCTTGTCAGAAACCCTTAACAATAATTGATAACAAATCATCCCCATAATTTGTATAAAAAATGCTGTAAAAAATGTAAATAAATCAGACAAGTATACAGAAAAAGATCTTAGGCAGCAGCAGAGATGTAACCTTAATATAAGCAGCCAGGTGCGGATACAGAGGGGCCCCATGGGGATCAGCCCACCCTGGCCACCCCCTAAAACTCAAAATTGTGTTAAATATATTAGGCTATATTGTTAAATATATTATACTATTGGGTTAAAAATGTTGCTCTAAAATGCGTATTCTACTTTACTTTTTATTTGCCCCCCCCCTAAAATAAATTCCTGTATACGCCCTGTAGGCAGCTAAAGCTAAGAATAAAATCATTCTGATCAAAACTGAATTTACTGAGAGCAATAACGTGCGCGTTCAGGGGACACAGCCGCTGACTGGCCGCTGAGAATTTTGCTCAGCGGCTGATCGTTGTGTGTAAAAATAGACCGTTCAGGGGGAAGTTGCTCACTCAGCCGCTGACTATCCCGGAAAGCGCTCAATGTTTTAAAGAAAGACTATGTTTTAAAATGAGAACTTTTTATGTGTTAATAACTTTTTATGTGTTAATATGAGTCACTATTTTCTGCATACCTACTGACTTTTTAGGGGTACTATATATTTTGCAATATACAAGGTTCGGCAATAGTGCGTCGGGTATCTGTAACTCCTAGAATAAAAAACTTGAGAAATTTGTTGTTTGACGTGCAAACCTGTGTATGTACCAGAGTACCAGGATATATGTACCAGGAAAATATCTTAACTTCTATAGAGTGGCTCAATTTTTTTTTTCTCTGAATCATCGGAGTTGGTCACCAGGTCATATTAGCGCGGGGCTGGTTTTACGACAGTATTATTATTCTCAAGATTGTTAAATTTAGTAAGCTTCTATGATTCTGACTATGGTGGGTAGAGGCATAAGATAACAGAACTAATTGGGTAGAGGTACCCTACATAATTTTGACCATTTTTGACTATAGATTCTGACATCAGTAACTCCACGATCAGCCTTTGAGCAAAATTCTCAATGGTAAATACATAAAGTTGAGCAAAGTCAGCGATGCTTATATCCACTTTTCTATGTTTATATCCATATATATATTTATGTAGTCAACTGTATGTAGTCTAATCTCATTTTATCTCAGTACTTTTATCATTTGCCATTAATAATATAATCAGTCAATGTAATACTTTTTTAAAATAATATTTATTTTATAATGGTATGTATACATTGGCGCCCTGTATCGGTACTTGTATTGTTGCGCGCAAACCGCTTGCCGCGAACGCCGCGAACCATCTCCTGTCGGCTGCTTGTCGGTTTTTCGGTATATGGTTTTTCGCTCCGCTCTTTAGTGTGTTCTGTGGCTCCGCTTTTTATGTTCGTTTTCGGGACGGCCCTGTGGGACGGCATGGGGACGGCCCGTAAAGAGAATTTATCATGTGTTTTCTTTGAATAAATTCTCTTTTTTGTGTTTTTCTTTGAATATTGTTTATTAAAGGAGTGGTCAAAGAGCCCTACTACTCATCACGAAAATTCCGTAGTTCGTCTCGCACGATAGAGACACGATCACAGAATATACTAACGAAAGACACGATTAAAGACAAAGACTAAACGATTGTTCGCCGGATTTCTATGGATCGCGGGATGTTCGTTAAAACAATTTTTGCAGCCATTTGTGAAATTATTTGAAAATTTACACCTGTGAAGTGTGAAAATAGCTGTTTCTTTTCGCATTTTAAGGATCATTTCAAACATATTTCAAATTCAAATTATATTAACATGCAACTACATGCAACCAATAAAACACCTCAACTAAAAATGACGCCATCCTTATGTTGTTTTTTCCATCATAGTGATGGCAACGTTGATGCACCGTTAGCAGCTTGAAAAAATCGATGGAATCGGGTGACTTCAGTTGACAGTTCAATAAAACACCAGCGTAGTGCCATTTTGTTTTCCGTATCTGCCTCTGCCTTTGTTAACCTAAACATGAACCTAAACCTAAATTTTGTTATTTTATTGCCAAATTCAAAAAGTCCGGTTGTAAATAAATATGAATACAAAGTAATTATCTAGTTAATTTTATAGTTAATAATTTCGAAAATGTGAAAATATTTTTTAGGAGAAAAATACAGGAACTTGCTTCTGCAGTGATAGCAAGGAAGATTCTGAAAACAAGCCATAGAAGCGAATCAAGTTCTTCTGAAATATCTTCAGATTCCGACGAAGAATTTAATGAGGAGAAATCCAAAAAGACAAGATCATTTATTACCCTTAGTAATTTCTACTCTGATATGGATTTTAAAAGCCACTTTAGAATTAGCAGGTCAACTCTTGAGGTATATTAGTTTGAATTTCTTAATGGAACTGAAGGCGCTAAAATGTTATTTCGGTGCTTTTTAGATAATTTTAAAACGAATTTTGCCACATTATAAACCAGTCTATGCATCAAAGGGAAGAAATCGAATACCATGCAGAACTGCTATACTCTTTAGCATTTGGATTATTGCAAATTGTGAGAGTTTTCGAGGTGTCTCAGATCGGTTTGGCTTAGAGAGGGGACATGGCCATAGAATTTTCATTTATATTTGCCAACTGTTTGATTCAAAACTAAAAGAAGAATGCATCCAATGGCCTAGAGGACAGGTAATAGAAGAGAAGGTGGCAGAATTTGATCAAATTCGAGTTAATGGTATACATGGAGTCGTTGGATGTATCGATGGTACTCATATAAGAATCTCTGCTCCTTCTCGAGGTGACAATTCATACTATAACAGGAAGGGTTTTCACTCAGTTTTACTACAAGTTGTTTGTGACGCAAGGAAAAAATTCTTAGACGTTTTTTGTGGCTGGCCTGGGTCATCAAATGATGCAAGAATGTGGGCAAATTCACCACTTGCTAAATATCTAGGAAATGAACCTTGTCCTTTACCAGAAAATTATCACTTACTGGGAGACTCGGCATACCCATTAGAGACATATCTTTTATGTCCATATAAAGATAATGGACACCTAAGTCAAAAACAAAAACTTTTTAATAAAAAGCTTTGCAGTACAAGAGTTATAATTGAACAGGCTATTGGTCTCCTAAAAGGAAGATGGAGAAGACTCCAAAATTTAGATATTAAACAGGTCAGAAAAGCAAAATACTACATTCTATTTGCATGTATTTTACATAATATAGCAATAGAATATAACGATTTCATTGAATGTGAGTTTAACCAACAAATTGATCAGCCACTTGAACAATTTTTTCATGAAACACCTCGAAATACAAGACTTGTTGCAGCACAGCGAAAGAGAGAAGCAATTATGAATTTATTATAATTAGTTCCAACAGTTACATTTTAATAGGCATATTTGTACTTGATAGATTTAGCTTTAGTTTTGGGTATTTCTTTTATGTGATTCTATCGATTTAATTTAATAGGTTTATATAAATGTTACCGTGTTCTAATAGGTATATTAAATAATAATCGACAATGTTTTTTCAAATCTTTTATTTGACCAAAATTTTACATCTTAATATATGAAAATTGCAGACTCAATTTTTTCCATTAAACACCTGACTTATTGAGAACTTCTTATGGCATCTGCCAAATTGTTGATTGCCTCAATTTCTTTAAGCTTCAGTTCCTTTTCATCTGCCCACTTTTGCTTTCGAAATTCCTCCTTTTTCTTCTCGAGTTCCTCGATTCTTTTATTTTTCAGATAGAAATACCTTCCCATTGACAAGATTTCCTGTTTTTTTTTAACGGGTGTTTGAGGGACGCTCCTAACTGTGAATTCAGTATTTTGACAACTTGTAATATTTGGCTCTTCATCCAGTGTATCAGTGATGGAAGCAGAAGAACAAGGATTGAAGGAGGCAGTAGAGCAAGGACTACAGCTCGGACTTATATTCTCATTTGTGAAATTTTTACTTTTTGGTAAAGTCATGGAAACACCTAAGTTTGCAGTGGAAGGGTGAGACGATTCCTTGTAACTCAATACCTCATCAAACTTTTCAAAATATTCCCATGTTAAACTTCCTTCACCACTTGTTTTTTGTTTTTTTTTATTCACTCGGTAAGTATATAGTAAATTCCTGAATTTATTATCACACTGTATATCAGAAACGTTATAGCCATATTCATTCAACTTTGTTGCAATACTTTTCCACAACTTCTTCTTAGAACTTGTTGGTTTAATGAAAACTTGTTCCATGGATAACCGTATATCAATTAATAAAAGTGTGCTTTTTGGACTCCACTGAAACTTTTCTTCATTAAGTGTACCCCTCGGCATACACTGGAGTTTTGAGCTTGAAGAAGGTGAAGGATGATTCTCTGTTTGACAATCCATGTTTCTTTGTTCTCCAAATTCTCTGTTATAAACAAGTTCTGCATAAGACTCTAGGGTTTTCTGATCTGAAAAAATATTAATTTTAATAAGTAGTTATAACATTTTCACTCTGAATACAGTAGGTGTGTAGATTTTAATTGATTTATATTATGACAAAATGTAAGGCAAAGCACAGGACATGCATGGTAAATCTCAATCATATAGATATGTCTTGACACATTAGGAAGGCATAAAAACCAAACCGTGTCAGTCACTAAATATAAAAAAGAGAATATTGGATTCTTTTGAAACCTGTAATAAAATAAAGATTTCTGTAAACATGGAGCCGATTTTAATTGTCACAAAAATTGCGGATAAAATTAGGAAGTTTGTCTACCAAAAGATTTAACTTTGAGCTTTAAAAAGACAAAGACACATTCAGTATGTAACTCAATTTCTAGAAAATACTGACTTACACCTACACTGATTGACATCTGAGCCCTCTACTAAAAATTAATACACTTTTGTAGTCATTGCAATAATTTACTCTCTTAACAAATTAATTTCTATACCTGTCCAGAACTAAAATTGTTGCACCTCATCAGTGACACCCCGCATATTCTTACAAATATAACTGGTGACCATACTGACATGCAAGTATCTACTTGAGTATATACCCTTACCTTACAATACATGTTTTGCTATCACAAAAGCCTACTTAGTTAATATGATTATTGTACCTGCTTCCAAAACTGCTAATAAAGGTTTGGATACAAATGTGGAAAACCTTTTGTTTTGGTACTCTAACTCAATCATTACAAGGCTCTCCTCTTCAGCAGGCTCAGGAGAATTTTCAGCTGCCAATAAGTGTTCCATTCTAAAATAATAATAGTATATCTTCTTCTCATGAATTTCTTCTAAGTAATAAAGTCAAGGATAAAGTTTATGCTCATATTTATTTATTTATGGAAGTGAGTACTTACTTTGTTTGAATTTATTACATAAATTAATTTAGCTCGAGAAGTATGGTGAAAGTAAAAGTGAAAATTAACCTCAATTATTCCAAATAAACAAAACAGCCAACGCTAACGAAAAACCATCCCGTAAAAATGTTGGCTCTGATGACACAACAGAAAAAACATCGACTTTAAAACAACACGACAGTAATCCATCGATTGATGGACTGATGGAATTAACAACAGGAAATTGCCCTCGCGGTGGCAACGTTGCTCCAACAGTTTGATAAAACAACACACGGCATTTTTAATTCTTTGTTTGGAAATTTGGAAAGTGGAAAGAAAAATGGAAATTTGAGGTTAAACGTCAAACGATGAAATTTGTAATTTGTTTTTATAAGTTTAAAATAAATTAAAGATAACGATGGCTTTAAACGTATATCTTGGTGTTTGGAATGAGGAGAAATGTCAGCGATACAAAATAAAGGATATCGATACCGAGGCTAATGTGGACATTTTAAAAGAGCATTTAAAAAAGACACTTGGGGGCAGTTCCATTGATCATTTAGGTAAATGAATAATAAAAATGCATGATAAAAATGTATAGATGTAAAGAGTGTTCTTTAAAACTAAAATTAAAGCCTTTATTTAAAACTATGGTCTGCTCATTTAATAATTACCTAAATTTACATATCACACTTTCGTGGTTATAATTTGTAGAATTCACATTTTGTGGATTATTACTAGAAGAGGATAAACCATTATCAAATTATGGTATTACATCTGGTGTAACAATTCATGTAATTGAGAAGCCTAAACCTAAAATATATATTGATTTAACTAAGAAGTTTACGGAAAAAAAAATTCTTACGGAAGAAACAATTCAAGATTTTATAAGCAGTTATAGGAGTTTCAGAGCTTCACCTTCATTCAGAAGTACTTTACATGTATGACACAAATTTCTTCTACTTGACTCATTTATTATTTAAATTTACTTATTTTTAGAGACTGGAAAATCCAACAGAACTTGACAAAGTTATTGCAGCAATACCCGGTTTAGAAGATGACCCAGTTGCAATTGCATTTATATCTAAACCTGAATTATTTGTGCAAATGGAAGATCCAGGAACATGTTGGCAAGTAAGGAAAATACTTTGTTGGTGGTGTGAAATAATTTCTAAATATTGAAAAACTTACTTTGCACCTTATGTTGTTTCACATAAATTTGCACTGTTTCTAGTGTTTCTACATAGGAGTCCTATGTATGACCTTGTGATAGGATGTAGAACAATACACAGCACATAGACATGTATCAATACATTCTTTTCTGCGTTGCATATCTGTGATTCCCAATTCTGAGAAATTTAATTTCTACTTCCCTTTAGACCTCAGTGCTATCAATGCATCACGACTCAAATTAGGCATTATGCTTAAGACAATAAACAAAACAGCTTCAAGTTCAAGATTCTACTTGAATAAACTAGAATAACCTACTCACTTTAGCTAATGCCTAAAAGGCGGTAATATACAGGGTGGTCCGAACTGTATTCCGGAAACTTCAGTAGCATATTCTGCAGATAAAAATAAGTAAAAAAGTTGGTATAAATGCATGTCCTAAAATTCTTAGTTTCGGAGATTCAGGGTGTAGAAGTTTCATTTTTATTTCAGTTTTTTCCAAATAATTTCTGAAGTAAAGTTAATATTTGGATGAAAATTAGTTTCTGAGAATTTTTTGACATGAGAAATTTGAATTTGTAGTCAATATGACTCCTACTTGTTGAGGGCGGGGCGCCACCTACATGTTTTTTAACCTGTTTGAAGAATAATAACTTTTCTTTTGTACTTGTATAAAACTACTGAGTAAAAAAATATACAATTACAAATTTGATTGGATTTAATGTCAATATGACTCCTACATGTAGAGGGCGCCACCTACATATTTTTTAATTGGTTTGAAGAGTAATAACTTTTCGTCGGTACCTGTATAAAACCACTGTGTAAATAATATACATTTACAACGTTTTTTTACATGAAAAGGTCTCTTGGTAAAAATCGCTACGAGTAATGGTTGTAAACCTTCCAGCTTTTTAAGTAGAGCTATTTAAAGATTAATAATTCTATTATAGTTTCATTTCAAGGATTTCGTTACTATGACTTTAAGAAATATAGCAAGTAAAGTCTAAAGGTGTGTTTAGACTTGACCACGCACGCACTGATCCTTCGCGAATACTCAAGTGTAAACGGCTGTGCGCGCAAGCAGGGCTGGGGAACTGAAATAGGCCAATGAGATCACTTGCCGGTAGCATCAAACGAGACAAACGAAAATAAATAATTTTTTTGATCTCCACTGTAATGCTAAAAATAATTTAGCATTACGGTGTTTCCGCTTCAAACTAAAAGTAGTAGCATCTATGTTATTTTAAATGGAACACCTGGTATATTATTATATTTTTGAAACTTTCATATCTTATAATTTATCTATTATACTAACAGTTTTCGAGATTAAAAATAAAACACGTCTAAAATTGACAAAAACATGATCTTGAATAAGCGTCGCGTCGGTTAAATCATAAATTCGGCATATTGAAAACTGAAATTTGGTTTATTCGATCTGTTTAAAGTCATTTAAAAGATAATAATTCTATTATTATACATATATACAGGATGTCCCAAAAAAGTATTTTAACTGGTATGCAAGTATTTTAAGTGCAAGTATTTTAACTGGTATTATAGTTCAACCCCAGAAACACGCCTATGAGGTTTTTTTCGCGAAATTTTTTTTTGCATATTCCGAATTTTTTGAAAATTTTTTTAGTATTTATTTAAAAAAAAAAATAATTTCTTGGTAATATGGCAACATAGATAGTAGATTAAATTAACAAGTAAGAAAATCCAGAAAAGATCCAGTGGTTTTAAAATTTTTGGCAAAAAATCATTTTTTTTGGAAATTTTCGAAGTAAAATAACTCCGTTATTTTGGACTTAGGTATTTGAAAAACGATAAAGAAAAAAAAATGTTTCTTTTATCGAGATCTACCACCCCTTAAAATACTTGCACTTATTTTTGGGACATCCTGTATTAATTGTTTCGTTTAAATAAAATCGTTATCATGTTAAATATTCAAACTTTATATGTATCCATTAGACTTTACTTGCTAAATTTCTAAGAGTCATGTTTCATGGTCATGGCTAACCATGCCATGACAGGTGCCTATATGCAAAAATCCAAATTTTGATCAGCGGTTCTCAATACAGGTCTAACGTACCATGGCTGTAAATCACCCTGTATTTTAAAGAATTATAATTTTCCGATGTACCACAGTGCATAATTTATTTCCAGATCGCCGAAAACCATCCTTCAATCCTCGTAGCAGCTGTTTACATCGTCACCCTTTTTCACCAAACCACGGCTATGACTTCTACACCAGCTTTTCACGTTCCGACCACTTCCGGGCATTCGTATTCCTTGGACGCCCTCTCGGACGACGACGAAGATATGGAAGGCGACGGATCTACTTCACAAGGCGGCATAACGGCCGCCCAATTGGCAGCCGCCCTCGCTGCCGCCTCCACCACGCAAATAACCCCTGAAATGTTACAACAGGCATTGTCTCCGGTCAGCGGCGCTTCCAGATACACCAGTCAGTTGAGACAGATGCGAGAATTAGGCATGAACGACGAAGGCAGGAATTTGAGAGCGCTGGCCGCCGCCCAAGGCGATGTTCAGGCCGCGATCGATTTGGTGTTTAGCGGGGCTTTTGACGATTAGAGAATTAAGAACTCCCGAATGTATTCGGATATTGTTTTAAGGGAATGTTCTGGAGCAGTTTCAACTCTTGGTATTAATGTAACTGTAATTTATATGTATAACTTAAATAATATTTATTTGTAATTAAAAATCAGTTCATACATCAGCCGTATCTCTTTTGTCTTGGATAATATTATTGTTTCTAAAATAAAAATATCTTGTAAAGTTCTTTTTTCAAAAATTATTTTTTTATATACTATACAAGGTGTCCCAGAAATAGGTGCAAGTATTTTAACTGATAGTATAGTTCAACCCCAGAAACACGCCTATGAGTTTTTTTCCGCGAACTTTTTTTTTGAAATTTCGGAATTTTTGGAATTCTTTTTAGTTTTTAGTTAAAAAACATAATTTCTTGATAATATGGCAACATAGGTAGTAGATTAAATTTACAAACAAAATCCAGAAAAGATCCAGTGGTTTTCAAAATTTGAGCAAAAAATCATTTTTTTTTGAAATTTTCAAAGTAAAATAACTCCGTTATTTTGGACTTATTTGAAAAACGATAAAGAGAAAATATGTTTCTTTTATCGAGATACTACCCCTTAAAATACTTGCACTTATTTCTGGGACACCCTGTATATTTAATATCCTGGCGGAAGATATCACGACCGCAATCTCTTGGGGGTGATACTTAAAATTTTTATTAACCTTACAGCGCTTTCAGATGGAGCGGACCGTACGCGCGGATGTTTTTTCAATATAGCTCATCCGGACGGAGCATACGCGACCCATCTGAAATTGTTCATCTAAGCTCATGGTACTTGCTCGAAGTCGCGGACGCTCCGCTCCATCTGAAAACGCTGTTAGAGGAGTATTACTTATATGGCAAAAGATGGAGCACAAATATAATGTTGCAACTTGATATGTCCACATTTTGAAGAACTTTGCCATATCTTACAGTGTGTCTAAGAATACTGGACAGATGTACAGGGTCTGGCAATAGTGCGTGGGGCATCTGTAGCTGCTATAATAAAAAATTCACAGATTTTGCAACATGCGCAACCATCATAGGCGTATTGAAAATACCAGACAGAAAAGTCGGCGGTGGTCAGCAATCACCTGTTTTTTACATTTTATATTAACTTGTGACGTCATTTGGAAGAGCTCAATAGAAATATAAAAGAACTAAAGCTTGTTTGGAAAGAAATTTGACATTCGTGACGTCAGCACTCCGGCAGTCTAACGTATCGCTAATTGCCATTCGCAAATATATTCCAGATACGTATAGTGAACAAGTGAACCGTTCGCAACGTTAAATAATTTTGATATTTGATTTTTATCGTGTTGGCTTTTTATAAAAGTGAAGAATTTAGTAAGAAAAATATTAATGATGAAGATTAACGTGTACGGATTCATGAATGGTCACGATCAAGGTCACGACACTATAGAAATGTGAGGTATGTATGTATATATACAGGGTGGTCCAAACTGTATTCCGGAAACTTCGGCAGCATATTCTACAGATAAAAATAAGTAAAAAAGTTCGTATAAATGTATGTCTTAAAATGCTTAGTTTCTGAGATACAGGGTGTAGAAATTTGATTTTTATTTCGATTTTTTCCAATTAATTTCTGAAGTAACGTCAATATTTGGATAAAATTTGGTGTCTGGGAGTTTTTTGGCTAGAAAATTTTGATTTTGATGTCAATATGATTCCTACTTGTAAAGGGCGCCACCTACATATTTTGTAACTGGTTTGAAGAGTAATAACATTTCGTCCGTACCTGTATAAAACTACTGAGTAAAAAATATACATTTGCAACGTTTTTTACGTAAAAAAGATCTCTTGGTAAAAATCGCTACGAGTAATGATTCTCGAGATATTTGGAATCGAAATTATCAATACCTGTGACCATTAACATAAATTAAACATGTTGAAATAGTTATTACATTGAAATCATAAATTTGAAATGTTTTTGTGCCAAAAGTTCAACAGAAACTGTTTTCTCATCATTTCTTCGAAGAAAAATTTATGATTAATTTAAAAAAATAAAAAGTTCCCAAATTAAACATTTCACTCAAATAACTATCTACTCAACATGTTTATTTTTTGTCAATAATGACATGTATTGACTATTTCCATTCTAAATATATTGAGAACGGTTCCTCGTAGCGATTTTTACCAAGAGACATGTTTTGCGTAGAAAATCACGGAAATGTATATTTTTGCACTCAGTAGTTTTATACAGGTACGAGCAAAAAGTTATAACTTGTCAAAACAGTTAAAACACATGTAAGTGGCACCTCCTACAAATAGGAGTCATATTAACATCAAAATCAAATTTCTCATGTCAAAAAACTCCCAGACACCAATTTTCATCCCAATATTCAAGTGACTGCAGAATTATTTGGAAAAAATCGAAATAAAAATCAAACTTCGACACCCTGTATCTCCGAAACTATGCATTTTCGGACACACATTTATAAAAACTTTTTTACTTATTTTTATCTGCAGAATATGCTGTCGAAGTTTCCGGAATACAGGTCGGACCACCCTGTATATATAGAATTAATGGCATTAATTTGCAATAGCACCTCGAACCCACGGTTTCATTATGGAGCCAGATTAAACCAATCAGAATGAGTATTATGTTACCGTAAAAGCCCGAATATTGGTTAAACGTAGGGTTACCCACGTAGGAGCCCGAAATATGCAAAAAAGGTCACTTTAGGTTAAGTTTAGATTAGGTCTATATTTTTATTAATGCAAAACCAACTAAAACCTAATTCTAATCTAACCTAAACTCACTCCCTCTTTTGCATATTTCGGGCTATTACCTGGGTATTTCTAGGTTTAACCAATATTCGAACTTACGGTGTAAATTTATGGACGGTCCATATATTATATAGATAGTTGAGTTTTTGTAAATTTATGGACGGTCCATAAATTTAAATTCGCCGTACAAAAAATAAGTAATAGTTACTGTAGATAAAAATAAATTAAAATATAGTTCCACGATAATTTAGTTTGCAGCTTCTTTTCATCATACCCTTATCATACCTAGTAAAAACCCGTTACAACCACTACTCATAGTATGTATACCTATGTATTTTTAAACATCATTATGAGATTTAAGTCATAGGTGCCCATAATATGAGTAGCGGTATTGACGGTTTTTTGTTATGATGAAAATGTTGTGTGATATGAAAAAGCAACAAAATATATTATCGATTGCAGCAACTATACCTAGTTTACATTCAGTATGTCCGATTAATATAGAACATTATAGCTATGCATGATTTTAAAAATTTGCTACCATTATATTTTGATAGTTGAGTTTTTGAAATTATTTGCTAGCTTCTTAAACAAAACAGACCCATAATAATTCAAATCTTTATCATCCAAGACTTCCAAGAATTATAAAGTAATCTCACGTCAAAATTTTTTAAAATTATTGCATACCTTAAATGTTTGCAAAGTTAACAAAAATATGTCTTTGATTACCTGCAATTAATATATTTGGTCCAATTTATCAGTTCTGCATCATATCCGAAATTCAGATGTCAGTGTGACACAACGAAGACTCAACGTGCAACGTGAACGACAAGAAAATGGCAAGTAAAAAAATTGTAAAGTCTTAATTACTACTAATTACACAGTCGTTCTCTTGAGTTCTCCCTGCCTAAAATCTATATTGCCTTCCCTAAGATTTTAAATATAAATGATTGAAACTCATACAAGTTTACCACAATTTAAACTTAAGATAATTATTTAATTATTAAATCCATAATTATATTAAAATATAACACTTACGAAGTTACTAAATATTAACTATTTCTACTTAATCATTTAATAATTCTGATAAAAACAAGCTTGATTATTTATTTTAGAAATCATACGGGCTATAATCGTTAATATGACTATATTAACAATACTTAAATCAAAATTTATTTGAAGGAATGCTACTGTATTACAATAATTGTAAAACAAGTATGTAATAATAACTCGGAATAATTATTAAAAACTGCTCATCTTGTTATAGATGTCGGCGTCTTGTCTCTATTATTTTATTAGCCGTTTAGCTATAGTTTGATTTCAGATAATGTAGATTTTAATGTGCCATTTGTGTTTTTTTATTGGAATTATTATTTTTAGCATATTTGGTATACTCTATGAAGTTATTTTTAAGTGCTCCTGTCCATTTTTCAATTATTAAAGTGCCTTTAGATACAATTAAAATTGATTAATTGGTGTATAGTATTTGTATTATGGGTTTGTTTATTTTTTATGAAATGAATTTTTTTCCTATTAAAATAAACATAGCTTACTAAATCACTAGCTAGCCATTTTTAAATACAGGATGTTAATTAAGTATCTGGCCAAACTTCAGGAGGTGATTCTTTGAGTGTTTTTAGGGTAAAAAGTTCATATAAACATGTGTCCGGAAATGTATAATTTTAAAGATACAGGGGTGTCAAGGTGTTTTCTAATAGACCTTTTTTATTAATATCTCAAAGATCCGTTAGCCGATTTTGTTGAAATTTCGCCGTGTTGTGAAATTTAATAAGTTAGCATTAATTAAATGATAATTATTATTTACAACAATATTTAAACCATAAAAACTTATCTCAATAAATATTTAGCACCGCCTTGAATTCATTTTTTACGTTGGCGGTGGAAACCATACAAGCTTTTTCTTTGTCCGAAGTTGTTAATTAAAAAAAATAATTATCATATAAAAAAATATAGGTCCTAATAGCCTAAATTTTATCAAAATATATCAGCAGATCCGATGAGAACCGAATTATTATATGTTTTGGAACTTAATGATTTAATTAATTATTCCCTTTAACGCATCGATTGTGCGCATTATCCTACGCGCCAAGAAAAAATATTGCATTAGTCTAAATTTATTATTTATGTTATTCCGCTCTTCACATATAATTTGCCCCTGCTTCTCATACGGAAAGACTTAGATTAAAATAGCCCAACTGTACTTAACAACCCATGTCTTGACGCATATTCTTTTTTTATAATAATATCGGCTTTCCCAGACTAAACATCCATATCCCTAAAATAGTTGGCCCACACTAATAAGACCTCATTTCGGCCTTGGGACGGCCTTGCTCTATTCAGCTATCGAGTTACGTGTTGACAAGTTGATTAGGCAGGTTATTGAACTCCATGTCGCCTCTAGCATGTCGTTTTTTCAAAGATGGGTCCCATATAAACGCGGCCAGAAGTATTTTCAATACTAAAACTTAGAATTTTGTGCCAACCTAAAGTATGTATTAGGATGTATTTCATGAAAATATTTTAACTTCTACAGGGTGGCTCAAAAAAGTGAGTGTTTTGGGATAATTTTTTTTAAAATTGAACAACCCTCTATATTATTGCACTTTGTCTTCCTTTCTGATCACTTTATATAATCCTACAATATTATTAAATATGTTTCAGTAGTTTAAGAAATATTAATAATTAAATAAAAAAAGTAATTTTTTCAACCATTTAAAAAAAATATTATTTTTTTTTATTCGCCATCTAACAAAGTAATAATATACAGGGTGTTACATTTAAAAGAAAAACTAATTTATATTTTTAGAAAGTTTGGCATAGAATTTTGAACACCCTGTATGATTTAAGATTTCGATATTTATAGGAAGGTAACAATAGGAAGGTACAGTCCAACTGCAGTAAATATCTAATATAGTTATGATTTCAGGACATTTCTTGTATTTTTAATATTTTTTTTTTAAAAAAGGGCTGAAAAAAATACTTTTCTTTATTTATTAATATGTTTGAAACTATCAAAACATATTTAATAATATTTTAGGATTATGTAAAGTGATCAGAAAGGAAGCCAATAATTCAATAATATACAATGTGTTCCATTTAAAACAAATCATCGCGAACGACTCGCACTGTTCTAAACCACCCTGTAGAAGTTAAAATATTTTTCTGAAATACATCTTAATACTTTAGGTCTACGCAACAAAATTCCTACGTTTTTTACTATATTTATTTATTTATTTATTTATTTATTGAGTGTTAGGGGGTGCAAACAGTACGTAGTACCAAAATAGCATCCACAATATACTTAAATCAGCAAGTAATATACAATAAAACATAAAGATATACATATACAAAATGGAACATAACAAAAATTATTTGTGACAAAAAAAAAAAAAAAAAATGCAATTGAATGCAATATATTATAAATGTAAACGTAATATATTTTATGTATTTTTAGAGGAAGAAAGCCCTCATAATTTTTTTAAATTTCAAAAAAGACAGCGAAAAAATGTCTATGTCTACTCTAGAACTTAACTCATTAAATGAATTCTGCATTCTAATCAATGGAGAATGCTGCCCTGTGTTGGTTCTGCGATACGGGATATCAAATAAATTTGTATTTCGAATGGTTCGGCTAGGGATTCTTAAGTTGAGTTGTGACAGTAAGTAAGGAGAGTCAATTGTCGAATGCAATATTTTATACAACATACACAAATCCGATACTGTTCGTCTATCCTCCAAACGGATAATTTTAAATCTAGAGCGAATTTGGTTGTAGTCTCTCTGCTCAGTCTCAGCCGCACGCATCTTGAAAGCCAGAAACCTCAGGAACTTATTTTGAACACTTTCTATTCTATTTACATATATAGCATATTGAGGATTCCAGATAATTGAAGCGAATGATATTCTGCTATGAATAAACGCATAATATAAAGCTATAAGTGTTCTAGGATCCCTGAAATCTCTTGAATACCTGTTTACAAAACCAACCATTCTATTGGCGGTATTTATTGTTCGTTCTACGTGGATTTTAAACGATAATTTCTCATCAAATGTCACCCCCAGGTCTTTCATATGTGTAACACTTTTTATATTTATATTGTTTATTTTATAAGTGTGATTAATTTTATTTGAGTTTTTTGTAAATGACATGTGGAAACACTTAGAAGGATTTAGAAACATCTGGTTATCCATACAGAATTTCTCAAGCCTGGCGATATCTTGTTGTATTTTTATGCAGTCATCTGCAGATTTCACTCCTCGATATATTTTCAAGTCATCAGCATAAAGTAGTACGTTACAATGTTTAAAGCAAGATTTTATGTTGTTTATATATATAATGAAAAATAGTGGTCCCAGATGACTGCCTTGAGGGACACCTGAAGTTACTTTAAACGCGCGCGACTTATAACCCAACACAGAAACCACGTTCTCTCTATCTGATATGTATGACTCCGACCAACCCAAAATCGCACTGTCCACGCCCACCTCAGCAAGTCTCTCCAACATCCTATTATGGTTAATTTTGTCAAAGGCCTTGCTGAAATCAGTGTAGACAGTGTCGACCTGAAAACGGGCGTCCATATGACCTGATACATAATTTGAAAAACACATCAGATTTGTCTCCAGCGAACGATTAGGAAAAAAGCCATGCTGCTCTTCCATTATGGAACTCTTTACAGTGGATAATACGCGATCAAAAACAACCTTTTCTAAAATTTTACCAAATATGCACAGCTTACTTATTGGTCTGTAATTATTGACATCATTGTTTTGACCACCCTTAAATATTGGACTTATCTCAGCCACTTTCCATCTATTAGGAAAAATTCCTTGATATAAAGATGCATTATAAATTATATTTAAGGGTTGAACCAGACAATCTCTACACTTTTTTATAAAGACAGGAGGGATACCGTCCGGCCCAGGGCATTTTTTCAGATCTAGTTCATTAATAATTTGGAGAATGGTATTGTTTACAATAGGCTCAATAGTTTTTGTGCATTTGTTAACACTGAAATGGCCGTGACGTGTGCTATGATCTTTTATATAAACACTACTGAAAAATTCGGCAAACAAGTCAGAAACTTCTTTACCCCCGTTTGCCGTTTTATTATTATATTTTATTGAGTGGGGTATAGCATCATGACCTCTCTTCTTACTAGCAATAAACTTCCAAAACTGTTTTGAATTGCGCAGAATCTCACTTTCCGTATTGTTAATAAAATTTAAATAGTCACTTTTTATCATTCGCTTAGAAAGAGTCCGCAGTTCACAAAATCTGATGTAGGAACTTTGATCTTTATACCTTTTGTATCTTTTATGAAATTTGTTTTTCTGTTTTATAATTTTTATGGTCTCAAACCCAAAGAAAACCGGAAATCGACCTTTTATTTTACGAACAGGGACAAACTGCTGTATTGTTGTATTAATTATATTATAAAATATTTCCACCATTGCATTCATTTCATTATTCAAAAGACTCTCCTCCCAATTGACTTGGGACAACTGGTGATTAACATTGTCATAATTAGCTTTATTAAAATTGTATATTTGCATATTAGAATGTGAAAGGCATTTAGTAAGCGAAATATTCCACAAGAAATCCAATGCCCTGTGGTGATGATTCTCCTGAACCAAGTAATGCAATGATTGATTTACATTTAAAATAGAGTTATTTTTATTGCTTAAAATTAAATCAAGAATTTTGTTATTACTATTGTATACATTGTTAAATTGCATCAACCCGAAATAGGAAATAGCATCTAGAATTTCTGAAAATTTATTTCCAGTTTGAAACGGTTCCAAAAACAATTCGCTAGAAATTTGCCAACTTACGGTATTCAGGTTGAAATCCCCCACCAACAGAGCAACATTCTCCTGAATAACAATTTCATTCGAGTATAGATTGTTCACAAAAGCACTCACAGAATAGTCACAATTTGGTGGTATATAGACACAACACACAAAAACGCGGCTGTCTCCAGTTCCCACACAGATCCAGACATCCTCGGCCTCCGACTCAAGCTCTACACATCTACTTGACTGGTAAATACTCTTCACGGCAATAAGGGATCCTCCGCCTTCTTTTTTTGTTGAAGTCGCTGTTTCCCGATCTCTCCGATATACATTATATTTACTGCTAAACAGCTCACTGGTTAGTACAGTACTGTTTAACCATGTTTCAGTCAGACATATGATATCATAATCATTTGAAACCAAATTATTATAAAATCTGTTTGTTTTAGTTCGTAGACCCTGTGTATTCTGATAATAAACATGAAGTTCATTTATCATGGTGATGCAGTTAAATGTTTTATTGGTAAAGGTTTAAGGAAACTTAAAAGTTACAGGTTTTCCAAAATATTCGTATTGCGTACAAGAACTATGCGGGAGGTATCGTCTTTACGAATAAAAACCATTCCATTTTTCGTCCAGGTGTATTTGTAATGTTTCTCCTTCGCAACCGATCTAGTTTGTTTAAATAAAATTTTATTCTCTAAAGTTAGGTGTTCGTTTATGTAAAAATTATCTGATATTCCCTTTATCTCCATTCTTGGTGAGCCATTTTCCTTACGCATTCGCTTTTGTTTAGCTGCTGCAAGAAAATTTTCTTTTTCATTGCGGTTATTGAAACGAACAATTATATTTTTAATTTTATTATTAGAATTTTTGTTTAGTTGGACTCTGTGCACATACTCAATTTTCTCAGATGCAATGCTGTAGTTAATGTAGTTTCCTATTTCATGGATTACAGTTTTAAGATTTTCGTTTTGTTTTTCGGGGATTCCCTGTATTTCAATATTATTTAAACGACTAGATTGCTCCAAGTCACTCAGCTTTAGTTCGAGATTAGCAACATCCGTCTTCAGTTTTGCATTTTCTTTGAGTATTTTGTCGGTAGCCCGCATCCACTCGTTAATTTTTATTAATTTTTCCTCGAAATCGGACACCTTATCAGAACAGAAGGTGACCGAATTAGACAAAACAACCTGCTGCTCCCGGATAGCACGAAGCTCCGCAGTGATGGTTTCCATAGCCGCCATGAGATCGTTGTTGCTTATAGAGCGCTCAGGGTAATTCCGCTTAGTGCTGGTGTCTGCAGTTGAACGTTTATCGACGGGCGGAGAACTATCGACGGGTGGAGTGAGAGAATATCGAGAGCGCGCCCCATCTCTGCAGTCTGAACACTTCCACATAATTCCGTCCACACGTAGGCTATCGAGCTGTTTACCGGCAATTCCAAGACACTGGCCATGAAAAATCGCTCACCACAAAAACCACTACACTGCATTCCGGGTTTCTTTCGATTAACGGTTTCCTTGCAAATCTTGCATTGTTTATTCATTTTGACTTAGTATTGGTTTCGTATAAAAACTTGCTTTATTAAAAATTTTAACGACGGTAAACACTCTGACCGCGATGTTTACCGTGTGAGTGTCTACCTACTACAGTCACAGGAGCTACAGATTGCCTGACGCACTATTGCAGGACCCTGTATGAGAATTTTTTAGATTTCTCAGAATTTTTATTCATGTTAAAAGTATCTGTATCCTATCAACTCGAAATAAACCAATCAATAGAGAACGGCGACGACACGTAAACATTTACGTACGCATGCGCATTTCTTATATTTTTACACGTATTCTTTACATCTACCTATACGTAGCAGCAGCGGCCATAGGCCGTTTTTCTCTAATATTAAAGTATTTCACTTTGTATAAAGAATAGACGTAAAAAAGATGTTGAGAATGAAAAATTATCAGACAAGGCATATTTTAAATCTACCAGACATGTCAATTTTAGAAAAATAGATACGTATACCATAATTTTATTAAGAAAAAGAAATATAAAGACTAATAAACAATTAACATATCAACAATAAACTATTAATATAAGATTACAGTTGAGGGTTGGATCTTTGGTGTTAGAACAGCAAAATAAAACACTAATTCGCCATAACACACCAAAATACTTTACTCTTGAACTGGACGCGCGTTTAGCTAAACATTTAAAACTCAAGTTTTAATCATCTGCTGATGCTAACATGGTTAGAAAAACGCGCGTCCAGTACAAAAGTAAAGTGTTTTAGTGTATTGTGGTGAATTAAGCCCGGACCCCATTAGCCAACACGCCACGCCACGCGATGCCATGCTACCCCACGTCGTGAAGATATGTGCGTATGTTTTTCCATTTAAATGCATGTTTTGCGTACACACTAGGCAACACGCCACGCCATCCGACGCCATAACACGCTATCACACGTGTTATGGGCGATTCGTCAGTCCCAGATCTAACCGATGTGTTACGGCGTATTGTTCTCCGCTTGCCTCTAGTCCCGCAACTATCTACTTTTGTAGTCGATGTAGGGATGTCGCAAAAGTAAAATAAATCGATATTTTGAATCGATTCAACATCGGATATAACAAAATAGAACCAGAAAAAATCGGTAACAAAAGACTGATCTTATTAATTATCGATATTCGATTCTGAATATATTGGTATTGTGATTATAATCTAATATCGTTATGGGTATCAATACTTCTAGTATATTTTTGTAACCCTACTGATAACCTTTTTAACTGTAATAAAATTTCAGGCGTGTTAACACGTGATACCTAATGTCTACACACCCAAATGTTACAAAACCAAATTACACCCATTCTCACGTCACAACACGTGGGATAGCGTGGCATCACGTCGGGTGTTGGCTAATGGGGTCCCGGCTTTAGTGTTTTTATTTTTTGTTATTAATATAATAGAAAAAAAGCAAACACATTTAACATAAACAAGAACATAAACAATTTAAACAGTGATAATATAAGATGTAAATTATTTTAGCAATATTGAAAATGCTGCTGCAATAATCCTATTACTTAAGTAAGTTAATCAGTTTGATGAGAAAATAGTTTGCTAGGATTATATAATTCCTGCAGGATAGTCTAAGAGCTGGCTACATAAAAAACCTTATCATCGTTACATGGCAGACATTTTTCTAGTCGCTAAAATGCCGAAAGAGGCATGAAATTTTAAAAATTATTAAAAAATGAAATTTGAAGAATGAAAAAAATTATGGCATACATGCATGCCGATTGGTGGAATGTCATATTTACTTATTTTAAAGCCGTATGCAAAAGGGCAGTCAAAAAGATTGTGGCTAAATCAACTGCAGACAGTTATACAAAAGCGCGATATTACTCTAGCGCTTTCAGGGAACGCTCGCCGCCTTAAGCTTGATTTTCATGCGTCCGTTATACGTTGATACTGTTACGTTTTTCGTCGGGTTCGTGTGGATAGAAAGACACAATTTATTTAAACACAACTTATTTAACACTAATTAACAAAAACAATAACGATAAAATACTTAAAGAACTATTTACAAACGATTTATAACTATTTATCTAGAAAGAATTTATTTTGAATTTTAGCGCGTCAACTGTACTCGTCTATTTATGCCTGTCCTCGTCAGGCCCAGCCGTCTGTTTATATACCCACAGCTCTGGTTCTCGAATAGTCCGTTGCCGCCGAGATTTTTCCATTCGTCCTTGAACGGCGCCAGGCGTATTAAGCTTGATTTTCATACATCCGTTATCCGACGATACGATATTAATTTCATTGATTGAATTTAAAGATTTCGATTGGTTAGAAACGGTTAACCAATCGAAGACTTTAATCTCAACCAACAGAATTAATATCGTATCATCGTATCGTCGGACAACGGATGCATGAAAATCAAGCTTTAATCAGCTTAGACCGGGTTCACACGGGTCCGTAACAATACGATGGCCCGACGGTGCTCTGATTGGTAATAGTGTTTTCGCGCCACTTTTCATCCGTAAATATTTTACTTCAGCCCGTCAACGGACCCGTTCATATGATAACGGACATTTTGACACTTTTTTGACTAATTTAATCTAACCTTATAGTACGAGAGCTAGCAACGTCGGAAAAACAAGTATTTTAAGACGTCTGGCTTTTTGATATATCTTTTACTATGCTCTCTAGAACAGCATGCGGCCCGTCTGGCTGCCGGTAAACGTTGCGTATTGAAAGATCCTGCGCATTGAAAGAAGATCCTGTATTTTTATTAGTCCTTTAAATTCTAGTATTGAATATTAATCGAACATATCTCCATAGCGCAGTGCGTAGAGTTCCCGACCACGAACCGATGATTCGTGGTCAGGGCAAAGACTTTTTTATTTTATTTTCATTTATATTCTGATAGTAAAGTATTAAATATTTGTTTTTGAATCACCATAATTATTTTTTTGAAAAATTAGCCATGTAACGATAAGGTTTTTTTAAGTAGCCAGCTTGTCTAGAAACATTGCTTGACTTTTTTTTGTGAATGGTATAACAAATTTTAATAAAGACCACCCGGCCAGGCCTGACGCTCAGAACCATCCATTTCGCCAGCATGGGCATTACTACGTAAAAGGTGATGGTCAGTGCCCCCTATCTGGGCACCACAAAAACATTTTGCAATTTGCATGGCACCTCCACACTCCCCTATAACGTAAGGATGCCCATTAGGACATTTATACCAATGACCTTTAGACATGTCCATAGCTTTAACTATTTCTGTGCGTTCAGCATCAGTAATATTGACTAAACACCCTACTTTTTCAGACAGGTTTTTCAAATTAATGGCCAAAGCCCTATCAATCTCTTTGGTGTACCTAGAATTCGCAAAAACGACTTCTTTAATATTCTTTGATAAAGACTGAATACCCGGATTATTTGCATAGCTTGAATTTTTAGCAATCTTCTGATATTGGACAATTCTGTTTAATCTCAAAATTTCATTTCCTATGTCATCTATTTCTTGATCGGTTATGTCATCTTGCGATCGTAACAAAACTTGCAAGACAATGTCTAACTGTATAATTTCCTCTGGAGTGTACAGTAGACGTGGATCTTTAAAAATCGGTTTAATGTCAGATAATATCTGAATTTTAGATTTTACTGCATTAAGTTCTATTAGACCTATAGGTTGTCTTCGACTATTTCTTACAGGTTTCAAACGATCTTCTAGCATAGTAAGGAGCTCAGTTAGAGAACTGGAACCTAAAATGTAATAAATAAACAATCTCATTTAGTTTTTCAAATTGTGTAAATTAGTTGTCCTAAAATTACTTAAAATATAAAAAATATCTGACTTAACATTACCTATAGTATTTATATAATAAATAAAAATTCATATTTTTTAAACAACAAATGAAAATAAATAAATTCACCTAATCTACTTAGTAGAACATATTGTTCTTTTAGCCATTGAAGTTCTTTTTGAAGGGTTGACCTAAGCTGTTCATTTGACTTTGTTCTGCCCAAACATTTCAGTTTAACTTGAACAATATCTCTTAGTGTCATTTTTATGTATTTACTGTACCTTTGTGTTGTGGTAATGCTGGTCTTGCATCTAAACATAAAAGAAGTTAAATTAATAAATTACCCTTAGTAATTAATTACTAAAACTCTTAAATTGTGGGCAATATCAGTTATACCAGGTATCACAATATTTAGGTATAGGTACCAAATTGATTTTCTATCAGTGGCGGCTCGTGATCACTTGTAAAGGCTAAGCAAAACAATAACATATTAGCGTAGGATTAGTATGAATTTACACTCAAAAATTCTCGATTGAAAATAACCGGGATAGCGCAGCGAGTGATAGCGTGACATTCTAACGTTTATCGCCAACGAGGAAGACAGAATTTATGATCAACGCACAAGACAGAATGGAAAGACAAATTAATGAAATAATTTGACCTAGCTGCTACTATATTTAAGGTAAAATTTTGCTTTACCTGTTTCCCCTGGCGAGCCGCTACTGTTTTAAATGATGAATATTTCTCCTTCTCTTGAAAGAAAGGCGCTTAATAAACTAATAATATTAAACAAACTTCGGTTGGTTTATGATATAAAATACAGGGTGTTCATTTTGAAATATTTATAGAAAGAAATACATAAAATTTAGTTATGACTCTATACTATACCGGTTATCTCGAAAGTGGCTCACCCCTATAACTTTTTTATTTTTTCAGATAACAAAACGAGATTTGGTATGTTAGTATATGATATAAATTAGGATTGATTGACGTATTCAATTGTTTTCGGTCACTTCCTGTTTCACGGGAAATGACTTCAACTTTTGATTTTTAAATGGCACTCTCTATTTTTACTTTATTCGATAGAAAATGACACTCTGAATAGAATGACATATCATATGTCAATTTTTGACATTTTCGCTTAAAAACAAATCGTATTTTAAATTTCAATCTAGAGTGCTACGGCTGCGTTAAAAAAACACTAATTTTTAATCAAGGAGCCTTGGAAAAATATATTTGATCATTTAAATGTTTTTCCTGTCTTGTCCTGGCCGGTTAAAAGATGTCTAAGTCGTATTTTTAATCATATCTCAATTTTTTCAAATGGAACAAGGGTGGCTCATTAGCATATTTGGAAAAAGCATTTTTTACGAATAATTTGGTACCATACACTTGGTATTTCTAGTCAAATTGTCGTTATGAATAGCATGTTACAATTTCAAATAAACCATATGCGAAAATGTCAAAAGTTGTCATTTTCACATTTGTTAGACTCAGAGTGTCATTTTCTATCGAATAAAGTAAAAATATACCGAGGGTGCCATTTAAAAACCAAAAGTTGTAGTCATTTCCGGTGAAACAGGAAGTGGTCGAAAACAATTGAATACGTCAATCAATCCTAATTTATGTCATATACTAACATACCAAATCTCGTTTTTATCTAAAAAAATTAAAAAGTTATAAGGGTGAGCCACTTTCGAGATGCACCCGGTATATACAGGGTTTGGCAATAGTGCGTAGGGCATCTGTGACTCCTAGAATAAAAAAACTTGTGAATTTTGTTTAAGTGCAAACCTAAAGTGCGTACTAGGATGTATTTCAGGAAAATAATTTAACTTCTACAGGGTGGCTCAAAAAAGTGTGCGTAGATCGGGATGACTTTTTTTTTAAATGGAACACCCTGTATATTATTGCATTTTTGGCTTTGAGTAAATATATTTCGATAGGTAAGGTTATAATAATAAGGAAGGACTAAAGGTCGATTTATAAACTCTACAGTTGGCTTTGGATTTGGCGTTGGCTTTGGATTTGCCGTCGACCGTTCGTAGCGCCGCAAAATCGCATTTATAAACTCGACGGTTGGCAGTTGGCTTTGGCCGTTTTGGGCAGATCTAACCTTAGCAGAGTCTATAGTGCGTTTTTAGAGACGAAAGTGTTTAAAGTTTTGGTTTTTTGTTCGAGATTTTTAATTATGGATTTGGAAAGTAATGGTCTTGATGAAATTACCCTATTAGGGTTATTGGGAAAATTTGGAATTCCCATACTTCAAAACTAGATGTAAACAAAGCATCACGTGATCGCTCTTTACTATTCTATTGGCTGTAACGTCATTTGCTACGTGGTGCTACGGACGGCGAACCGCCTCGAACGGTAAAAAGTTAAACATAATTCAAGTCCAACGGCAACCGGGCGCCAAAGCCAACGCCAACCGTGTTTATAAATGCTCTTATGGTAATATACAGTTTCAAGAATTGGGCGGCGGCGCCAAATCCAAAGCCAAATCCAACTGTGAGTTTATAAATCCTACTTAATACTCGATAATGAATACGTTATTAGATGGGAAGGTTAGGACTAATACTCGAAGTATGAACTAATCATAAAATATTATTCTTTTGTAGTATGGAAATTCGCTATAAACCTGTGGCGTAAGTAAGTTGTTAATATACTTATTGCATCTTGCCATAGATGCCGCAGAAACATCAAATAACGCCCGTAGTAAAATTCAAAAAACTAGTCTGTCTTGCGCAAGAATATACGAATTTATGGACAGTTTTCTGTAAGTATAATTTAAGATTAGATTTTCTTTGTAATTTTTATATCCACCGTAAAAAGTATATATTCTCTCGCTGGATACTATGACGCCTAATTATAATAAAAATATACTTATATACTTACTTCGGGCAAACTTTGAACTTAATTTGGTCTTCATCTGTTTTTAACCAATTTTCCAAATCAGTATGTTCAAAAATATGACCACAATCTCTTAGCATGACATATATGGCATCAGGTTCGTCTTCATTTCCAAGAAATATTTCTGTTAATTCCTCTTCATTACAAATTTTGCACAATTTTGGACACGGATCGCCGCAGAAACCAACGCACTGATGACCGCAAGGGAGAGTTTTGGAACACCTAAAATTCAAAAAATGACCAAGGCAGGATGTAATTAGTGTTTTTAGGTTAGAGTATCTCTATATGTACTATAGACATTAACATTTGTCAAAACGCCACTTTTATACAATTTCTATGATTTTAATCATCAATTATTACATTTAACTTTTGTCAATTAATTTATATAAAAACACGTGTCCGAAAACATAAAAACACAGTAAATTCCTTCCGATTAAACATACAAAAAACCCAACACGTTACCACATTAGCATTGGAAGTTTTGTCCGCGTAAAGGTTGATTTTTACTATACCTTCCGTTTACATAAACTATTATATCATGTAAATGAATAGGACAATGCACACTATCCGTTCCGTTTCCCTCCTGTTCCATATCCTTTCTTTCCATACATTTTATTCGCGGATGGAGTATGGACTGAAGCGTATCGGAAACAGCGTTGTCAAGTTCTTCCATTTGTACCAGCTCTGTTAAAATTTTGCTGATCTATTATTTATTCTTTCGCCTCTTAATTAAATCTATTATCTTTTTCAAAAGATACAAATTTTTAAAATAAAACTTTCGTGATGATATAAATAATTGTACAATAAAAAGTATGGAATTGATACGGAATGGAAGCTTACGTATAGAGTCAATACAATAAAAATACGTAACGAATATTGAATGGAAACGGAAGGTATAGTGAGAATCAACCTTAATAAAGACACATCAGTCGGCAAAAAAAATGAATAGCATCAAAGAATATTATAGTTTAAAGAACTCTCGTGTGGAAGCTTTAGTGATTTGTCACACGGTAGCGCTTTTGAACATAATCGAAGCCTGAAAATGCTAATATTTTAAATTTTGAGGACTACGCGCGGCGATATTTCGTACGGTGTTGCCAAAACATATTTTATTTCTCGATATTTAAAGAAATATGTATTGATTATATATTTCGTATTCGTTAGTACATGAGGCATCCTAAGGCTATAAAAACGTAGCTATGAAAATAAAATATTAGATTTTTAATTTTTTTGTACCTTCTAATAAAAATTACTTCTATTCCCATAAAAAATTAACTATAGTATGATTATGTGTTATCTGTGCTAGTATTAGGAAACTGGAGTGAATACGGAGAATATTAATTCGTTCTCTAAGATGAGCACTACTAAGTAATTTTTTAAAATTCAACCCATAAGGGGGTATTATATTTGTATTTGACTAAGAGTGGGTCCCATAGGGGACCCTCCACTGAGGCCGCGAGGGCCTATTGTGGCTCAGTTTCTACAAGCTCTAATTTACAAGAGCGTCAAAGTTCATCCTCAAGACCCAGCCTCTTAATATAGGCCGTTATGTCTGAAGGCGATATGTCTCCTAGGTCTGATAGGTCTAGCATGGGTTTGCCAAACATCTCAAACCTGGTCCTGCTCCCAGCGGGGCAGGTACACATAACGTGCTTCATTGTTTCATCATCTTCCATACAGAGTCGGCATTCGGCGTCTTCCACCAGTCCCGTCCTCTGTAGGTGAGATCTCAGCCGGCAGTGGCCCGTGTACACTGCAGTGAGCACACTGTTCCATTCCTACCGGCCTTTAGGAGTTCTCCTGTTCTATGTTTGGATGGCCCTGCTAGGATTTTCTTGGCATGTTCCATTCCGGGACTGTCATTCCAGTCTCGGAACGTCTCACCCCTAACCCATTCACAGAGCCTGTCTCTTGCGAGATTTTTAGGAACGCTAAGTGTCGGTTCTGGGCCCACGAATGGCGAGCCTGCACCAATTTTGGCGAGGGAATCAGCACGTTTATTTCCCTCTAGGCCGACATGTCCCGGTATCCATATTAGCGACACTTTGTTCCTATCTTCCAGTATATTGAGTAGTTTCTCACAATGAAGAATCGTCATAGACGTGCTTTTCGTTGCCTCAAGTGCTTTCAGCGCAGCTTGACTATCCGAAAATATGCATATTGTTTTCCCGGTGTATTGCTGTTCTACCAGCAGTTGCACACAGGTTTCAATAGCATATAGCTCAGCTTGGAAGATCGTGGTGTGTTTTCCAAGACTGTGGTAGATCTCAGTCTTTGGACTGCTGCAGTAAATTCCTGCGCCAGATCCTTTTTCGTTTTTGGATCCGTCCGTGTACCAACACATTTCCGCATGTAATAAGCCGTTTCCCGGCTTATCCCACTCGTCCCTGTTCGGAAACAGGACGTTGTAGGTGCGCGTCAAGAGTTGGACTGGTGGTGTAAGATCCGAGATCATTCCCATAATCTCATCCGACTGTAGTTCTTCTACTAGCCGGTTTTGTATGAACATAATTGTTCCTTGGCTTCCTCGTGCTATATTTAGAAACCTATATGTAGCCCATCTCGCCTCTCTTTCCAAAAGAATTTGAAGAGGAGGTAGATCGAGTAGGGTTTCCATAGCTTTTGCTAGATCGAGTAGCGTTTCCAGACCTACTGAATATACATATAAAATTTTATCAAAATCGGTCTAGCCGTTTCGGAGATGGTAACAAAAAATAAAAAAAACAACCCCTATTATAAAATAGGGGATGATGATGGAACGGTGAAAATTTAGGGTTATTTGTATTTTTTAATGCCAACTAAAAAAATAAAAACATTTTTTTCTTTTCAAAAAATAAAAAATGAGGGTGGGCTACCCTTACCGCATAAGGGTATAAAAAATAGTTAACAACCTATTCTTAGACGTACTGAAATACATATAAAATTTTATCAAAATCGGTCAAGCCGTTTCGGGGATGGTAACAAAAAATTAAAAAAACAACCCCTATTAAAAAATAGGGGATGATGGTAGAACGGTGAAAATTTTGGGTTCTTTGTATTTTTTAATGCAAAATAAAAAAATAAAAAATTTTTTTTTTCAAAATATAAAAAAATGGGAATGGGCTACCCTTATCACTTAAGGGTATAAAAAATAGATAACAAACTATTTTCAGACCTACTCAATATACATAATAAAATTTCATCAAAACCGGCTAAGCCGTTTCGGAGATGGTAACAAAAAACATAAAAAAAACAACCCCTATTAAAAAAATAAGGGATGATGGTAGAACGGTGAAAATTTAGAGTTGTTTGTATTTTTTAATGCCAAATAAAAAAAATTAAAATATTTTTTTTTAAAAAATAAAAAAAAATGGGGGTGGGCTACCCTTATCACTTAAGGGTATAAAAATAGATAACAACGTATTCTCAGACCTACTGAATATACATATAAAATTTCAGCAAAATCGATCAAGCCGTTTCGGAGATGGCAACAAAAAATAAAAAAAAAACATCCCCTATTATAATAAGCCAAATAAATTTTTTTTTTCCAAAAATAAAAAAATGAGGGTGGGCTACCCTCTTGGCTACCTTTATCACTTAAAGGTATAAAAAATATATAACAACCTATTTTCAGACCTACTCAATATACATATAAAATTTCATCAAAATCGGCTAAGCCGTTTCGGAGATGGCAACAAAAAAAAATAAAAAACAACCCCTATTAAAAATAGGGGATGAAAGCAGAACAATAAAAATTTAAGGTTGTTTGTATTTTTTAATGCCAAATAAAAAAATAAAAACATTTTTTTCTTTTCAAAAACTAAAAAAAAAATAAGGGTGGGCTACCCTTATCAGTTAAGGGTATAAAAATAGATAACAACCTATTCTTAGACGTACTGAATATACATATAAAATTTTATCAAAACCGGTTAAGCCGTTTCGGAGATGGAACAAAAAATTAAAAACTCAACCCCTATTAAAAAATAGGGGATGAAGGTAGAACGGTAAAAATTTAGTGTTGTTTGTATTTTTTAATGCCAAATAAAAAAAATAAAAATATTTTTTTTTCACAAAATAAAAAAATGGGGGTGGACTACCCTTATCACTTAAGGGTATAAAAATATATAACTACCTATTCTCAGACCTACTGAATATACATATAAAATTTCATCAAAATCGGTCAAGCCGTTTCGGTGGAGTACGGTAACCAAAACTGGTAACACGGGAATTATATAAGATAACATGTAAATTACATGTAAACTGCGGAGTGCGGAGAACGGAAAGACTGATTATAGCAATAGATAAAATTTAAAACTATAATTTAAAACTATTCAAGAAAGTACACACAAAACAAGGCAACGCCGCGCGTCTATTCGTTCAATTCCGAGCAAAATAGCGAGGCTCCACGAAGTTGGGGCCTCGCTCGCCAAAGCGAGGCCCCATCGACAGGTCAGATTTTGATGCGAGACGAGACTTCTAGGGTATTAAGATATTCTTTGATAGCATTCATAGGCCTAGTGACACCCCACATGATATTTCTATATATGACCCCAATGTTTTGATAAATAGCTTGAAATGACTCCACTCATGTAATTCTGAGATAATTTTCATTAGTTTTACATGGAGGTTTAATGTTTCTTACACTTTTATTTGCTAATAAAAATGTTACCTATAGTGAATTTACACTTTCCCGCATTATTTTCCATAGGATTTATTATCCTCTGGATGAGGTATTCAGGAAACTTACATTAAAAAAAAAGAAAGAAGCTAACATTATACCCGTAATATAAATATCATATATATATATATATATATATATATATATATATATATATATATATATAATATAAATAAAAAATCCGTAATACCTACCTACAGGCGATTCCGGTCATGAATTCCAGGTTAGGAAAAGATTAGCAGTAATATATATAAAACATAATTTTGTGTTACATAGTGTATGGTGTACATCGGTGTTAAAACGGTTTATTTTGAAAACGGTGAATAGATCATATGAAGACTTGAAGTAAATAATGTTCTCAGTGCCAAAATCATTATATCGAGATAAATTTATTTATTATTATTTATAACCAATGTATAAGAATGGGTAGGGCTTTATATAATGTTGTTGGTTATGGAATTTAGGACATTTTATTTCACACTACAAGAAGTGACCGAAAACAATTGAATATGTCAATCAATCCTAATTTATGTTAAGGTGCGTTCTCACCGGCTGCGCCGCTCCGCGCAAAACATTTTTTTAACGTGTACTTGTGTATTTTTTTAAGCGCGCACAAACGCGCACCGACAAACGTTCGTTCGTGCGCGCTAGTTCTTCCGTTCATATCGGTTCGCGCCGTGCAACTTTTAAAAAATAAGTCTTTTGTAATTATCTTAAAAACCATTATTTTTCTGAATAAACTGTAAGTAGCACCAAACATCAGTGTTAATACATAGATTTAAAAAAATAATTTATTAATTTTATTTTTATTTTAATGTTATTTGTAATTAATAAAATTGCATCATAATAAATAAATCATAAATCTCATCAAGGAGGCCGAAATCGACAAAAGAGCAAGAGACAACTTTTCATCGACATTCAACGTCTACACAATTTCTACACAGTACGTCTAAGAATAGGTTGTTATCTATTCTTATACCCTTAAGTGATAAGGGTAGCCGAGAGGGTAGCCCACCCTCTTTTTTTTTATTTTTGAAAAAAATAAAATTTTTATTTGGCCGTAAAAAATACAAACAACTCTAAATTTTCACCGTTCTACCATCTCCGAAACGGCTTAGCCGATTTTGATGATATTTTATTATGTATATTGAGTAGGTCTGAAAATAGTTTGTTATCTATTTTTTATACCCATAAGTGATAAGGGTAGCCCACCCCAATTTTTTTATTTTTTAAAAAAAAAAGTATTTAAATTTTTTTTATTTGGCATTAAAAAATACAAACAACCCTAAATTTTCACCGTTCTACCATCATCCCCTATTTTTTAATAGGGGTTGTTTTTTTTAAGTTTTTTTGTTACCATCTCCGAAAGGGCTTGACCGATTTTGATAAAATTTTATATGTATATTCAGTACGACTAAGAATAGGTTGTTATCTATTTTTTATACCCTTAAGTGATAAGGGTAGCCCATTCCCATTTTTTATATTTTGAAAAAAATATATTTTTATTTTTTTATTTTGCATTAAAAAATACAAAGAACCCAAAATTTTCACCGTTCTACCATCATCCCCCTATTTTTTAATAGGGGTTGTTTTTTTTAATTTTTTGTTACCATCCCCGAAACGGCATGACCGATTTTGATAAAATTTTATATGTATATTCAGTACGTCTAAGAATAGGTTGTTATCTATTTTTTATACCCTTATGTGGTAAGGGTAGCCGAGAGGGTAGCCCACCCTCATTTTTTTGAAAAGAAAAAAATGTTTTTATTTTTTTAGTTGGCATTAATAAATACAAATAACCCTAAATTTTCACCGTTCCACCATCATCCCCTATTTTTTAATAGGGGTTGTTTTTTTTAATTTTTTGTTACCATCTCCGAAATGGCTAAACCGATTTTGATAAAATTTTATATGTATATTCAGTAGGTTTGGCTTGGTTTGGTTTGGTCACAACCTATTCCTAGGTTGTTATCTATTTTTTATACCCCTAAGTGATAAGAGTGGTCCATCCCAACTTTTTTTTTATTTTTTAGACAAATTTTTTATTTTAATTGTTTTATAGGGAGTGCTTATTTTTTAGGGGGTGCATGTCCAAAATGTTCTTTTGGGTACTCACTTTCATCACTTAAGGGACCTCTGTACAAAATTGTATACTCCTAGTCCTAGAACGGATTTTACATAAAAATTATACAAATTTTTACCCTTAGTTTTATCCCCTTAAGGAATGAATTCCAAAAATCGCTCTAATTATTCAATTACGCTACATAATAAACCTCTGTGCAAATTCTCATATTCCTTGAACAGAATTTATTGTCCCAGAACGTTCAACCCCTCATTTCACACCCTTAGAGGGCGAATTTCCAAAAATTGCTTCTTAGTGCTAAACTACGTTACATAAGGAACGTCTGCAAAATTCATACTTCTAAAACCGATTTTAACAAACTTTTGTACAAATTGTCATCCCTTATTTCTAGGGGATGAATGTCAAAAATTAGCTTCTAGGTACTCACTTTCGTCACTTAAGGTAACTCTGTACAAAATTTCATACTCCTAGAACTAACATTTTTTGTACAAAATTTCACCCCCCAGTTTCACTACCCTTAGGCTATACATTTCCAAAAATCGCTTATCAATGTTCAAATGCGCCACATCTGTGCAAAAGTTCATACTCCTAGTAGGTACAGATTTTTTTTGTATAATTACACCCCTTTATCTAATTACACCCCCTTATGGGTAGAATTTTAAAAAATTACTTAGTAGTGATCATCTTAGAGAACGAATTAATATTCTCCGTATTTACTCCAGTTTCCTAATACTAGCACAGATAACACATAATCATACTAGTTAATTTTTTATTAGAATAGAAGTAATTTTTATTAGAAGGTACAAAAAAATTAAAAATCTAAAATTTTATTTTCATAGCTACGTTTTTTTTTCATAGCCTTATGATGCCTCATATACTAACGAATACGAAATATATAATCAATACATATTTCTTTAAATATCGAGAAATAAAATATCTTTTGACAACACCGTACGAAATATCGCCGCGCGTAGTCCTCAAAATTTAAAATATTAGCATTTTCAGGCTTCGATTATGTTCAAAAGCGCTACCGTGTGACAAATCACTAAAGCTTCCACACGAGAGTTCTTAAAACTATAATATTCTTTGCTAGTAGTTTTGGGACACTTAGTGTATTTAAAAAAAATATTTTACTGTAGGTAAGGTAAACAGCTATGGCCATGATATATATTTACGTACCGATAATACGAGTGCGCATGATCATCTTTATGTTTCCTCTTTAGGTACAAAATGCACTTATTAATATTTTAAGTATTTAGTCGGAAAGTAACAATATTTAATTAAATTAAAGTACCACTAACCGAAAAGCTCTAATAAATTATCAATAATAAACACAAGTCTCCACAAGCATTTGTCATTCGTCCAGCGTAGAAGCTCGGTATTAGAGCTAGCACTATGACTAATGAGTATTATGGTAAGTCCGACTAATACGGTATTTCGGTAAAAAGAATCGTTTATGAATATATTGCGGTTGTTTTAAACCACATTTTAAAGTATACATACATAATCTATATTTAATCTAAGTATATTTCAAATACCTTTCTATGCAGGGGTCTACGTTACAAATATCTCCACACCACCTGTTGCACCTCACATGTGGGCATCTTCTTGAGCATAGCTCTTTACATGGAACACAAGGTTCACCACACTTTTTATTACATCTATTATGCGAACATTTTATTTCGCACGGTCTAGTGCAAGGTCTACAGGCTTGTCGACATGGTATTGGACATTCATGATTGCATACTAAAGGAACACCGCAGCTCTCAGCACATCTCTTATGAATGCGAGACTGCTTACATGTCCCACAAGTCCCTGAACACTGATGACCACATTTCAGTTTAATTTTGCATGGAGATGAACATACCGAAAGAAGGTCGGATGGCGAATCTGGAAAGCATAGAATATATAAGGTGTTTCAAAAAACATGTGCCATCTCTCGTGGGCAGATTCCTCACATAAAAATAAAATTTATTTTTTATATTAACATAGATCCGATTGCGTTTTGTTTCGTAACTACAAAAAATGAAGACTTTAACCCCATTTTTTTCGATTTATTATAATTTTCTTCCAAGTACAGCTGGTTCCAATAAAATTGAATACGATTTAAAACATATTTTTATTATTTCGGGCAGTATATTCTATGATACTGTTACGTTTTTCGTCGGTTCCGTGTGGATAGAAAGTCACAATTTATTTAAACACTATTTATTTAACATTAATTAACAAACAATAACGATAAAAGACTTAAAGAACTATTTACAAACGATTTATAACTAAGAATTTATTTTTGAATTTTAGCGCGTCAACTGCACTCGTCTATTTATAACTGCCGTCTTTTTATAACTGCCACAGCCGCCGGCTTTTATACCTACAGCTAAAGATTTCTAGAATAGTCCATAGATCGTTAGGTGCATAGAGAAGGTTTCGATTGTTCTCGTATGTACTACTCCATTCCAGTGGAACTCGATTCTTCTCGAATCTTCGAATGAATCATTACGGTGTCTATTCTTTAATGCGATGTTAAGGTCATCCGAGGGCGGGCCATATAGTTAGGTTAGGTCGAGTCCACACCGGTCCGCAACACTGCCCCCTTCTTAGGTACATGCTCCTCCCGAGATGTACACGGTGAATGAAGGTATTTGCAAAGCTGGCCCCTGGTACATTGCGAAGTCTGGTAGAAATAGCAGTCTACAGTTTTCTCTTCCGATCTCAGCTTTGGGTTGTAGCAGCAAACAAGGATCTCGATTCCCGTAAATCTGAACAAGACTTCAATCATGTTCCGGATTGTACGCCAACTCAAACCATCGAGTCCACACGCCAGCTTCGGAATGGCTAATCGTGCAATGTTGTTGTTTAGCAGGGCTTCTCTCAGTTCAATCAGGGTCTTCCATAGATTGAGATAAGTCGGCTCACTCGGGGACCATTCCTTGGTGACCAGGTAGAAGATGTGTCTTGCTTGACCATATGCATTGTCGGTTAGCCTCAAGACGCTTCCAACCTCTGGATCCTGTCGGCGTAGTTCTCCGACACGCCCAAACTTCTCATTGAACGTCGCAGCGATTCCTCTGGACATCCGCAAATCTCGGGCCACACAATGAGCGAGCGAATAATCAGGAGGCACGGAAAAGAGGTCTCGTTGATCTTCTTTGGTTACACCATAGCGAGCCTTCTCACTGCTGTTGTATCGGGCCATGAAATCGTCAAAGGACATCTCCGAATCAGGGGGATCAAAGCTGCAGGTTCTCACGGTCCCAGCACGATCTTCTATTTCGCCTTGGTAGGGGCTCAAACGGTTGAAATGGACTACCCTCGGCTTTCCTTTTGGCAATTTTTTGATACGGTATACGACGTCATTAATCCGATCCATGACTTCGTATGGCCCTTCTCACGAGGATTGTAGCTTCGGAGATAACCCACGACGTCTCTGCGGGTTGTATAGCCACACCAACTTCCCTGGTTGGTATCCTCCATGCTCAGCTTGAATGTCGTAGTGTTCCTTCATTCGGTTACTAGCACTTTGAATATTTAGGCGGACTCGCCGATGGATGTCGTCCATCCTTTGGCGTAGTCTATGTACATAATCTTCTCCGGCGACATCTTCTCCCGGTCGGCAACCAAACTTCAGATCACAAGGTAGGCGCACTTCCCGTCCCATAACGATGCTGGCTGGAGTTTGCCCCGTGGATTCTTGGACGGATGAACGATAGGCTAACAGGAACAGGTGAAGAAATTTGTCCCAGTCTCTTTGGTGGTCAGAGACTATTTTGGCCAAATAACGTTTGATGGTTCTGTTCATGCGTTCAACCATCCCATCGGATTGTGGATGCAGTGCAGTCGTCCTGGTCTTGCGGATGTTAAGGACTTCACAGACGCCTAGGAACAGATTGGACTCAAAGTTTCTTCCCTGATCTGAATGCAGCTCCATGGGGACATCAAACCTGCAGATCCATTCCTTAACAAGAGCATCAGCAATGGTGGACGCTTCTTGATTTGGCAACGCGTAGGCCTCGACCCATTTGCTGAAGTAATCCATTACTACCACAATGTATTTGTTGCCATCGTTCGTCTCCGGGAAAGGACCAGCCACGTCGATCGCTATTCGTTCGAAAGGACTGCCTATATTGTACTGGCGCATTGGAGCTTTACCACGCTTTTGTGGTCCATTGATAGCAGCGCAAACGTCGCATTTCTTGCACCAGGCCCTCACGTCATCTGTGCAGTTCACCCAATAGAACCGTTCACGCAGCTTGCCAAGGGTCTTGCTAACACCAAGATGTCCACCGCTGGTTCCATTGTGAACTTCCGCCAAGACTTCCGGGACCCTCTTCTTTGGAATGACGATCTGCGTTCTCTCTTCTTGTCCCTCTGGTCTCTCAATCACACGGCGAAGTAATCCGTTATCTATTGCCAATGAATTCCACTGGGACCAGTACGACTTCACGTTCGGCGAATATCTGCAAACTTCCTTCCACGTTGGTCTCTGGTCCGCGTTTTTCCAGTTAATCACCAAGCCCAACTCTGGATCACTGATTTGGTCATTTGCAAGATCTTCGGTTTGCCAACTATCACCAACCACAGTGGTCCTTTCACTTCTTTCTCTTCTTTGCAACGATTTCCCATCTGTCCGCAATTCCAACAGCGAATCGATCCCCCCTTCTTGCTCATATACTGATCCAGTACTTTCCGCACAATCCTTTCCACTTTGTAATCGTCGGAACTCTCCTCAACAGCCCGCAACAATCCTAGAGACCTAGAGCATTCTTTCGCGGCCTCAAATTCCAGGGCACGTGCTAGGGCTTCTCCCAAATGTGTTGGATGAGCTAAAAGAAGTGTTTGCCTTGTCTCGTTGTCACGTAAACCATCAATAAAAGCCTGTACTTTTAAGCGCTCCATAACATTTTCGGGCATAGGAGGGTACGCAAGGCGAACAAGGCGGACTATTTCAGCTTGATATTCTCTTAGGGTCTCATTAGGCTGCTGAACACGATTTTTGAACTGGGAATGGTAGACATGTTCCAAATGAGCTTGGCCGTACCTCATTTCTAAATATCGTACCAATTACTGATAATCTCCCTGTTCCGATGGTGACAGTGTCTGCAGAATGTCAGTCGCATCGCCTCGCAGTGCGACAGTCAAAGCCTTTTCAGCGATTGTCCATCCGTTCGCTTTCGCAGCGGCCTCAAACTGGCAAAAATAATTGGCCCAAGCGGTTTTTCCGTCAAACTATGGAGGCTTAATAACTGACTTTGAGATATACTTATTTTCGACGAGCGTCGGGTCCTTCGATGATTCTTGACATTTTGGTGAATTTGCCTTTGCTATTTGTTCTTTCAAAATTTCGATTTTTCTATTTACATCTTCCTCAATCTCTGTTATTTTGTCTTGTAGCTCCGTAGAATTCTCTATAATCTTTTCTTCTAAATTAAGTATTTTGTTATTAAAGCTGGCCTGTATGTCTTTAGAATTTTCTGCGATTTTATCTTCTAAAATATTAATTAAATCCTGGGAATTTTCCATAATTTTATCACTGATTTTATCTTCTAATTTATTCATTTTATCATTTAAACTATTCAAATTGCCGTTTAAATTGTCTTGCAATTTTTGTAAGGACGAGTCAAGGTCACTTTCCTACTCAAAGCAAAATGTGTCAGGATCCTCACCTTCCTCCACCAAAACGTCTCTCAGTCTAGCTTGCAAAATGCTTTTCTTTCCATCTGTCTCGCACTCTCTCTCTTCCAATATGCATTTCAGTTCGGACACTTTCAAGTCTTTCAACAATTTTTTCGAAGTCATTGTCAGTCTTATTTATTTTTTTCTAGTCTATCACACACGCCACACTTGACACCAATTGTTACGTTTTTCGTCGGTTCCGTGTGGATACAAAGTCACAATTTATTTAAACACTATTTATTTAAAAAACTTAAAGAACTATTTACAAACGATTTATAACTAAGAATTTATTTTTGAATTTTAGCGCGTCAACTGCACTCGTCTATTTATAACTGCCCTCTCTAGGCCACAGCCGCCGGCTTTTATACCTACAGCTAAAGATTTCTAGAATAGTCCATAGATTGTTAGGTGCATAGAGAAGGTTTCGATTGTTCTCGTATGTACTACTCCATTCCAGTGGAACTCGATTCTTCTCGAATCTTCGAATGAATCATTACGGTGTCTATTCTTTAATGCGATGTTAAGGTCATCCGAGGGCGGGCCATATAGTTAGGTTAAGTCGAGTCCACACCGGTCCGCAACAATACCAATCCCCCATTTCTCTCCTCATGTCATGCTGACGTTCTGAAAAATTTATTTACCACTTTGTCAAAAGCAAAGTTGTTCTATACAATGTCACAATAACCTTAACATGTCAAAATACTTGACACATAAATATACACTGCCTAAATATTCGAAAAAAATGAGTAGAGTCGTATTCATTTTTTTGGAACCAGCTGTACTTTTGCTAAGAGACGTGGAAGGGGATATAGCAGATTTGTAGCAGTCCACCGGTCGACCCAATCAGTACCTCTGTCAGTACTTAAAGTTCTAGGGAAAGGTATACATCATGCGTTCAGCTTCACGATTTAATTACGTCTCGCGATACTTTATTTGTTTATTTATTGAGTCGTTGTAATTTTCCCTATAGCTTGAAACATTTTAAGTGCAAGTTAGAAACACTTGCATTTTTGGTAAAAAATAAGTGGAATTGAGTTGGTGTTTGGTTTGGTTTTTGCGCTATTAGAATTCTGAATTCAAAATGAATCGATATCTCAAAACCTATTAAAAATAATTGATTGTAGTTTTTATCAAAAACTTTTTTAACATTTCTGTTATATTTTCTTCGCAGACAGTATGTGAAAATCTTTATAAATAAAAAAGTTACACGATTGCTGAAAACTGCTATTCACTAAAAGTAAATGGATAGGTTCTTTAAAATTTTTGAATGGAAAAAACAACCTTATCGAACTTTTCTTATTTAAACATATTGTAAAAGATCCGATCTTCAAAATAAAAAAAGTTTCAATATCTAAAGTGGTTCTTAAGTTATGGCGTGTTGTGTTAAAAAGTTGAGTTTTTAAATTATCGCGATTACTGACGTTTAATCGTTATAAAAAAATGGACACCTTAACGATATCCTTATAATTCCATTTCAGATGCTCAGAAACATATCTAATGATTTTATCTAGTTATCTTTTCGAAAAAAAGTCGTTTAACCCGCCGTTACACGCGTCTCTTACTGTAACGTCGTTGCACGCGTGTGAGCGTCTCCTTCACGTACATAAATTTAAATAGTATAATGGGAGAATGAATATCAGTATGCACAAAATTGCATACGCTTATGTGTACAAATAAATGAAAGTCTCATAATCCATACTAATTATATTTATTTACCAAAACAAAGTGAATACCTTAATGATAATACAAATCTGCGTAAAAAGTTTTATAGATAACGAATACATCTACTCAGATTCTTCTCTCTATTTTGCAACAGAAAGTATACAAAGTTTTTGTATGCTCCTTGCAAATCGGCCACAGTTTACACATATACATACATCTTACAGCACTTTGAGTCTTTCAGTTTTTTCTCCTTGGACAGTAGACTCACGTTGCACTTCCAGCGGCGCAGCTTCATCTTCAATCTCCAAATGGTCCCTAATTTGCATTCTCGACAATACGGGGAGCGTTCTGATATTTGCTCATAACATTTGATGAGGTTTAATCAGCTCGAAGAGCTCGAAGGCTAAGTTTTTTAAATATTTACGTCGTGCCATTTCAATACCAGTATTTTCAAAATATAATCATATTGTATATCATATATTAATATGATTATTAATTAATAATCATATTTTAGTAAAACATCACAAACTTACCAAAATATTTGAACAAAAACCAAAATTTTACGTGAAATTACAGACGAACGTGATTGCACGCGCAGTGAGGAGAACGCTCACATCAAGTACACTATCACTTCGATCAGATGGGGTGCCATACTGATCGCTCGAAATATTCTGCAACGTTATTCCCCCTTACTTAAAAACGATGCCAAAGGCATACCTGGACGCTCAAGGTTATTGTATTATCTACAACAATTTCCTCGTACAAAAACCAATGTTGTGAGGGATTCCCTCATAGCGCGTGTAACGGAGGGTTAAAAATAAGCGGTTTGCGATCGTGACTTTACTTTACCTGATAGGGAAAGGCGTACCGGCAACGCCGCAACAGCACACCGTCGCATTTGTCTCACTTCGACTTAATAAGATCCCTGTGCGATTTACTTCCACACATGTAAGTACCGACCCAAAAGTAACAGTTGCCAGCACGGTATAGGTTATCACTAGAATATTTTGCAAGAAACATGTGCGCCACTAACTTTTTTCTCTTGTTAGCAAAATGGTGTAGGCCGTTTAATGCCGATTAAAAGTTGTATCTTGATATTTTGTCGATTTTGATCCTGATAAAATAAAAGCAATTTTATTGATCACGTATTAATAAAATTAAAATCAAATTAATGAACTATTTATTTTGTTATTAAATTTTATTAAAATTTATAATACTGATGTTACTACCTGCAGCAAAGTCAAGAAAAAAATATTGGTATTTAAGATAATTACAAAAGACCTTTTTTTAAAGATTTAACATCCTGTAACTTTAAAAAACCAGCTACACAACTGTGCTAACAAAAAAAAGTCAGTGGCACACATATTTTTTTTTTTAGAAAAATATGCCACTGATAACCCATATGCACGTCCTTGGTGAATCTGTAGACACTCTTTTAGCATTAAAATATGTCACACTTTATAATAACTTTTACCCTCAAAATTTCATTCGAATCGCTAAAAGCACTTGGTTACTTGGTTAGGTCGAATCACTAACAGCTCTTGAGAGAAAATTATAATAAATCGAAAAAAAAGTAAGTCTTTAACCCCCTGTAGTTACGAAAAAAGCAGAATCGGATCTATATTGATATAAGAAATAAATGTTATTTTTACCTGAGGAATCTCCCTACGAGAAATGGTACAAAAAAGGTTTGTGCAAACCTCCTATCTTCACTAATAACGGAGATACCGTATGATTTCAACTAAAATGGTATACCCCGTACATACAGTGCATATCACCCTAATATGGATTAAATTCGGTAACAAATAAAAATTTCCGACGATATTTTTATATTCACTACGCGAATGTAAGCCTTTAAAATGAACATTTAACGATCGCCTTTAGCTGAAAATGTGCTTCGGAAAACACTTCTAATTTACAAGGTATCCCATAAAAAAAATTATGTTAATAACGGTGACATTTGACAGTAAAACTTTGGCAAAAATTAATAAAACTTGCTTTACTAAAAACCCTATAATTTGTAATTTAGTGATCGTTCTATCTCTAAAAATAAAAGTTTTAGCCAGTTAAAAGTGGATACAATAAAATGCCAACTTTGTACATCTCATATGTTTCAACGAACTTCAAGACAGCCACGAGCGAAACAATAGAGCAAAACGTAATTTTGACAGAACTGCTAATTAGCATCGTATTTATAAAAATCCAGTATAAGTAAAATAAATAAAATATTCTTACTTTTGTCTCTTAAATAGCACGGAATTGACTTTATCACATGTCCACAAGGAGACTGAATGTTGCACTCTACTATTTCCCTGCATTCTTCAGTACACGAAGATTTACAACTATTTTTGCATTTATGACCACAAGGTAACAATCTTGGACATATACGGTTCAGACAGTGTTTTTGCAAAGGTTCTTCTGAACATTTCAATGTAACTTTATGTCCGCATACTGGAATTTCTTTCCCCACCTAAATTATACAAAGCATGAATACATACGTGCAAAGAAAAACGGAAGATGAGTTATTTTTTAAGAATAGACGTTTTCTTTTTCATATAAAATCTTTCGATTTGTCTTTATTATTGAAAATTAATTGTTAATATACGGTAAACTAAAATTACTATATGCATTTCCCTCAATCTCAATTTGCACAAACATATTTACCATGTAATGGGTTTAATGTTATATGCAGTGTTGTAGTGGAGAGACGGTTCCCATTCTTAACGAGGGAACGTTCCCTAGAGCATATATAAGCATAAATGGTCTTGCATAAGCACAAACAAGAACGTCCCCTATCAACAATTTTTACCTTTTTAAGGACATTCTTTATTTTCTAAATAACATAAGAATTTTACAAAAATCAAACATTCTCTATAGGCTTGGTGCATTCTCCGCCGGTGCTGCCACCATCGGAGAATATCTTAAAAAACTAGCATATACAAATACACGGATTTAAATAGCGAGTATACGGAAAATTTATTATATAATTATTCTAAAAGTGTTAGGAAGTATAATTTGTGGAAATTCTAAAAATAAAAAAGTAAATATTTTGATATCTTCAGAAGGTCTAACTTGTATTATCATTTATTATTCCAGCTAAAAAAACTTTTTAGATGAGTTCATCTACGGTAGCAAGCATAGTTTTAATCACCGGTTTTGCGAGTGGGGTCATAATTGGCGCTATTTCGTCTATAACGAAAATTTTTAAAGGTACATAATTATAATTTTAGATGTTCATAAAACATTTAATCACTAGTCGATTAAAAAAGTATACCATTAATATTGCGCGAATTATATTTTATCCTCTCATAGTATAAGTTTATTTAATTTTTTTATTATGTCGAGCAATTTGTTTACTCACTGGTTTCGTCGAACTGCTTGAATCCATTTTTTCTTTTGATCAAATCGGTGTGAGAAACTATGAAGCCATAAAATATTGTTTCGGTAGAGTTGAATATCCAGGAAACTTGAGTTATTGAATGTTACTGCACCCAACAACGCCCTAATTACGGTCTCCTTTACGCGTTAACATTTTTTTGGCAATATTATTAACATTTGAAATTGTCACAACACAACACAGCGCTTAGTTCTATTTTTTTTCACTTATTTTTTACTACCCGAAACAGCGTTACATCACACAAACCTCGTACCTCGTACCTGACTGTTTTATAGTCTCCATAACATCACTAACAAAAAACTAAAATACTTAATATTATGACAAAGCCACGATTTCAATATTTTAATGCGATCAACATGAACTGTAACCGAGACGGCCGCGGCGGCGTGAAATACATACTGATAATTTCCGAGTTCTGCCATTGAAGCGCTGCGATCGGAATTTGTTGAAATCAATTGAAATGCACCAAGCCTATAGGAGCTATCCCAAACTGTACACCGTAAATATGAATAAATATAAATTAAAGTTTTCAAAAATATTTTCCAGAGGAATATCATAAAAAAAGGGAAAAAAATGTTTTACAAATCAATTCTTTTATTTGTCTAAAAAGCCAGCATCATTAACTCTTGAGCAGTATGAATGCTTAATTGATTTGACTTCGGATTCTTCGATAAAAGAATCATTTGAAAATAGGAATTTCCTTTCTGAATTTTGATGAAAAAAGGTTAAATGAAAAAATACCCTTAGCAAAATCTATATTTTGTTACTATTATCAATTGTAATTTGTGATATTATTTAATTACCATTATTAGAATAATTACCTTAAATGGACATGGACCACAGGGAGCATTGCATTTGCTTTTACAAGGATGACCACAAGGCAATATTTTCTTGCAATTTCTAGGACAAATAATATTTTCTATATTCGTATTACAAGCTATATCTGCGAATACGTGTCCACATGACCGCTCTTTTCTTACAGGAACAGTGCATTCTTCACAGGGCAAATAACAGTATAATGTACACATATGTTTTTCCTCTTGTGTGCAGCCAACTTTTGGTAAAGCACAGGGACTATTACATTTATACTAAAACGTAGTAATAAAGAGTAAGTATAATTATTTAATATGAAAATTTATATATAATCATATGAAATATGAAAAAAAAAACGACACCGTAAACTGCAAAAATAGAAAATTAAAATTGCCGTCATGACACTTGACATGTTAAAATACAGTTTTTTATTTATTAGGCACACTATTCACATGATTTTTCATGTTTTTCTGTGGCAACTATTTTAGGGGTCATTTTTATATGGGTATAATAATAATATATAAATAAACTTGATATAAACCTGACCTTCAAATGATCGGGATCCACTCTGATATGACACTGCCTCTTACATGTATGTCCACATGAATCTACTCTTATATTGCATGGATAAGGACAAGCAAACGTTATCGGATCTGATGAGCATGGCTTATTTGTTTCATGATTACATGGAAGCTTCGTAGGTACTAACTCAGGACACTTATAAGTATCTGGGTTAATATAACATGCAATTGTAACTAAGTGACCACAATTCAAATGACGCTGTACTGGATAATGACAAGGTCCGCAATCTTCATAACACCTTTTCTTGCAGGTGTGTTCAGAATTATCACATAATAATCTATAATATGAAAACGTCAAATTAACTGACGTTAACGTAAAATTAAAACTGTTATCATAGATAAATGAAACAAGTTTAGATTGGAAAGTGCCCATAAGGACAATATAAACACTATTTGGCGCTATTCTTGCAACGGTCGCGACCCAAAACTTTTGAAAATTTCGGAGCGGTTCGGCTTTTTCCGGAATTATATCGCCAAATATTGTTTATTCAAATTTATTATTATTTTCGTTTAATTTTATAAATAAAATACAGTATGTTGCAAACAAGAAACTTTATTTTATATAAGGACGCATGTATGAAATACCTATGAAACATTGGAAACCGACGTTATGCCACGATCCACGATGGTTTTTGCAGTTCACAGTTCACAGCACAGCTTTTTAAGTTTTTAATGCCACTTTTTCACAATTATCACCGGTTGGAGTAAATAAAACTTGAATTAAACTCACAATATAGCAATAATTACTTTGAAAATGGATGCTATAAACACTTTTCGGAATTTCTTTAATGAGAGCGGTTTAGATTTTGAAAGATTATTATGATTTTTGAAGATTCTGACTTTGACAAGAAAAAATTATTTCTGTTTTTGTTTGCCGTTGTTCTTAGCGACCGCTATAGCAGCGCCAGATCGCGTATAACGGTCGCGACCCAAAATTTTTACGGGCTTTCCAATCTAAACTTGTTGCCTTTATCTATGACTGTTATGTTCTATTTTAACTGTAACTTACAGGCGGCAAGGTTCATTACATTTGAACTGAGCATGGTCCCGATCTCCCACATGGCATGTCCGTTTACAATTATGACCACAAGCCAACAAAACATTACACGGAAGACTGCAGCCACCTTCAGAAATTATTTCAAAGTCTTCCGCCGATTTAACTTGGGTAAAATTGTAAGGATGTATTTGGCATTTCAATGTCAACGCATCGCCTATAGCATTCTGACTTTGAAGGGTCTCATTTACTTTATCCCAAATCTTAAAAAATAAGGATCTTTAGCAACATTTTAAACCACTAGAGTATTTATAAAATTGTTTATACTTTTATGATAGTTTAGCCTACATGAGTTAAATTATTGAAAAACTTTTTGTCTTACAAATTAATATGCGTTAGTATTTTTTATAACGAGTTTACCACACTATCGAGTGGTTTGGTCACTTTCTTTCGCCTGTTGTCATGAAATCGACAACTTTAATTCATCCAACTGAAAAATTAGAAAATTTATTTTGTCGGACGCAGTTATCATGGGTGTTCCGATAGTCAAGCAGCACTAAAAGCGATCAACTCAGTAACCATCAATTCGTAGTTAGTCAAAGAATGCCTAGAGAAGCTGAACAAATTATGCAAAAAAAATAAAGCCCTACTACTCTGGGCGCCAGCTCACCAAGGGAGAAGACAATGAAAAAGCAAACGATCTACCTAGAACAGGAGAAAACAATACACTAACTGGATCAGAACCTTTCTGCTTCCCAAGTAGAAACCAACTTAAAGCGGAACTAAAGAACCTGGAAGACTCCATCCGTAAACTGGAACGGTAATTCTCCAACGGTCTAAGAGACTTGATGAAATTTCTCAGAACTTACGACAGAGAATAATAAAAGATTTTCCTTGATTTCACTTGTCACGGGGTATGCACGGGTTTTTTAACGGGACACTGCCCCCTCACGGGACACTGAACATTAGATTGAAGCTAAGAAACAACAATATGTAGTTATAAATTATGTTTAAATAAATATATATTTAATGTAAAAATAGTTAAAATAATATCTTTAATATGAATGTATTTATAATATAATTAAATAATATATAAAGCACTATAAAAATAATTAAACAATTATATATAAATATAAAATAAATGTCTTCAGGAATCACAATTTATGTCTAATTATTCGTAATTACACAACGGCGGATACAGATTCGGTGAGGAAAGTGAGGAAATACCAGAACACTTCGTTACTGAGTGCGCCGAGACGACAACCATTCGTGCCATAAACTTTGGTACAACTGATATCGGAGATGGAGAACTAGCCTCTGTAAAGCCGTCTCGATACTGTCTTTTGTCAAAGCCCTAAGATATAATGAAGAATAAGAAAGAGGGACACATAACAGATCTGTAGGGTCACGGTGATTAACCCCCCTCCCAAACATCTCTACCATCTCTGTCTACACTCTACCATCGGTGTCCAACAGATTTAATCAACAAATTCTGAAAAATCAATCATTGAGCTGATTGTCAATAAATCTTAAAAGTCATCAAATCAACATGTTAACTCACAAAATGACAATGTCAATTTGGTGACTTTTTATTGACACCGACAAGTCGTCGATTACATGACTACATAATATGACAAAAGAAGATCAAACTGTTTTCAAAAATTTTTGCAAAAAAATGGCCAACTCTGTCTTAATTCAGAAAACCAAAAAAGTATTTTAATAATTCCATTCATATGTAGGCTAGCCCTCAACCTATTACCACAGTTACATGTATAAAATCGTAGGTCTCAAAAGGAGACAGGCTTTTAAAGCCTGTCTCCTTCAAGGCCGTCGACGCGCCGTCGATCTACATCGATCCAAAACCGAAAGTTGAAAATTTCCAATTATATTCTGATTATGATATTGTCGCGCCATCTAGTATTTTATTTGTGCAATTTTAGCTCTTTCATTTCGAGTATTTTTCTGTTGTGTAGCTAGATATTCTGTGCTATTACTAAAGATTCTAACATAATTTCTTTTATATTAGGCGTTTATTTCATTTGTCATTCTGATAAAAAAAGCTATTTCTAAATAAATGAACTTAACAATAATGGTTCCATTGCATTGGTCATATTGATTTGGAAGTGACAGATTAGATTATATTTATAATCATATAACTCCATTCAATATAAATACAATAGTACTTAAATTATAGGAACGTCAGGAATCAATGTTGCAGGCATCAACTAGTTTACTAATACATACAAAAGCAATATTCTAAATTAGAGCTTACCTGGTTCTCACTGTTACAATTTAAAAATAATTTCATGTTTCCAATAATATACAGTCCATTCCTTGCTCTAGACAGAGCTACACAAACTCGGTTTTGTATTTTTAAAAAACCTGCTTTATTTTCTTCGTTGCTTCTTACCAGCGAGAGAAGTATTATATCACATTCTTCACCTAATATTAATTTTAAAAAATAAACATTAAATAGATATAAATAACTGCATCACAAAAATACAGGGTTGTTCACCACATACGACACGGAATATTGTAGCTAAACGATTAGATTTTTACAAACTGTAAGTTTTGGGTTCGTCAAAGGACTATTAGAGCTACAATTTAAAAATAATTTTACAAGATACAGAGTGTCCCAAATAAGTAAAAAATATTATAGTTGTATTTTTTTAAATGGAACACCCTCTATATTATTCTATTTTTGGATTCTACGATTGAAATAAAGGTAAATTTGATTAAGGTTTATCATACTTAAACCTTAAAGTTTTTGAAATATTTTCAATTTTGTGAAATTGCAGTAAAAAATTTAAGGCTTCATTTCTCCAAGGCTATCAAAGTTTTTAATATTAAATACTTACTAAAAATTATTTATTGATCAAATATTATGTTCCAATAATAAAAATTATACTACCTTATACAGAGTGTCCAAAAATTTATATTAAATAATTTCTAGCTTTAAACGGCAATAACTTGTTTAATTTAAATAGAACACCCGGTATATTTTACGTGAAACAGATGCACAATTTAATTGTCTATCAAATTGTATTATACCATTTTCACCTATCTCCTCAAGTTTTCGTAAAAAATGCATTTTCTTATAATTTAGACCTTGTTTATCACTATATCTATGGAATATTGACATCTTAGATTTTTTTTAAAGCAACATATGTACAAAATATACAGGTGGTAAACATAATAATATTGCAAGCCAATTTGTTTGCAAAACGAAAACTATTTAAATCTTTGTAAAAGAGTATACAGGGTGTTTCAAAACAAATGCGAAAAACTTCAGGGGGTGATTCCTTGTTCAAAATAAAGGGTAGTTTGCTTGATAAACGTTGGGTCAAAAGTCAACCATTAGGGAGATATCGCGGTACAAAGATGGCGGAAAAATAATGTTTTTATTTTTTATCTTGAAAACAGAAAGAGATAGACTAATGAAATTTTATGGAAGCATTACTGTTATGAAAACACACTTTCTGGTAATTTTTTCACTTTTTTAAAATGAGTGGAAGGGGTTGAAATAAACTACCCCTATCATTCTTGTTAACGAAATTTAAAGAAAAATCTTATCAAATACATGCAAAAAAATTAATTTGGATAGCTTTGTTTAGAAACTTTTTTATCTCTTGTATTTTTTTGATAAAACTCACCGATTTGAAATTAAAAAATAAAATGTAAAGCATTACATGTCAGGACAAAAAACATTTTCTGATAAAGAATCTAGTTGGCTGCTGTAATTTTTTTTAGGAAAAAATCTAGTCGGCCGCTGTTACTTATTAGGATGTTCCTAATATTATTTTATTTGACATTACTCTACTGCAATACGTTATTATCTAGATGATTATTATTATCGCTATTATCACTAGATTCTTAATCTAAAAATGTTTTTTGTCCTGACATGTAATGCTTTACATTCTATTTTTAATTTCAAATCGGTGAGTTTTATCAAAAAAACACAAGAGATAAAAAAGTTTCTAAACAAACTAAACTATCCAAATTAATTTTTTTGCATGTGTTTGATAAGATTTTTCTTTAAATTTCGTTAACAAGAATGATAGGGGCAGTTTATTTCAACCCCTTCCACTCATTTTAAAAAAATGAAAAAATTACCAGAAAGTGTGTTTTCATAACAGTAATGCTTCCATAAAATTTCATTAGTCTATTTCTTTTCGTTTTCAAGATAAAAAATAAAAACATTATTTTTCCGCCATCTTTGTACCGCGATATCTCCCTAATGGTTGACTTTTAACCCAACGTTTATAAAGCAAACTACCCTTTATTTTGAACAAGGAATCACCCCCTGAAATTTTTCGCATTTGTTTTGAAACACCCTGTATATACCAATTATTATCTTATATTACCACCATTATTTCCACCCAAAAATTAGTTAATTGTATACTTGTTGTGTAAGTGTTTTAATTAATAATTTATTCTAAATAAATGTAGATTTGACTCAGAAATCAATACAATAATAAATTATGAAAATGAACATTTTTGTCGTTATAAATAAACATTCGCCAAAAAATGAAATAAAATTTATAAGGTGTTACTTTTTACCACACTGACTAATAAACAAACAAAATTCAGTTTTTTAGTATTTGGAGCAATTATTATTAATCAACGTAAACAGTCAATTAATGTAGTTTGAATACCCGGATCATATTAATTCACCCTCTTACTTAACAAGTATTCAATATTAACTTATATACTTTATATTCGTATAAACTTAACACCCCTTCACCTCGAACTATATCGACAATATTAGTATTTGGTACTCTTTGAAAATTTGTTACATCTTTAACAATAATCTAAAATGTCAATATTCCATGGGTATAATGATAAATTATGTCTAAATTATAAGAACATGCATTTTCTACGAAAAGTTGAAGAGATAGATGAAAGATGGTATAATACAATTTGATAGACAATTAAATTGTGCCTCTGGTTCTCCTAAAATATATACGGTGTTCCATTTAAATTAAACAAGTTATTGCCGTTTAAAGCTACTCATTATTTAATATAAATTTTTGGACACTCTGTATAAGGTAGTATAATTTTTATTATTGCAACACAATATCTGATCAATAAATAATCTTCAGTAAATGTTTAGTATTAAAAACTTTGATAACCTTGGACAAATGAAGCCTTAAATTTTTTACTGCAATTTCACAAAATTGAAAATATTTCAAAAACGGTAAGGTTTAAGTGTGATAAACCTTAATCAAATTTACCTTTATTTCAATCGTAGAATCTAAAAATAGAATAATATACAGGATGTTCCATTTAAAAAAATGCAACTATAATATTTTTACTTATTTGGGACTCCGTATCTTGTAAAAATATTTTTAAATTGTAGCTCTAATAGTCCTTCAACGAACCTAAAACTTACTATTTGTAAAAATCTAACCATTTAGCTACAATACTCCGTGTCGTATGTGGTGAACAACCCTGTATAATTTGGTAATAATGCCCCTTTATTGTCTAAATCTAAATAATAAAACTCTTAGAACATTCTTATAACGCTATATTGAACTTACAAGGGACATCCACAATAGGTGCTTGGGCAAAAAATACCGTTGAAGATCGATAGGGACAGAAAAGAAGGCCAAAGAGTATGGAAAATGTGGTCCCGAAGGGTTTCACAAAATATGCAAGAAAGTTACCAAAGAGCTTAGTAACGGCCTGTAATAAATTAGTAACAAGATCTGAGTTTAGGACATAAGACCGTGGATGACAAAATAATAGAGACAGGTTATGCCGGGACTACACCAAACTGTGCAAACGCGGCAGCGTGCGACGCCGGCGAAAGTCGGTGGGTTCGGTTGCTGAAATCATTAAGTTGCGACGACCGAAAGCCGTCGACTCGCGCGGCTCGAAATTTTTCGCGTTTTCGACCAAAGAAGACCAAACGAATATTGGGCAACCGACGACCATTCTTCTTTTTTGGTTCAGCTGTATGAAGAAATTTCTTCAGAGTAAACGGTTGACGGTTTCCTTTGAGAAATGGATGGAGAAGAAAAGACCGAAAACAGTAAAGAACCGGAGTGGAATGAAAAAGCCATAGTGATGATTGAGCTTTACCATAAAGAGAACAATTTACGGAATCCTAAAAATGAATATTACAAAAATAGAAATAAGCGGCATGATTCAATATCGCTTTGCAAAATTTAAGTCAGAAATTAAACGTAAAGCAAGAGATCATCACTCTCGTACATGGCAAAGAACACCGACGACAGAAAGTTGCTCATTATGCACACGGCTGTGTGGTCCATGAACAAGGGAATTCTAACCGTCGAGAAGAGAGGCGCGAGTTATCTCATCGGTTAGTCGGCGGTTACCGCCGAGTGTGCAAAGTTTAGTGTGCTTCCGGCATTAGGTAACCCAGATGTTGAGTTCATTTCGAGTCATTTCGGCTCAGGAAAAAAGGAGGAAAAGCGTAACCACCGTAATAACAAGGGCGGACAGCTTATTCGTGACGTCATCAACTGGAGGCCTAAACTTTGATTACATTTGATACACTTTATACGTATATAATGGATATAAACTTTAATTGCACCGAATTTTTAATAAATAATAATTAAACATAAAATTTAAAAAACATCAGATTGATATCCCATCTCACATTATCCATCGTCATTGTATTTATGCTGTAAATGTGTCTTAAGTTTCTTTTATTTCCTTATCCAAGTCTATCATTATTTTTAAACAACAGTAGTTTTTCACACGTGTATTTCTAATAGAATTTATGACAATTTTTACAATAACTTAGCATTATAAATAGTACATTGCGGAAATTTTAATAATGGCGTTATTACTTTTAACGTAATCCAAAGATATTTTTGATAATTATTAATATTTTTTTTATTGTGAATTTTGAGAAACTCCTCATAGCTTTGTAAAACTTTGTTAAAAATTATATATTCAAATAAAACGAAAATCTAGGAAATAGTGGGGTTGCAGTCGGAAGGGTCTTTGTCAAACCCTTCCGACTGCAACCCCACTATTTCCTAGATTTTCTTTCCCACTAGTCAGTCGAGACTACTTTCTGCTTATTTCAAATAAAACTATATTAGTAATTTCATCTTTTGGAAACCCAAGACTACCTTTAGTAAGGTTTTTTATAAGTGAATTATCAATATCAGTGTTGTCTGAAAATGTTTATTATAATATATAATAATATAATATATACTATAAAAAATATCTATTTTTTATTGTTTTTTTCTCATATTATACACTATTGTGAACTTAAAATATTCCTTTATTAAATTTGATTGATAAAAAGTGAGAGATAAACATTTATTGACTGGTATGATTTTTTCCGTATTCATTAAAACTATTTTTATATACTATAATATTTTTTTAAAAACTCAGAAAAAGTCATTTTAAAACTTCGAAATATATCTGGTGAGTGAAAAAAGATCCACAATTTGAACTTTTATCAGGTAATTATCAACGCTGATAAATAGAGTTGGGCCTCCTGTTGGTGACGTCACGAGATTTTTACGTCACAGCTGTCCGGCCTTGTTATTACGGCGGTTACGGGAAAAGCCACCGTGGGAGACTATGACAACCAAAAATTGTTCAAAAACAACCTTAAAAGCTCTCTGGGATGTTCTCTGGTTACAGTAAACGGTGGGTTATTGAAACGTTAGTGGATGACAGGACTTTCTACTAAGTTGCTTGTTATGACGATCTTATGAATTTCAATGAAAATTAAACAGTGTGACGCTGCCCGTTCACGTGAGATAGTTAGAGACAAAGCAGCTCACGACGATCAAGGAACTAAGTGTACAAGTTTTTAGCGAAACAATATGGTTTGGCTGTACAAAAATCAACACGTGCTTGGAATGTAATTAGAAGACTAAATGTTATAACAGCAATGTCCCAGACAGCTAGTTAAGATCTTTAGATCAAGTATGAAACAAACAAAAAGAAAAAAGATTTCTATTGTAAACAAACTGTAATGGCAGATTTCTATCTAAAAAATATAGTTGATGATAAAGTTGAGAGATGGCGCTAGAAAGACAGAAAATTTGAATAAAATATTGATTACAAAAATAGATTTTGTTAAAATATAGGAACTATATTAATAAATAATTTAATCGCTATAGATAATTAAGCAACAATTGAGAAATACTTTTGAATGATACAGAATATTTATGAGAAGGTAATAATTGCAGGTAAACCGCTTTTCCTCACCCTGGTAATTATCTAAGACAGCAATTCTAACATCTTTTAGAAACATAGCATTATGTGGTTTTCGTTTTTCGTGCAACATATCAAACATTTGCCCAAGGTATGCCGCTAGGATGGTTATTTGCTCTGGTTTATAACCATTTAATATTAAATGTCGCGCTAGCGCAATTAAAAACGTTGATTCATGAGTATTCTTTTTACTTTGATCTTGACATTCACTTTCGGGTTTATTATGATCAATGAAATATAAGCATTTTTCGACCCCTGCAAAATTATAAGATCATTTTATGTCCTTGGCAATATACACAAAAATTACCCAAAATAGGATCTCTTTGCAATGTAGATTCATGGTCTTGTAGATCTTCATAAATACTTGGTTTAATAAGACTTGATATTTCCGGTTTCATACGATGCTGAACATTTAAAGTGTAACACTGAATGTTATTGTTAACCATTCGTTCAAACAAACTAACACCTAAAAAGCATTTGAATTATCAGCATATACTCGCCTAAATGTAATACTTAATATTCACTATAGACAAATACACAGAATAAGAAATTCTGTTAAATTTTATTTTAACTTTCGTTATACTACCTGTGTCAGAGATACTCCCATATCGTCGGTGAAATGTGATAAACTGCTAACTCCATTATTCCTAATTTTACAGGAGAGCAAAAAAACGGTATAAAAAAATATATACCCATGTAGGAAGTATTTTCATGCGTTAATATTATAAAGAGATAAGATGTTTATTTGCTGGGGAACCCTAAAACTCAATATTTCGTGTTACGTCATTTTTTTTCAGACACAATAGGGAGATAGCAGATATTCGTCTTGCAGAAATAAGAAATAAAAATATACTTCTGGAGATAACAACCTTTATTGTTTGAAATTTTGAAAATGGTATTGAATATTACCCAAACAGATTTAGAAATAATCAATTAAATTTAAAATATATGATATTCATAACCATATATTTTTTATAATATTGTTACGGATTCCGTGGGTCCACTATTTAAACTCACGATAAAATACTTAACGAATTTATTTGTTTCACTCTGTACACACAACTTATACTATTTACAACACAACTTATGCCACTACTATTACTCTAACGGTATTTCGCGGTATTTTCAAACTTCAGACTATTTTCAGACTTGACTTCAAACTTTAAACTGTCAAAGCGCGGGCCTTATATACCCCCTGGCGGTTGTTTCTAGATTTTTCTAAAGAATTCTATAATTTTCTTTACTTTCTGGCAAATGCGCCAGGTTCCTCAAGGCACGTTGCGATTTTTTAGCAGTATGCAGTTATGCAACCAGTAATACACCTTGACAATATCGTCGGTCTAGAAGCAAAACATAAAAGTCCAAATTGTTAATGCATTTTTAAATGACTGGAGTAGCAGCATTTTGGACTTAATGAATATGAAAATAATTTAAAAATTAAACCTATAATTCTTAGAAGATATGGTAGAATCCTTCCATGCTTGTCCTATTTTTTATACAACGGTAATAGGCCGAGCTTGGAGAACAGTGCGTGATTTTATTAAATTTTTATTACTTTTCTCCTTATTTTTTTAATTTTTATAAAAATTATGTATCATTTACGTGGAAAAACATTGAAAAAAATAAAACTGATTAGGTATTATGGAACTTACTTGTGCAAGAAGTAATGGTTATTTAAACTATTTATTGCACGTCGATGAATTGCTCGTATATAGAGAATTTCGTTTTTCCCCTTACCTTTTACGGATACCCCATATTTACAGAACGGATCGACGCAGGGTCGGACTGGCTATATTATAACTATTAGGGGAGCCCCAGCCTTCACGGGCCCCCTTTATAGTTCATTATTTATTCTTAACAATATTTGCTTTTGCATTGAATTGTGGCATTTGCATTGCATTGGTTTACCTTGCATTAGGGTAGTTCCCTGATTTCTATGCAGGGTGAGTCTTAAATAAGTGCAAATATCTTCAGGGCTGGTAAATCTCGATAAAAGAAACATAATATTTTCCCTTTACCGTTTTTTCAAATAAATCCAACACAACCGAGTTATTTTACTTTTAAATTTTCTAATTTTTTGCTATAATTTTGAGAATCATTGGATTTTCTTTCTTGTAAATTTAATCTACTACCTATGTTGCCATATTACAAACAAAGTATGTTTTTAAACTAAAAATTAAGAAAAATTCCAATTTTTTTTAAATTTCAAATTTTCAAAAAAAAACAATTTCACGCAAAAAACCTCATAATCGTGTTTCTTGGGTCGAAATATACTACCCCTAAAAATATTTGCACTTATTTAAGACTCATCCTGTATGTAATAGGGAAAAATTGACCAAAACGTAAGGCGAAAAAATACGCAAAAAATCCACACGGGCCCCTCCTTACATTACCAACCGGGCCCCTTTGGCCTAGTGCGACCCTAGATCGACGTACTGTACTAAAGCACCATACGAATAAGAATACGTATGTTTGCTTTAGCGTGATCGTAACGTAAATTACGGAAATAGCAGCATTTCGGTGGCTATTTCAGATCACTTGGAGTTAGCAGATATTATTGAGCTAAAATAGCAAATTTTCTTTAATGGGAAAAAATGTATTTGCTTTCCCTACTTATAGAGTATTTTTTCTCTTTCTAATGGTATAAAAAAACTTATTAACGTAAAAAATGGAGTTAGCAGGTTATCACGTTTCACTGACGATATATGATTTGCGTCTAGCCGTACCGTGCCACACTTCAACTTCCAACCCACAGTTTCGGCGCATGCGTATTGGAACGGCAGAACAAAGTAATGCTTCAATATAGCCTGGTTACGAAAGCAGCGTGTAACTCCGTAGTTGAGGCTGCCGCTTCGGGAGCAAAGGGTCAATGCCAGTCGATGGATCGATCCCCGACAGAGGTAGGATTTTTTATTTTTCTACAGCTGTTTTTATTTATTTAGAGCTGTGGGTAACAGCGATCAAAATACGCCGTAGGTGTATTTTGATTGCGTTGGTTAGTCTCTGGTGTCAGTTTTTTTTGTTTATAGAATGCACACGAAATACCCGATCGATTTTGTAGAACTGTTATATATTATTATAATTAGTACGTTTTTGAAATTTAGGTTAAATTATGCTACTATTACTTAAGAACTTACTCTCGAAAGTTTATAATAAGAGACAAGAAAATAACCCACGATTTAAATTTGGCAGGCATCATTGGAAAGTGATCGGGAGACCGACCGCCATCGGAATTGTGGGTTGGAGTTGGAGAGCTGCACGGTATGGCTAGACGCAAGTCCATATATGACAGGGAATGTAGGCCAATAAAATATCGATTTCGAGCAAGTAATTCCCGCCTTGTGTCATAAGTACAAATTACTTTTAACTTATAACACAATGCAGGCATTATGACTAACCCGCTTATTTAAATTTGTTTTGAATTCAATTTGAATTTAAATCTGAATATTTTAGGTTAAGAATATTTAATTATTTTTTTAATGTAACCGATTTTCCAAAATTTAAATTTTATGTAAAAAATTGCATATGCAGAGCAATATATTATACATTTTCAGTATAAAGACCTTTTTTTAATTGACATTGACTTTTTTTTTAATTGGTCAATAAATAATATTACAAATTGAGCTAAAACTTATATTAAAAAATTATATCAAATATTTCAAATGAGAAGCTTTATGCCCTTTTACTTTTATTCTATCTTAAAATTAAATGTAACTTTGTTTAAATTTGTCTATACCTAAACCCTTGATTATAAACAACGATATAATACCTGAACCCAGCAGTTTTCAAAATATTTTCATATGTATGCACTTTTTCCCTGTTAAAATGTTCTATATGCATATGAGTAATTAACAAAAAGATCATAAGTAAAATATCATTTAAAGTCTGTCCAACGAGAGGATACTTGATAGTGACAGTTGTTGTCTTGTCATTTTAATTTACAGATAAATTGCTTTTTCTGTCATTTTTTGAATGTCAATTACGAAACACAAAACTTGGTGAAATATAAAAAGTATAAAATATATGGTTTTATTTAAAATAAGCTGTTAGCTATAGCTGATATTTTAGGAAGAAAAATTATTTTGAACAATTCTTAACATACAACATTCAGATTTGCCTAGATCCAAAAAAACTTTTAATGAAAACCCTGTAGATGATAATAAGTATATTTTTATAGATTTATTTTTCGAATATACCTAAATCCAATACCAAATATTGTGTAAGTAACTTTTTAACTTGGAAAATTATTCTTGTAAATATTTTAACAGTTGACATAGTTCTGAATTTCTTACTTACCCAATTTGTATTTAGTTTCAATTTTAAAGTCAGCGGCTCCTGGTTTAAGCTGAAGGTGGTCACCTATTAATATAAGATGCTGACAGTTTTTTGTTAGTGCTGCAATAATATGAGCTTCTAAAACTTCCGCTGCTTCTTCAACTATTACAATAGGATTTTTGAGAGACTAAAAGATGAATTATGAAATCAAAATAATGAAGTAAAATCAAAATAAAAAATAATGAATGAATTTTACTTTTTTTATTATTGTTATTGCAAAAGACCGCATCATATGGTATTTTTTAGATTTATACTTTGGTATCAGTTGATGTTTTGAATTTCATTAAAACCAAAATATGGTGCACTGTCAAATTACACATTTTAAAAGTAAATGACCAAAAATATTTTTTTCCAATTTAGTATTTATTTAATTTTTATTGTCATTTTTATTATTTTACTATCAAACTAATTTTTGTGGCATAATTACACGTTTACATACTAGTTTTAATTCTGCAATAATTAAAATGTTTCAAATGCGTACGTTTTTATTATCATTGGATATTTTACTCTACATCCTTTCATTTTTGTTAAATTAACGATAGGCATATCACAGCCCCTAGATTTTATCAAATAATAAAGATCTGCTGACATTAAATCATAACAATGAAAATATCTAGAAAAATCTATGTTTAGGTAGGCAACCTTAATAGTTTGAAGAGACACGAATTATACATTGAATACGGGATAATTTGCTGGGTGTTCTATTTAAAATTAAAAAGTAACTTGTTTTTAAAAGTGACCAATACTCAATATTAATTTTGTCACACCCTGTATCACTTTTCGAGTAAAATTTTAATTTGGGTTGACATACAATGGTAATTTTAACTAAATATCAGGTTATACCGGGTAAATTACAATTTGGGCGACTTTTATTGAAATTTAAAATTTATTCTTCATTTTCAGATAATGTTAAAATTGTACCGTTTTTTGTCCTTTTGGCGCTATAAAGCAGCAGGAGTAGATGGAAACTTTCCTGCCAAAGTCAAATATCTGGGAATAACACTGGACAGTAAACTTCTATGGAACAGATTAATGGACTATGGACATATTAAGAACATTACCAGCAAAGCCACAAATGTTCTCATGATATGCAAAAAACTGGCAGGAAATAATGGGACGGCGCCCCTAGCATTTTGCGCTGGATATATACCATGATATAAGTCGCGTGATTACTTATGGAGCAGTTGTTTGGTATACAAAACTAGAGCAACGTATGGCAAGGCTCAACCTGTGCAAAGTCCGGAGAGTGGCATGCATCTGCATCACAACGAGCCATGAGAACCTGCCCCACACCGTTGCACATTGTCATCGGTAGATATGCCAATGCTCAGAATGGTCAGCTCAGGGGCTTGGAACACCGTCAAAAAGAAAATTCCACTCCTCTAACTGTCAGCAGATAACATACCAAGAATGTACAACTTGAGAAACACCTCAATGTAGTATCGAGCAAAAAAAAACTGAGTGAGAAACGTTCGCTCAGCAGTTAAAACACCATACCATAACTTATTATACTGACTATCTACGAAAGATGCGTATAACTTATCTTAGATCGGAACTATCGGAAACAAGAAATAGCCATCTTATCTAATAGTCAAGCAGCGTTAAAAGCGATGAATTCGCTTATCAATCAAATATATCGACGAACTCGCGAGTATCAATCAATTCAAGTTGGTCAAAGAATGCCTAGATAAGGATAGATAGGCATAGAAAACAAACTCTTACTACTCTGGGTGCAAGTTCACCAAGGGATAGAAGGTAACGAGAAAGCAAATGATCTAGCTAGAAAAGGAACTCCAACTAACTGGACCAGAACCGTTCTGCTTTCCAAGTGGAAACCAACTAAACGCGGAACTCAAGAACCAGGAAAACTACATCCGTAACCTGGGATGGGAATCCTCCAACGGTCTAAGACACACGAAGAAATTTCTCAGAAGTTACGACCGAAAAAACGATTTTCCTAGATTTGAGTAAGGGCAAGCTTGATTTGTCACGGTTTTTTTTTAACACGACACTGTCTCCTCAATGAACACCTCAGTAGATTGAAGCTAAAAAATAAGAGCGATTTTTTTAGAATCAGAAGATTTTGTGGGGAAAATGGGAAAACACCAGAACACCTTATCACTTGCTGTCCTCCATTCGCGAATTTCAAGTTCCAGAACTTTACGCCCTGAGCTACTCAGAACGGTTCTGAAAGGAGCTGTACGCGATAGCCTGGTGCCTCCATATGGCGCGGAACAGTTCTGAACTTTATGACTCAATTGAATGGAGTGAGAGTATCGCGCTCTTGAACAGTTCAGAGCTGCACAACTGCGTGAATGGAGGACATGAGTGCGCCGAGACGACAACCATTCGTGCTATGAACGTATGTATGGTACGACTTATATAGGAGATGGAGAACTAACCCCTATAACCTGTCTATAAGTTATAACTCGTTATAACTTAAGAAAGGGGGACACACAATAGATCGGTAAGGTCGCGGTTATTAACCCTCCTTCCACATATTCGACATTCTAATCTAAAAATAGTAACACACACAAGAACTTGGAAGACTCCATCTGTAACTTAAAATGGAAATCCTGAAAGGTGGAAGACACTCGAAGAAATTTCTCAAGACTAATGACAAAAAAAAATCTTTGCTTGATTTAAGTGAGAACGATCTTGTGGTTGTCACGGGAGTTTTAACCAGAGAAGAACAATCGTAGAGAAGCGACAAAAACCGTCGGCACTATTGAAGTGAGGGTGACCAAGTTTTGTGACCTTCAAATTGGCGTACGTGAGAGATCGCAGGTTTATAGCTACACTGAGAGAAATTCAATGAAAGCAAAAGAAATGAGAAAAGCTATATACTGAAAAAAACATGTGTTAACATAAGAGTTAAAACAAACCAAAAAGTAAATAACATAATTAGAGTTGAGGGTTGGAACCGGAATGTTACAACAGCAAAACAAAACACTAATTTACCACAATACACCAAAACACTTTACTTCTGCAGTGCATCAGCAGATGATTAAAACTGACACAAAACGATTATAAATCTCTATACTATGAGAACATAGGTGGTAGATTAAATTTACAAAAAAAATCATATTTTACATAAAAAACCATATTACATTTAAAGATAAAACAACTCACATTAGCGTCGCTAATATATTATATTTGCGATAAAATATTTAATTTTCTAATTATTTTTTATTAAACGCTAACAACCTGCATCTATTTTAAGTTTAAATAATATTTAGTTCTTTCTTTAAGTACTATTATAAGGTAACAAACTCCTATTCTACAAAAACAAATAACCCAAAAAACAAATATGTTATTTTTCCTTCAAGTTAAAAGTCAATATACACTAAAAATAATAAAAATGTTATTTAAAAAACGTTTCTTTACAAAAATCACACTAAGTGAATATTTAGAAAAAAAATCACAAATTACACCTACAGTTCCTGCATAACTTGGTAGAGCACTCTAGACATATAGGTTTGGTGCACATGAAGCACAAATGAAAAGTCTTTCTTTTTATTTGTGAGGGACATGTATAGCATGTTTTTCTCTTTTCTAGTTTCTCCACGCCACTAGGTTCAGGAGATTCTTCTGGAAGTCTTAAAATTCTTCTTATAGAAAATCTCAACTCCCGTGGTATTCTAGTATTTATTGCTCCTTTCTAAATGTGGCCTCGTTAGTTCCTCTCCAAGTAGTTTTAGAAAGTCGGTTTTCTCAAGGACAGGGTTATTTTTAAATGCCTGATGGACGACAAAAGCATTTACCCCACTAATGTCCAATATGCGGAAAAAAATTACCATAGGCCATCTTCTGGTACGTCGACTTGTCGAATGCTTAGCACATTTCTCGTCAAGGGCGTCCACTCCACCCTTTGTAAAATTGTAATATGTTATAATTTCCGGTTTTTGCGAATTCTCATCAAAGACCTTCGAATGGTGCATTGAGGATATGAGAATCACCGATTTATTTTTTCGGGGAACATATGAAAGAAGAGTCACTTCCTTTGTAAATCCAAATAACATTCCATCCTTGCCAACTTTCCTACTCTTATTAGGTAAGAAATCAAGCGGAATTTCCCTTTTAGATTTTTTCATTGTGCCAACATATGTAAGGCCACGATTTTTTAGTTGCTCAACTAGTTCTAATGATGAGAACCAATTGTCAGCTGTAATGTTGCGATTGGATCCTTCAATTTGTTTTACTAGTCTTAGTACAGATTGTGTTGGTTTTGAAAATTTTCTCAAAGATTCATCTAAGTCAAACCCATCCGAGTCTTTACCGGTATAAATATACCCATTGAAGAAGTAGTGTGTGCGTGAATCAGTCATGCATACAATTTTAATACCATATTTACACGGCTTATTTGGCATATACATTTTATACTTGCTCCTCCCTCGAAATGACACCAGCATTTCGTCAATACAGCAGTTTGTACCCAGAGAATATATAGCCTGGGAATTGCTAACAAACTTTTCAAATACTTCCGATATTGGTGATGTAGGATTTTCCTTGCGTCTTTCCTGGCGCTCCAGAGGATTATCGAAGCGTAAACAGGATAAAAGAAACGCAAATCTCTGCTTACTCATTACGCAACGAAAAATATCTCGTCCACTTCCATCTGTCGCAAAAATTCTATCAATATGTTCGTGGTTTGATATAAAAATGGCGGTATAAAATAACAAGCTAATGAACGCTTTTAGTTCAACTGCATCTAAATTTTGATGTTCAGCTCTGGAAGTATCTGTGAATTTTTGTCTATGTCTTTCTATTTTCTCGTTAGTCCAGTGCAAAATATTATCAACATTTCATCAGAAATTAATAAATTCCACACTGCCATAGGGTATGCCTTATCGCCCAATAATGCAGCATTACCTCGTAGAGTAGGCACACGTGTAATTATATTGTGTTTCTGTGTTCTACTCCGCGAAACAAAACTTTCAGAAGACCACTTGTACCTGTTTTTCCCATAAAAATGCTTAGAACCACCAGGGACCGCAGTCTGCTCGGCGTCTTCAGATTCTGTTTCATCTGAATACATGGTTTCCATTTCCTCTATATCATTTTGGTCACATTCCTGTTCAGATTCAGAATTATGGTCACTAACCTCGTATTTACTTTCGCTGACGCTGTCCTCGTCACTGCCACTCATAAATTCGTCAAACCACTTGAATGCTTGTTCATCGTAGTTTGAATCACCATATCGAATCCTTTTTGAAGGGCCTGCACCACCAGCCATTTTTAAAACACGTGTTTTCAACAATATGCACAATACAAAAAACTTACACTATAAGTGTGGTGCGGTCAAGGTGGCCGCCTTAATATTTTGATACTACGTTAGCAAAACACAAATTGCTCTGGACGTACTATATTCCCTCCGCTTGCTTAGGCAACACTAACTTTAAAAGTAACGAGATGCAGAAGGCCATAGAACTAGGTGGGGGTGAATTCCGAGCAAATAAATATGGCGCGTCGCCCGTCGGTCACAATGACCCATATACCATATATATATTAACTAACGTATATTGACTCCAAACTGCATTCTGTGAAGCCGAGCCGGTGAAATGGGTATATAAATCTTCGCTCAGTTAGTGAAACACAAGCGTTGTGCGCAAGCGTGAATTTTTAATTATCGATCGGATAACTAAACCAATCAGAGCATAAGCTGTTCATTCGTACAGCTTCGTACGGCTTTCGTTCGCGATGCGAACACAAAGACAGATGGATAAGAAATGAGGCACAGAAATGAGGATCGTGTTTGCGCTCCCGTTCGACCACGCGTTCCACAAGGCCAAGCTAAAACTAATTCGGATATTCGGAATTTTGGAGTTGCGCTATTGCGCCAGCGTTTTTCTAACAGACGAACTTATGTGAAATATACATGGACCGGTTATCTAGTTGTCTTTAACTCGGCTTCAACTCCAACACATTGCAGGGATACGCGATGATCCGTATAGATTTGATATGTATATGCCATATACATATGAACATTATATAGTTTTATAACATTTTATTTAACGAATAGATATAGGGTATATATGCTATAGAAATATTTTATATAGTTTTCTAGGACACATTTTTATAACTTTTACAGTTATTTTTCGATTTATTGTAAAGTTTTAAAAAAGTTGATTTTTTTATTTAAATCACATGATTAAAATTAAAAAAAATCACTTGATTTAAATCACGATTTAAATCATGATTTAAATCATGCCAACCCTGGATATTGGAGATGGAGAACTACCCTCTATAAAACCGTTTCAGATACTGGCTTTTGTCAAAGCCCTGGGACTGTATAATGAGTTATAACCTAAGAAAGGGGGACACAATAGATCTGTAAGGTCGCGGTGATAAACCCACGTCCGCCCATTCTACATTCTAGTCATTCTTTTAATGGAACTCACCGTTATTTTTTTTTCTAGAATTCAAAATTCACTTAAATATATAAGGTGTTCCATTACAAAAAACGGAACTTAGATGTGTAATTTTTTTTGCGGACACCCTGTAAAACTCTATATTTTTATAAATGCTTTCAATTAATGCTCTCAAAATTGTATTTCAATACAAATTACCGTTCTCCTTGGAGCCTCCGCGTCGTATGAGTAGCGCCACTTTGTACATCTACTCAATGTATGTCGTCTATTATTACCTGTATGGTGCTACGTAATCGGGCTGCTCCTGTTGTGGTCATACCTATCAGACGACAATCTCCCATTATGCGAGCATCTTCCATCTGTCGTAGATCATTGTAAAGGCGAAAAGCCTCTTGATATTTGGTTGTCGTTTTTTTATATTTATTTCTGTAAAAATTAATTATTCCTTAGTCAATAACTGTTGTTGAACTTGAAGGCACTAATTGAATCAATTTTTTTTTACTTAATTAACCGGACAGCAAGGAAAGAAAAAAATTAGTGGAATGACCCTGAAAGTCTACTAGGAATAAAATATGTCGAATACTTTATAGAAAACATGTTGAAACACAAATAATAGATGTTGACATGTCCGGGTAAATTCGAACGTATGGAAACCCTAGCTATAAGCATTTTTTTTCCTACATAAAATTAAATTAATTAACATTTAAAAAAATAATTGATATTTTAAACAAATTTCAACGTTATTTTAATAATGACAAATTATTTATTTCTACAACACAAGGAAAAATCAGTGCTGTTTTGACTTAACTACTTTGATGTGTTTGCTATGGAGAGCTTCAATATTTCGACATATTGTTTTGACAACAAAGAAACAACATAAGTTTGTTATAGTATTTTATAAAAGGTCAAAGCATCATACTGGTACAATCTGCAAAAATGTGTTCCACAGTGTATTGTGATATTTAGAGTACAGTTTATTATCTTTTTTTCCATAAATCTAGACCTTATATTAAAGCCGTTTGAGTTTATTGTATTGTAATTACAATCCACGATTTAATTTTTTTGTACTATAGAATACAAAAAAAATTGTTTACGTTAAATTTAATAATGCATTAATAAGCCTTCTTTTTGCGTCAACAAAGGTGATATAGAATTAAATAAAAAAAAGTGATTATTTAAGACTAAATACCTATAATAAATTTACCTTAAATTATCCCTGAGCTTATCCAAATAATAAAAATAAACTAGCCATCTTCTAGCTGGTGGCACAGATTTTGGATTTTGTAAATCAACTAAAGGTGGCATTCTTCTATTACGTTGATATGAATAGGTATTTAATTGAGTCTAAGAAAGATAATTAGACAAAACCAAAAAATACAATAGATCGAAAAAACTGACGTCAGCGATGGGTATGAAATAAAGATCGTAGTCATTTTATATGTAAAATTATATGGGGAATGTCATCGATGTTCACTTCAAAGCCAACTAGACGCCGTTTTTTAATCAATCATATGGTAGTATATTCCTATTTATACAAACCTCCACATACTCAATAGTCGAATGAGTGTCATAAATTTCCATTTCAAATTGTTCTATTTTTATCATTGACTCTAAAGTAGAGTCAGAATCGCTTTTAATTAAATTTAAGGCCTGATACAATGAATTCAACTTTTGGTTGAGCCCTTTCAAGCTAATCAAAGGTTCTAGTGTAAAACTAGTATCTCTTTCAATATCATCAAATTCATCTAAGTCTACTCTATTGTCATTGTCATCATAAGCGGATAGATGGTCTACTTCATATTCGTTATTTAAAGGCATCTCTTGTGCAGTTCCCATAACCTATATTTAAAGCCCCTTTTAAATAACATAATTTTTCACTGTGTTGTTTACGGCTAGCTTTAACCCTTAAGTACTAACACCCCGTCTCACAGACGCACAGACGCAACGGACTAGCTGGACATATGACATCTTCCCTCCTCACCGCTTCTAACTATCATCCAACTATGTAATTTCAATACACATCAAAACAAGTTAAAGGCCGGCATCGGCAGGGCAATTTGAGAAAGCGTGTAGTTTTCGAAATATTTTAGTTCAAACTGTGGAGTGTTAGCGTTAACGTAAGTTTTTTTTTAATTCGTGGAATGAATAAAGCACCAAGTAGCTCAAAACATGTGAAGTATGGCGAGCAAAATTAGAAGGATACTCTTCTAAAGGTGGTTTGAAGAGACTGGCAGCGATAATAACAAAATAGTGACATAGAATCCAAATGCCGTATTGCGAAAATTTTGCTATAGAGAGCGATCATAATTCTGAATTCGAATTAGAAGATAAAAAACGGTTTTTAACTAATATCTAATGGTATGTAGCTGTGTATGTTTTGTTATAGATGATGAAAATATGGATGTGTCCGATCATTAGACTAATATCGAAGAAAGTGAAGAGAACAATTTGTTTGGAATGCGCAAAAAAGTGTGTAGGGAACAAGCCCATCTTTAGTCATTGTCATTTTTTTATTCTTTATATTTTCTTTTGATTTTTTGTGCTTAATAGATAGGTTTTTATATGATAAATTTAATAATAAATATATTTTTTCATTTTCCTGTCGTTTTTTTTCCGATCTCGATGAGAAGCAAATATATGTCAAAAATCCAAAACTAGTACTTTTATTTCAAAAATATAAAACATGTTCGCATAATATAAGCATTAGAAATTTTTTTCCTGTAGTTTTAATGTTAATGATTCACTCCACTTACAAAAAATCTTTTAGACACAAACAAAATATGTATTTTTTTTATGCGTCTCTCAGACGAGACGGTCTGTTAGTAAAGGTGAGACTATTTCAATATGTTAATACTTAAGAGTTAAAACTAACCAATTTGCACTAACTATAGTTGTTATTTTGAAAGAATCCGCCTATTTTTGTAAAATAGCGGACAAGCAATATCTATATGTAACAAAAAATCGCATATCCAACACTGCCATAACTGTATATGTATGTTATTGTGTTAATAGTATATTAAATTATTGCTGCCATTTCCATAGAGCCAAATGTAACAAAATAATAACATATGACTTTTAATTTTTATATTTATGTTAGTAATTTACGTGGTTAATAGAGTCAAACCTTTATATAGGGTTATCACCATATCTCATTTTCCGAAAGAAATAAGTTATGACAGCATTGAACTGGAATGTACGGAATATGTACATATATGTGTAATATAATAAGGTATTAATGTAATATAACTGACTGATAGAAACATTCGCAAATAAATACTTACAAACGGCGTAGGCTTCTGAAAATGGTTCATATATTTTCCCTCCAATAACCATTGCAAAATATTATCTCCTCTTAAATGCCCTGCAAACCAGGTGTCTTTGAAATCTTCAATTTCCGAAAAGTTCCGAAAATCTAATATAGCATCTTTGGAAGCAATTTGATCTAATAACTGATTAATTGTTTTTAACATGTTCCTATAATCGTTAACTTCGTGTCGTCTCTGGTGAACTGCAGTCTCCGTCTGTCTAGTACGTTTACGCGTTAAATTAAAATTTTTCATGTGTTCATTTTTTGACTGTCCACCCACTCTTATTATGTTATGGGTAACTGGAAGTATTCCTTCAAGAAACTGATCCAAAGCATGGTTTGTAAAGCAAATAACCAGTATTGGTGACCTATCAAACCATGCCGTATGGTTGTTCAATAACGTATGAGCTATTTTAAGGCCTAAAAAGTTTTTGTTAATTAAACTGGGCAGTACTTATTGAAATATATACCGGATGCGTCTCAAAAGTGGCTCACCCTTATAACTTTTTTATTTTTTCAGATAAAAAAACGAAATTTGGTATTTTAGTACATGACATAAATTAGGATTGACTGACGTATTCAATTGTTTTTGGTTACTTCCTGTTTCACCAGAAATGACTACAACTTTTTTATTTTTAAATGGCACCCTCCGTATAGAATGATATATCATATGTAAACTTTTGACATTTTCGTTTAAAACAAAATCGTATTTTAAATTTAAATCTAGAGTTCCATGGCTGTGTTAAAAACACTAATTTTTAATCAACAAGCCTTGGAAAAATAGATTTGATCGACTGTTTTTCGTGTTTTGCCCTGTCACGTTAGAAGATGCCCAAATTCTATTTTTAATTACAACTCAGTTTTTTCAAATGGAACAAGGGTGGCTCATTAGCATATTTGGAAAAAGCATTCTTTTGCGATTAATTGGGTACCACACACTTGGTATTTCGAGTCAAATTGTCGTTATGAATCGCACGTTATAATTTCAAATAAACCATATGCGAAAATGTCAAAAGTTGACATATGATATGTCATTCTATTCAGAGTGTCATTTTCTATCGAATAAAGTAAAAAAATACCGAGGGTGTCACATAATTAAAGATCAACGGTTGTAGTCATTTCCGGTGAAACAGGAAGTGACCGAAAACAATTGAATACGTCAATCAATCCTAATTTATGTCATATACTATCAAATTTCTTTTTCTGAAAAAATAAAAAAGTTATAGAGATAAGCTACTTTTGAGACGCACCCGGTATATTACTTATACAATTTATTTTGATATAAAAACAAATTATAAAGGGGGAAAAGTATTAAAAAATCCTGTTTTTTATCAAATAAATATTTGACTACAGTTTACACCCCAACCATAGTTTATACCAAATATTCCACCACAGTTTAAATAGCCGATTTTATCACTTTTTGTAACTGCGATTTTAAAAAAGTCCTCATTAAAACGCATCTTTAAGCTGTTTAAGCTTTCTACCATATGATTAAAGAAAAACGGCGTCAAAGATGGCTGTGGAATGACAACCGATGATAATTTTGACGAGGTCAAACCCTAGACGTAATTTACTTGATCCGTACTGTTCTATATTTTTTAATGGCGCTTACTGTCAGTTGGCCTTAAGAAGATTGTAACTTATTATAATATTAAAATTCGAGAAAAAATAATATTTACAAAATAGATTTGTGCGTCCGAAAAAAACGTTCTGTCCTTTTTTAATCTTCCTATAACAAGTGGTAATTTAGACAAGTTTTATGTCAATTTTAAGTAAATGACGTCGACAAAATTATCATCGATTATCGTTCTCCAGCCGCCTTTGACACCGTTTTTTTTCGATACAAAAAATACAGCATGATTTTTGTGCCCTTGTTAGTTTCAACAGCGCATGCGCAGATGGAAAGATTCCTTCTGCGCATGCGTGCCACAGTACTAGAACGGAAAAGAACAGTACTAGAAAAACCGTATCCCGCACAAAATTAACAAAGATACGTAAAAAATAATACCTAAAAACGTTTTTCCTGTTCCAGGTGGTCCTTGAATAATACAAAATTCTTCAGTTAGAGCCGCTTTGAATGCTTTCAACTGCGAATCATTAAAATTATAGAACGATTTATCATCTGGAATATTTAAAGGCCATACACTTGTACCATCAATTTTATAAAACACTGGATCAATTTTCAGTAAGTAATTGGGGGGATTGACATTTGTCTCTACTCTTATTATATATTTTTCCATAGGAAAGTTGTTGCCGTCCATTTCTTTCAGTACATTGAGCACATGAAAATATGGTTCAAAATAAATACTACTTTCTATCATCAAATAAGTAGTTTTAAAATCGATGTTTATGTTGGACTCAAACCCAATAACTACAATACCGCTATCTAAAAGTTTGACATCCCTTTCAACAACTTTTCCAAATAGTAGTGTTCTAAAACTGTCATTAGTGAAACATATCAAAGACCCAAACATAAATCTTTTTGAATTTTCAAATGAACGAGACGTCCTTTTTTTGTTAAAATCAAACTGAACTTTGTAACAGTAGTTTTCATTTACCGGTTCAGCACCCAAAAACATAACATTTTTATAAAATCTTATATTTTCCAATTTCCTTCGTTCTGTTTTATCCTTATTCTCGTTAAATAAAAAATTTTGAATTCCTTTACGTAATGGAGATACAAAATCTTCACGTAATAATCGAAACTGTATATCTAAATAGTGATCATAATTCTTATAAGCTCCATTAATAATGTTTGAACGTAAGTATGGTGATTTTTCCAATAGAATTTCTGCAGCTGTTGGTACGACGGCAATGTCTCTGAAGTCATTAGGAGGTTCAAGTTCATCCACAACTATTTTATCTTTCTGTCTAGGTTGTGTTTGTAAACACTCTATATCTTTCTTTAAAACAAATAATAAATGTTTCAGTGATTCTTTAATACCATCAGATATGTGTATGGCATGCTGTTGTTCAATTAAAGGTACAAAGACATGAAAAGTAGTTAATATCTGATGTATATTTTCTGAGTATGAAGGAATTATTTCATGTACAGTTGTTGCTAACAATAACAAATTATTATAAAAATTATCAGTATCCTTCCAAAAATAACTATTGTTGTTTTTGTTAGCTGAAGACTGAAATAAAGTACAAATATTACGAAAATAATTTGATTGAAATAAAACATTAATATACCTGATTTGGGATGGAAGCTATATAACTGGTAAGTTTATCCATGAAATTACTACGTAATATGTTAGTTAAAAGTTTAATTTTTACATCATTAAAAGAGACTTCGCAAACTTTTTGTATCAGATTTAAGATTAAAATGATCAAATCACTGCTAATTGATGTACTATTTAGAAGTTTTATAAAACCATTTTTATCATCTGACAATTTAAATACTACATCCTTGGGATCAAGTGTTAGCAAGTCTTCTATATATTTAAATCCCATGCTTCTTTCCGGTCGATTAGTATAGGATGGTCTTTGGTTTAAACGTCTGTCATTATTCCGACCTGAATTTGCTGCCCTATTTTGATTAAATCCTGAACTTCCGGCAGTATGCCCATGGCCTAAAAAATTTAAAATAATAAATCAATACAACTGAGCCTAAGCAAATAGTGGAGCGTAGACTTCTTTAATCTTAGACTATAATACCGCCATCATGTATAAGAAGAATTACGACTATATATTATACCAGAAAAAGTTAATTCCTATCTTCAAACGAATATGAAAATTTCTGATTACATTTTAGAAAAGATATAACAAAGATTGTTCAACAAGTTAGGCTAACATTCGGAGCAAAAACGGATTTGGACCAGCATATTAGTAATAAGATTAGTACTTAATATGACTGCAATAAAATTAAAACATATTATATTATAACCTCTTAATATGTATCAGAAATACATCTACAATATTCCTGATGTTATACCGGGTAATTACATTGCGGTTGTCAGGAGCAGCTTTTATAAAATTAAGGTGTTCATCTAAATGTACAGAAATATATACTCAGGTTTTATTAATGTAGTCGTTGGGTATTTACCCACAGCCCATCATTGCTCACAACGTATCAAAAGGTCAAAAACGGATCACAGCTTATTCATTTACACAGCCGGCAGATTCACGATAATTTATATGGAACTCGCGTACCTACCTAGATATTCCCTTATCTTAAGGGGGCGCATACGTACAGCAAAGTTCATTTACGTTATTTGAGTAATTTACCTACTTTTATATTAGAGATGAGCTTAACAGCGACTTTTAAGCCACCGAGCGACCAGATGGTTGCTGATTACTTTTAGCAGCGACTTCAGTCACCGGGACCGCCAGGACTCAGCGATACCAAATACCGCTCGTCTTCGCCGGATTCCGGTAGCGGCTTGCGCTAGGAGCCAAGACGGTGACCGGGCGTATGGACATGAGTTTAAACAGCGATGTTTATCCGGTACCGGCGATCACTGGATAATTTTTACCAGCGACCAGCGTTTCACTCGCTGGTAAAATTGTATGTTAATAACGTGTGATATTATCCAAAGAGGACTCCGTATCACTGAGGAGTGGTGCAGGACTGTAGGACTGAGGATCAACTCAGAGAAAACCGTGGTAGTGTCATTCAGAAGAAAGAAAAGTTTGAAAAATGGAAAAGAATCCATCTAGATGGAAAGAAAATACTGCCATTGCAGGAAGTCAAATATCTCGGAATATCCTTGAACAGGAAACTTCTATTGAACAGGCATATTAAGAACATTACCAGCAAAGCCACAAAGGCTCTCATGATATGCAGAAGAATGGCGGGAAACAAATGGAGTTGCACCTCTAATGGTAATAAGACCCACGATTACTTATGAAACAGTTGCTTGGTACACAAAACTAGAGCAACGTACAGCAAGGCAAAACCTGTGCAAAGTACAGAGATTGGACATCACAGGTGCCATGAGATAAGCAATGGAGGACATTTTAGACCTAACATCACTATTGTGGTGATTTAGTGTTTTTATTTTGCTAACATCACTGCACAATGTCATCGGTAGATATGCGAATGCGACAATGATTAGAATGGCCATTGACGGAAACAGTACTGGAAGAATTTTCAGATCCGGGGGCTTGGAACACCCTCAAAAAGAAAATTCCACTCCCCCAACACCCAGTGGTTCACATACAGATAAAACTTTGAAAAACACCTCACTGTAGTATTGAACAATAAAAAGAATTGGAAGAGAGAGAAACTTTTGCTCAGCATGTCAAAGACCATACCATAACGTGGTATAACGATGCTTCCAAAACCAAAGCAGGGACAGGGATAGGAGTATTTAGGCCGAAAACTAAACGCTCCGAACCAATGGGCACCTACCCTATCGAAAGATGCGTACAATTTTTTTGGATAGGAATTATCGAAAACAGGAAATCACTCACCGCTAATTCGAAGTTGGTCAAAGAATGCCTAGAGAAGCTGAACAAATTAGGCGAAGAAAATAAAGTCCTCCTACTCTGAGCGCTCTATCATCAAGGGACAGAAGGCAATGAAAAAGCAAACGATCAAGCTGGAAAAGAAGCGAACACTCCACTAACTGGAGCAGAACCGTTCTGCCTTCCAATTTCCAAACCAACTTAAAGCGGAACCCAAGAACCCGGAAGACTCCATCTGTAACTTGGAATGGGAATCTTCCAAGGATATAAGACAACTTTTTCTAGTGTGTGGTACCAAATTATTCGTAAAAAAATGTTTTTTCCAAATTATGCTAATGAGCCACCCTCGTTCCATTTGAAACAATTGAGATATGCTTAAAAATACGATTTGGGCATCTTTTAACTGGCCAGGACAAGACACGAATAATATTAGACGATCAAATCTATTTTTCCAAGGCTCCTTGATTATGAATTAGTGTTTTTAACACAGCCATAGCACTCTAGATTGAAATTTAAAATTCAATTTTCTTTTAAGCAAACATTTCAAAAGTTGACATATTCTATTTAGAATGTGTAGAATGTAATTTTCTATCGAATAAAGGAAAAAAAAATACCGAGGGTGCCATTTAAAAATCAAAAGTTGTAGTCATTTCCGGTGAAACAGGAAGTGACCGAAAACAATTGAATACGTCAACCAATCCTAATTTATGTCATATACTAATATACCAAATCTCATTTTTTTATCTGAAAAAATAAAAAAACTAACATATAACACTACAAAAATTTCTCAGAACTTAAGACGTTCTCGTTATATATAACGAGAAAAATCAACGATTTTCTCAAGAAAACCCCAAGATTTTCCTTGATTTAAGTAAGAACAATCTTCAGATTGTCACAGGGCTTCTAACATAAGACACTGTCTCCTCAACGAACACTTCAGTAGACTGAAGCTGAGAAACAACGACGAATGCAAATTCTCTGAGAAAAATGGGGAAACACCAAACCACCTCATCAATGAGTGCGCCGAGACGACAACCGTTTATACCATAAACTTAACTGTACCATAAACATACGGCTGATGTCGGAAATAGAGAGGTGGTCTCTGTGAAGCCGTCTCAGATACTGGCTTTTATCCAGTTGTAAGTCTTGAGACTGTATGATGAGTTGCCGAAGATTCCCGAATACAATTCAGACCATCCTGTATAGATTTTTTTTTCAATAATAAGGGGTCGTCCTCTGTCGGAAACACTGCAACCTGTGAGGCCTATTGTGTTTTATCCTGTATAGATACTGGTGTATTTAAATAAAAATTACTTATAACTCAAGAAAGGGGAACACACAATAGATCTGTAAGGTCGCGGTGATTAACGCCCCTCCTAAACATTCTACACTTACGATAATTTATCTTGTTAATAAATGTTATAAGAAATAATACTTAAAAACTATCAATAATTTATCAATTCCATTAATTTTAAAGATATGTTTAGGTTTATTGTTATAATATAAAATAAAATATAGCTATAACAATCTATAACTACTTTTGAACATCCAAACAAAACTTGTTTTTTCTATAAATAAAAATTGTAAATATACTCTTAGTATATGTGTAGTATTTATATTATTTAGGATATTTTAACGCTATCTTTAAGTAAAATCAAGTAAGAAAGAAAGCCTTAACGTCTTTTCGGTTAAAAATATATTGATCAAAAACCTTCAGAGGGAAATATATTCAAATTTCAAATCTAAAGACTTTTTACAGAGAAAAATTCTGATTGAAATTTGGAACACTAGCCTGCACTAGCCTTGAAAAATGTGCAATTTAAATAGATATCGTCAAATCAATCCACTTATGTAATTGCGATTTTCACCTTTTAGGAACGAATTAAAGAAATTATTAAGCTAATATCAGCAATTAGCAATTGATGTTACAAGTTTTGTGGCCCAAATTGCCCAAATGGCGACTTTTTTTTAAATTGAAGTCGCCAGAGAAATTTAAAAATCGCCCAATCTGGCAACACTGCTCCTCAAACCATGCATAGGTGGCGCCCCCTACAAGTAAGAGTTTAGTAAGAGTCACAGTGCCATCGAAATTCCCAGACACCAATTTTCTGCCAAATATCGACGTTACTTCAGAAATTATTTGAAAAAAATAGAAATAAACATTAAACATTAAACAATCTCCAAAACGAAGCATTTTAGTATATAAATTTATACAAACTTTTTTGCTTATTTTTATCTGTAGAATAAGTTGCCGAAGATTTCTGAATACAATTCAGACCATCCTGTATATATTTTTTTAATAATAAGGGGTCGTCCTCTGCCGGAAACACTGCAACCTGTGAGGCCTATTGTGATTTACCCTCTATAGATACTAGTGTATTTAAATAGAAATTGTAAAAACTAGTTGTATCACTTTCATAGACAAAAAATTGTCAGAATGTGCTAAAAACCCAAAATATGTTTTTAAGGGAATGCAAACATATACCACTAATACTTTTACTGTCTTCCAGATACTATAATAATATCATAACATATTTTATTCTGTTTAAAGAATTTAATAATCAGAAAAAAAAAGTTGGCAACCAGACATGTCTGATGATATTGTTATGTTAATCAGCTGCCTAATGTGCGACTATGATTCACAAAGGTATTTAAACTAGAGATGGGCCGTTAGTGGTAAAAAGCCAGTTATAGGTTAACCGGAATTATCTTTAAAAAATAATAACTTGACAAAATTAACCGACACAAATTAACCGGTTATTCAAATAACCTAACCTAGCAAAACTAAATATTTAGTTTTCCTATAGGTTTATTTACCTCTACACTCCATATGTCTACTTCAAATTTAGATAATAAACTTAGTTAAATCGCATGATTAAATAGAGATTGTAGCAATGTAAGTATGTATATGTACAAAATGAATTTAAATAAAAATGCTAACCTCACTTTTTTGAGTAGACATGGATATGATATTAAAACTAGTAATTACTTAACGTTCAAATAAACCATACAACCCACAAGTTCTACAATCTACAACCAAGTTATTTTAATCAAATATGGAGAAAAATAGACCACAAGAAAAAATAGACCAAAAGAAAATAAAGGAGACTGAATGAATAAATAATGAAAGATTATCTTCATTCATTACTTGAACTTCTATGTTGAACTTCAATTTTGTATTCTTAATATAAGCTTCAAGAGAGACTTCAAACTACAAATAAAATATATTTACGGTGAAACGTGGGTGAAACTGAGCGAAACCGTGAAAAACTTTTGAAGAACCGTTGAAAATCCATTAAAGTCGGTTAAAATTTAAATATAGAATTTAGAGAATCTATTTGAAGTTAGGTTTGTATCACTTGGCTAGCTGGTGGCTAGTAGTAGTCTATGGCATTAGTACTTTGCTTTATGGCCCTGACCTGTCAGGGCCATTCGGCCGTTGTTTTGATTATTATCATCAGGGTTCGCCTTATGCCTGATTTAATTTTGACATTTGATGTCATATATTTTCGTTTTGGGAGCGGGAGCGGGATCTCCCGTTATCGTCGTAATATCGAGAAGATCCGTGCCGTTCGCTTCTTCGAAATTTACGATTCAAACAGCTAATATTTAATTGTTAGTTGTTTTAAACAAGTACGATTTTTTAAAAAATAACTGGCTATAGGTTATTGAACTTAATGCAAGGTTATTAGGTTAATTGGTGAAACAAAAACTACCTTTAAATAACCGGTTATTTTAGAGGAAAATACCGGTTATTCAAAAACTGGTTACTTTTGCCCATCTCTAATTTAAACTCAATTAAATATCTTTGATGATTCAGAATAAAAATATTTGGTTTTGTGCAAGGTGATAAGGAGATAAGATTTAATTTAATATGCAAAAATAGAAGAAATGCTTTTACATTTATATGATATTAATAAATCCCTATACCTATATATTTTCTAGTTTTTCTAAAAATAACCCTATTTTATACACACTCACATAACACTAAATTTTACAAAAATGATCAAATTAGAGCTAATTAGCCGAGGTTAATTATATAAAAATTATTTGTAGTTATATACCTATATATGAGCCTTTCACTGCAAAATTTGATTAACGCCACTTTACGGAAAATCTTACATTTAATTGTAAAACCACTTGGTATACCTATTCGTAATTTTATATAAGGCTTGGAAAAATGTTATTAATATAAAAAGTTACGAATATGAATATAAGTGGTTTTACCTCGGGTTTTACATATAAATTTATTAGGTATTTTTCAAAAGTGGAGCTAATCAAATTGTGCAGTGTACGGCTCACATGTAAACAAGACTTCATTAAATGAGAGAAATATCTCACGACATCATTAAGTTAATTAATAATAATATATACCTGGTCTCCAAGATGCTCCATTGCCATCAGATCTTACATATTTTCTTCTTCCTGGATTTCTTCTATTTTCATTATCATTTCTCCTAGAATTGAAATCACCCATTTCGCCTAATTAAAGCCAAACATGAGCTAAATTAAAATCTAAAAAAATTAAATCATAATAATTAAAACATAAATATTATCTACCTATTATCGACAATGATAAGGATATGATGGAGATATATTAGAATAGGAACATTGAATATAATAGTTCTAGAACATGGTAAGATATACAAAATTACGACTCATTCATTATAGACAAATGTTCATTATATGTATAAACAGTATGAAAGATCCATTTATCTATGGATTCAAAGAAAGATTAGACCATAGGATTAGACGTTTAGTTACACCGTAACTTTAGTGAAATGTTGCACTTTATATCCCTAGCCTGGAAAATAATATATCCAGGAAATTCGGATTAGCCTAATATTATTATTGAACTAATAATACCTTTTTCAGATATTATCAGGATAAACTGACTTAACAAACTGACTTACCGGTGGAGAAATTACTGCACACTGGCCAGAGACACTGACACACAATCTTAAAGGATCTTACACACAACGTTGGAGATTGGGGATTTCTTATTGATGCGTTCGGGTAATCACAGCGTAATCGGAATAACCCTTGATTATAGGGAATAACAAAAGCAGCAATGTCGCCAATTGCCAACTACTGACTTCTGACCACAGAACAGTGTTTCCAACTCTCAAAAATTTATCTCCCTAAAAATCTAAACACTCGCATCAAAAATCCCCAAAATATCTCTAAAAACCTAAAAAAATATCCCGAAAAAACCCTAAAATATAAATAATAATAATAAGTGGTTGACCTTGAAACGCCATCACAGCAATGTAGCCAACTGTTCGAAACTTTCCATTCAATGAGGTTATAAGGGGGGGAGGCGACATAAGCTCAGTGTTACCAACTCCAGGATTTTATCCCTAAATTTGGGGAGAAAAAATCTATATGGGGATTTTTTTAGGGAGTAAAATTTTTTGGGGATATTTTTAGGGATATTTTTAGGGATAAAATTTCAATGGAATTTTACCGCTACCAAAGAGGAGATAAGACCGCTACTGCTATTTTTGAAAATTAATAGGGAAGTATCAATAAAACAAAATAATTTATTTATTTTAATCACCGAATCTTGGAGAACAGTTGTGGGGATTTTAGTTGTTTGGATTTAAGAAGGTTTGATATTGCTTTAATGGAAAGTTTCGAACAGTTGGCTACATTGCTGTGATCAGACGTTTCAAGGTCAACCACTTAAAACACAACAAATTGTTTATTTATTATTATTTATATTTTAGGGTTTTTTCGGGATATTTTTTTAGGTTTTTAGGGATATTTTGGGGATTTTTGATGCAAGTGTTTAGATTTTTTGGGAGATAAATTTTTGAGAGTTGGGAACACTGCATAAGCTATCGAGAAATGTACCCAGTTACGCCATATTGGTACTGGCAATTCTGACAGTTCAGTTCATGGTTCAGTTTTTGAGGTTAAGTGCGTTGCTGTGAGTGTTTTTTTAATTTTCCAAGGCTATTTTTGTGTTTTTATTTGAATATTTGGACAATTTGGACTTTCCGAACATGTCTTCGTGTGCTGTAAGTAGTTGTTGCAGTCGACAACGTGTAGAGAGGAAGAAATCCACTGAAATTGCATTTCACAGGTAAGTGTAAACGTAATACAGGACCTGATTAAATTATTTTCGTATTTTCCTTTAACTAGTTATGCGTTTATTAATTAAATATTAAGTGTTTCTATATTGACAAAGTGTTTAGTTATTTAATACTTTGTTAGAGGCAATTAAGTAATTAAAACATGCCTCGACTTCTATTCTTGTAAGAAAAATTCTTAACAATATCTGTTATTTTTACTACATATACTTTTTTTGACAGGAAAGAGTATTTTGCTAGGCCAAATTTAAAAGTTTTGTTTCAACTACGGTTTATTTTTCTATTTTTACACTAAGATTTTGTACTTAAATATTTATTTACATTCCTTTTTAGCATCTGCTAGCGTATACTGTGTACAAACTTTATATAGTATAGCTTTAATTTTTAGATAAATATTATAAAATCAACAAAGTAAATATATTTTTTGCAGATAAAGTCTTAACGACTTATATTTATCGATAAACATTTATTATTTTAATAAAATTTTATATCAGAACATTTTAAATTTAGTACGTAGTATATAAATTTTGCTCTCTTTAGAAAATTTTTATCAAATAAATATTATATTAAATCTGATTTTTAGGTTTCAAAAATCCCATCCGTCGAGAAGCTTAGGTGAAGTTTCTGAACAGGAGAAACTGGCAAGCTACATCAGGTAGTGTTCTATGCTCGAAACATTTTTCTGATAGCTGTTTTGACAGAACATCTCAATAAAATATCTCAAATAAATAATTATTTCCTAAGATTTCTAAATTTTAATGATTATCAAAATGTTAATTATGGTAAATCAGTAATCATGTTTAATTATTTTCCGCTTTTTTTCTATTTTTTTTTTAAATGTTAAGGTTATTATTGTTAGATACATCAATAAAAACAAGGCAATTAGTTTAAGACATACTAGCAACAAAACAGTGTTATTTAGTGAGCAATAAAATTTAATTTATTTAATGTGTATTATTTTTTTGTGTTTTCTCCTTAAATATACATAGTATATAGTCATTAAAATTAATCTTGTAATTTATATTTTTGAAAAAATTGTAGGTTTTGTAGTTATTTTGATTAATTAATTTTTTATTTAAAAAAGTTGAGGTCGTTATATTGTGTAAAATAACATTTTTCAACGAAGTTTCTGTAATCCGGCCCTGCTAATGCCGCCATATTGGTGCTGGCTTAAGCCACGCCTAGTGTTACCATTTTTCGCAAGCACTTTAAATGCTCATAGCGTCTCCCTGTATATAACCTCATTGCTTTCCATTAAAGCAATGGTCGCGTTCATCTATCGTTCATCACATATTCATCACGTATGATTCATCAGGACAAGTTGATCAGTGAGCGATGTGCCATCGATTGGTTGTCCTGCTGAACGCGCTTTTTAGCATCCCTTAGACAAGGAACTCTCTTTCCTTTTCTAAGGTCTATAAATCATAAGTAATGCATATAGTCTAAGTTAGTTATTCTATGGTCTAAGTCATAAGCATATTAAATAAAGCATATTAAATTGTTTTCACCCTTTTTTGGAACAAATCGGGGGGATTAGTCAACCGAGAACAATAAACAAAATGGTTTGTTTTCGTTTTCCAAAACATTTTGTGACATTTGGCGAATGTGACGTTTAATCCATCGATGCATCGGTAGCGTAGCGTATTTTAAATCTGATGGAAAAAATGGCGACTGATCCCAGAGCGTTCACAACTAATCGGCGCGTTCAGCAGAAAATTAGTGATCGCTGCGGTAGCGCTACGTCCTGATGAACGCGACCAATATTAAACCTTCTTAAATCCAAACAACTAAAATCCCCACAACTGTTATCCAAGATTCGGTGTAAAATAAATAAATTATTTTGTTTTATTGATACTTTCCTATTAATTTTGAAAAATAGTAGTAGCGGTCTTATTATATCTCCTCTTTGGTAGCGGTAAAATTCCATTGAAATTTTATCCCTAAAAATATCCCCAAAAAATTTTACTCACTAAAAAATTCCCCATATAGATTTTTTCTCCCCAAATTTAGGGATAAAATCCCGGAGTTGGTAACACTGCAACCTGCCGATATTCGACAGCTTGCAAAAACTGGCAGAAAATATTTGCGAGAGTGCAACTACTCTTTTCCTTAAACTATGGTAACCGTGGTAGTACCCTAGTACCTCCTAGTTAATTATTTTATGGTAGTACCGTGTATGTGTTTTGTGGTAGTACCTGCAGAGTACCTGGTAGTACTTCAGTACATATAATCAAAACTATTGTTGCCTGTAAATAACTGGAACTTAACAACTTGGATGTAATAAATATGTCATATTGATGATACAAAATAATTCGGTATTACCAATAATTCTAATAGGTATATTAAAACCAAGTAATAATACAAATTCTATGATTAATTTTATAATTTCAGATTTATCTTGATATCAAAAATTAAGGCAAGAGCAATAATGGAGATTGTCAAGTTAAGGTACTATTGTGATTGTAATTGTAATCGGAATTTTAAGTAATATAATACCAATTTATTACCTATTATAATACAAAATTCTTGCCCTGACCTGCTATATTTTTCTTATTTTTCAATTTTCGAACATCGAAAAAAGAGAAAAGAAAAAAATTGTTATATTTTTCATTAACCCTTAACTGGTCCGGCGTCGTCTGACAGACTATGCCAAATAATTAACTCATTCTTATTAGTTACTGGGACCGCCTACAGGATTGGCGTGCCAGCTAATCATCCCCCTCACGATCAACAAATGATAGCCATATTTATGCCCAAATTTTTATTCTTAATCTAAGTGCCCAAACTGGGTTAGTTTTTTAGAAGTTCTGACAGAACCCGTAGTCTCTTAGAAGACGCCGGACCGTTTGTGTAAGATTTTGTGTGTGACAAATTTTTGTAAAATATGGCCGGGCCTTCGAAAAGAGTGCGTTTAGGAGACTCTAGTTATGAAGAAACTCTATTAAAATGATATGATGAGGACTGTGGCAGTAACAATATGTCAATCTGCCAGACAAATGTCTTTGACAATGTCAAATATTCCACGAGAAATACACTTTACAATCGGTAGAATACTTCCAATTCCTGTACAACCAAAACACGCCCACTTAGATATTCTTATCCTGGAGTTTTTATCCTAGTTAAAGACAATGTTATGTCCTAGTTAATTATTTTTAATGCCTAGAATGTACGAATCCATTCTGTAAAACATGTTTAGGAAACCAATAAACTTTGCCTCATGCTGTAACTAAAAACTTTTTCTTTAACTCCAGTTTTATAACTTATTTTTTTTATATATAGTACTAAAAACTTATTTCTATATTGTAATGACTGTTAGTAATTTGGTTTTATTTTTTAGAGCTTAGTAAAAACCTAATTAATTTGTTTTTAAATTTATATGTATTTTATTGTATTTTGTACTATATTTTCTTAAAGTTTATATTAAATTAGACCCATTTTTGTCTATATTAGTTCAATAATACATAACAGAATATATAATGAAATAAAAATTTGTTATTTTTTAGTTTTTCTGTGTTTTTTAAACTTTTTAGAAGGCGTAGTCCTACAGACTACGCCGGATCGTTTATGATACATATCTATTGCCGGACCAGTTAAGGGTTAAGGGGGAACCAACTCCAACTTCCACGACCGGTTTCTGGTATGTAAAGGTAAACAAAATTTTAGTTACCTTGTATACTGTTTATTTACATATTTACATTATAATTAAAATTTATCATTTACGGATTTTTTCTTATTGCAACCTATTAGAATTATTTT